AAAACCGATTTACACGAATATTTATTAACGATAATTTTCTTTAACCGTGAGAATCGGAACGGATCACGACATAATTGTCATCGGCAAAATATAGCACTAAATAGTACTATAGTCCACTCGTTCTCTCATGGCCGTGATTCAACATGATGACTGGCTCTTGTAAAGCTCGAAGCCATGAATCAGTGCAAGATGATAGTGCGGGACTTGGCTACTGGGGTGAGTAATGAATGAAAACCTCGTGACAGTCCCAGCCTCCCAGGGTTCGCGGGATGGCGTTGGCGAGCTGTTGTCCATGTCGTTTAGGTCGAGGATTATGTATTAGTGTTGGAAGAGAAGAACTTAATGCATTGGTAAAAGGACCTTGGGCTTGGTTGCTCTATATGTTGAAGGAGGGATGTTTTCGTATGTTTATATCTTCGGAGTATATGATTATTTCTTCTATCCTCACTTCATTATACGGTCCTTAGAATTGGGCAACCTGTGGGGTGCTACAGGCAGTACAAACAAAGCTGTTTGTTTTGAGGTGGGGTAGATAAAAAACTTGGGCTTCGGCTTGCATCGGTTAAAGCGTGTCTAAACATTACCCCTTTTAATTAAGCGAAGTCCATATTCGACCGGTTCGCTATAGAGGCATATTTGTCTAAGAATATACAATTGCTAGAAGATTACTTCTGGTCAGTCTAGTTGAAAATACCCACAACACTTCAGTGCCATCCCTTGCAAAGATCCTTGTTTTATTGGCTCTCAAATAGCATCAGTCGAAAATTCAAGCTTACTTTTTCCCCTCGTGAGAAAGGAATGATCTGGGGTCGTCTATGAAACTGGAAAGAATTTTTCTTTGCCATTAACATCTCCTAGATTTATTGACGTCTTCGGCGACGAAATCCACATTTTTTGTCCTCGTCGCAACAATCCGAACCACTTCACCTTCTGATCCGTTGGACTCAACGATTCCCAACTCCTAGCCTTTAGCTCTATATGTTGGAACCAAACACCATTATTCTTGGGGCTAGGATACCGTTGAGATCAAGAGAAGCCTTGAGCTTCTCATGAATTCTCATAGAGCGTCACTGTTCCAACTGTAAGTAGCAGCAGCCTGGTCCTAAAGCAGCTGGGAATGAGTCAAGATTGAATCATGGTGCTGGGAAAATAATCGGTTTGTTGGAAATGAGTTAATTTCATGACCAATCAGGAACTTTGACATGCCTTACCAATTTGGGATGGCGTACAGAAAACTCTTGGTTGTGCGATTTCCATTGTTCGGTGGCTACCTGGTAGACGTTTTGCTGACCACATGCCCTATTTGATCTTATCAGTGTGAGTGAACGGGACCTTTAAGCTTGACTTCTTGTGACTACTCAGGACGATTTAAGTGCGCACAGTTTCCAGGCGAACTTTCCCACGGCAGTATCCCTTTTGTGTAAAGTCTTCTTGTAGACTTGACCGTATACCTTCATGCTTACTCATCCGCTTACTTAGCTCATGTCTATCTCTTGTGATTCGTCTGTTCGTATACTTGCTAGCTAGCGCCTTCGGGAGACAGTTCCAGCTCGAACAAGCAACAGCCAAAAGCTGCGCCGAATATTGAGTATGGACCAGGAGCCAGAGACGGGGGTTCGAGGCCGGCCGGTAGCTTAAACTCTCACTGCATGCTTCAACCCGCGTCATCTCCTATTCTCTTTTTCTCAATCCCTTAATCGACATTTCTTGCAATTCTCGAACACGAGACTTGAGATGGCGATAGATCACGGTCAGCAACGCAAACGACGATGCGGTCCAAAGGTGAAGACAGGATGCGGAACTTGCAAGTAGGTTCATAATGTACTCTCCTAGATGGACAATTCCCTTAGACAACTTTAAGAGTTAGGAGAATCAAGTGCGACGAAGCCAAGCCGAGTTGTCAGCGGTGTTCCGGGACTGGACGAAAGTGCGACGGGTATAGTAGCGATATTACGATATCCACTGAAACGCCCAAGAACTCTACAGATCTCATCCAACGAATCTCTGTACATATACCCGGGAATGCGGAAGAGAAGAGAGGCTTCGATTTCTTTCTTCAGAGTACAGCAGCGGAACTGTCTGGGTACTATGATTCTTCGTTCTGGGAAAACCTTATACTGGCTGCTTCTGCACAGAAGGCTTCTTTGCGGCACGCTGTAATAGCATTGGGAGCCCTGCATGAAGACTTCTCACGGAAGACACTGAAGTCCTCCTCAACCCTATCAGTGGACGACCAAAAATCCCAATTTGCACTGAACCAGTACGCGAAAGCTATTGGAGCACTGCGGAGGTCTCTTTCAAGCAGGAAGGAAGAACCGATTACGGCGCTCATGTCTTGCATACTATTTGTCTGTTTCGACAGTTTGCGAGGATGGTTCGAATCAGCCATGGTCCATCTTCAAAGCGGGCTTACGATTCTGCGGGACATGAGGTGGTCGTCAACAGAGAACCATATCATCGAGGACAGTATTGCTCCTCTTTTTGTGAGATTGTCGATACAGTCTATTATTTACGTTGACGCAAAAAGTACGCATGATCGAACAGACTTTGCCAGGAAATTGATGGACGCTTACGGAAAGGAGATGGCAATTCCGGAGGAGTTTGAAAGTCTAGAAGAAGCTCGGAATGCTTTCAATCAGGCTGCGGATGGATTTTTCAGGGCAAACTACATGTGGGAGTAAGTACATATTCTCATTGCTCTAGATTAAAGCCTCGAAGCTATCTTATCGCTGCAAAGCACATTCTCACTCGAATATCCGTAGTGGAGATCTACCTGTCGTCTTACAACCGACAGAAAGCCACGCTATATTCGACAAATGCATATCTCAGATGTCTCTCTGGAACATTGCATTCGAAAAATTCATGGCATCCAAAAGTAAAATTCTCACCATCAGAGAAGTACAAGGCGCCGCACTTCTGAAAATACATCACACGACGGCGAAAGTCATGGCCGGTGTCCATCCCGACACGAGTGACATGAGACCTGTGTTCGAAACAGTGAAGGTGGGAATGTTCTGGCAATATTTGGACGACTTTCAGATTATCATCAACTTGTCGAGACCGTTGATTGCAGCTACGGAGCAGAATGCGAAGAATGGAAAACCGCCACTTACTTTCAACAGCGATTTGGGCTTGATAGGACCACTTTATTACGTCTGTATCAACTGTCCTTCTGTCCCTATTCGAACAACTGCAATGGAGCTTTTGTTACGGTTTCCGCGACGAGAGGGGATGTGGAATAGTGTTTTGATCGCTCAAATGATCCAAGAATATTGGGAGCTTGAAGCAAGCTACAAGGAAGAGCAGGAGATCTCTGGGAATGTGGATGAATTTGGATTTCCGGTACCGTTCGAGGATCGGGGCTCTGTTCACTTCAGATTTTTCGGTCGCCCGACAGAGATGGATGCAATTGGCGTCTGCAACTTCCCCACACCTGAGGTTGCCCCTCCTGAGTCGGTGAGCTCTCCGCCGTCTTTGGGATGGATCGAACCGCGGGAGAGTGTCAATTCATTTCTACCATTAAAGAGGGACGATCGGTGGGCCACTCAGATGGATCTCGAGAGACTTATAGCAAATGAAGTTGGCAATATCCGTGACGGTCCATCCTCTGAAGGCCAGGCTATTGACAACATGGATTCGCGTGTCACTTTTTATCGGGATCTTGTCAGAATAGACGACGGTGATTTAACGGCGACTCGGTAATTATTATCATGAAAAATTAGGTTTTAAATATATATTAATTATTGAAAAAAAAGTATCACTAAACCCAATCAACACTTCAATCAAGTACCCAATATATGTAGATATAAATAAAAGTATAAAATTAATTTTTTTACTCGCCTATTGAGATTTGGTTCAGGGGAAATTAGTGTTAGCTACTCTGACTTCTGTATTTCCTCACTCTTGCTCTTTTATTTCGCTCCTTTAGACCGACAAATGCGTTCTTTATTGTATTTATGATTTCCGTGGCATACGTACTGTTCATCTGATAGCGGCAGAGTATCAATTTTTATATGGACTATTCAACTGAAAAACCGAAGAACCGGAAAGAGATATTTTGATTCGAATGATCATATCCGTGTTCCCTACACAGTTCTCTCCCTCCGACGTCTATTCACGTGAAATGAAAGCAAATTCAAAGCACTAGAGCCTAGAGATCCGTCTAACATGGGAAGCAGCAGTCCATCTGATTCTCTGCTGGCTGGGCCACAAGCCCGAGATCATTACCGCAGAATGGTCCGTCGCGGGGGTTCCAGCCACCGACTTTACATGACGCTGTTCCGCTGGTAGTTCTACTTGTCCAGCTGAGAACTCCATAAACGAGTTGAATGTAGTCGTTCTGGTGCTCTCCAGTGATTGCAATTGAGCTAGGAAGTGGGCCTTGTATAGTGGTACCGTTGCCGTTATTGATCGGGTCGCCCAGCCCATTGTTAGTGAAATATTGCGGTGGGGTCTGGTAGATAACTCTCTTATTGTTGTCGACTAACGTGATGTTTGCGTATAGATCGTCTGTATCCGGGTCACAGTCTTCCCACTCGTCGAGGTGGAAGCAACAGGTGCCCGTAGCATAGGCTGGGGCGGGTGTCGGTGAAACTGAAGACGTTGGGGCGAGAATTGTTGCAGTTGTCGAAGGTGGTACTGAGTTGACGCCTGTATCACTGTCTTTGATATACTACTATACAATTCCTTTGTAGATAGCCTCGTGATAGATCAGTTGTGGATGAAACATCTTGGCCCGGATTCCAATAACATCTCGCCAAATATCGTACTCGACGGTCACATTGTCCATTGTTGAATTCACGGTCTTGAGCAACTGATCCTCATCGACTTTGGACCAAAAATCGTTAAGATAGTCTGTCCAGAGTGTGCTATTTTGACTCCAAGTGAGGCTGTTGACATTGGTTTGCTAGACGCTGTTCAAGTACTGGATGGTAGGGTTCGTTGACTCATCTTTCTGGCCGTAGGGATAATGCCAGAACCAGAGGCTCGGGTTGTCCTGATCTGGCTCATTGACGCCCGGCTCACAGAAGCGGTGACCTGTTCCCAACGAGGCATCGATGTCAATATACTTGACATTGCTCTCGCTGTTCTGGCTTACGGCACTCTGAATAGCAGCATTCAATGTGATGCTCATCAAATTGAAGTCTTGGCGTAGGACTGTGGACATGAGGATATGAGGCTTCCCATCTGGTACAGGATTCGCAGTTCTTGCAAAGGTTACAGTATTGCAACCCGGGTCTGCATCGTTAAAGAATTGACCATAGCCAGTGACATAAAGCCGGAAGTTGTTTCCGCTCACACTTCGACCATACTGGACGATCTTTTTGATCAGCGAATCAATCTTAGACACTAAAACATCATTTGGAGTGTCGTGGTTCCCGTTTTGACAAATCAGAGACCACGATAAAGCTCTCTGTTCATCACAAGTGCGCGAGACGAAACCCAAGCTTAAAGGCCATCTTTGATTAAGCTTAGCTTCGCCTACTCAGAAGAGGGTACGCTTATTAACTCACGGAAATCCCTCAATGATACAATTGTTCAATATCCTCGGAAAATCGATGTCGTCTCCTCCAACGGTGAGCGTGCCCATCGTGGGTTTACCACTGCCTGGCCTTGGGTAATAGGTCCAGTTGGGTTGACCACTAGCTTGATCTTCAGTGTAGAACTGGTATTCTTCGATCTCTTGAGCCTTAGCTCCTGAGCAGACAACATTGTTTAATTTCCCCCCTGTCCCAGGTAGCAAGTCGCTCGGATCATCTTGGATCCACTAGAAATAACAGGTCAGTAGCATAGTTTACTCGAGTAGTATAAGCTGAGAGACAAAACCCTGAGCGAAAGCTTTACAAAAGCGAAGAGAGCAATCTGTTACTTCTACGAGCAGTTAGCATCTGTGCTCGATGTATGTCTTGTATACAAACAGGATATTTATCTGCTCCTGGAACATTGGAACAAACCAGCGTCAGGTCGGGTGAGAACATACACCATAGGATAAGCGGCATCATATCGCAGACATCGACGTCCATTAATATAGTTTCCACTACCAACACCAGACGCATATGAGTCCCCCCATGAAGTCCATTCGAAAGAAGGTGCTCTCTTCTGAAGATAACTTTCCTCGTCAGAAACCACTGTGGGGGAGGTAAGGAGAGGCGATGCAAACAAGAACAAAGCAACCAATAGCTTCATGGTAAAGTAAAGTAAGTTAAAAATGCTACTTCAGTGTGCAGGAGCCAAGGTGTCGTCTTTACCTGTTTTTGCTTAGTAGGTCTAAAGGGAGATATATATCCTAAGAACACGCATAGCTTGATGGTCAGATTCTAACAAACATTGTGATACTTGTAAAACACTATTTCCATAATTAGATGATCAAGCATACGGAATGAGAAACAGGTATGGGAAGACAATTTCGTGTCGATCAAAAGCTAACGAACCCAAGACTAGGAACAAATCCTATAGGAATGATGAGGGGTTAGAAACCAAAGTTTGAATGAAAAGTTGTGAACAGAGTACTAGAGCGCCCCCCAAAACATTCGATTTTGGAAAGGCAAGGTGCCTGCCAACTGCGCCGGCTGAGCCTTGTCGATGAGGGACATGGGCGCTGTCCTGTGTGAAAGAGGGAAAGATCACATCGCACTGTTGGAGGGGAAACTTTGGGAGAAACTGTTAGTGTTTTATTGTATGACATATGATATTCGAAGACCCGTTGGAAGTTGGTGAGGTTGTGTTCGACAGGAAGAAGGCCGCAGGAATGTCCAACTAGCGCGCAAAAACGAGGCGCATCTATACGACCGTCGGCCTTACCTCGTTTCAGGAATATCCCTTTTCCGGTCTTGTGCATATCCAACATTCTCTAACACCAGCGCCAACAACCTCAGAGAAGTCCCTAATACTCTTCTCACTCCTGATTCTCTTCTTGCTTCACTACAGCCTCGAAATCACACTCCTGCACTCCATTATGCTGGTTTTAGCAATTTACACTCTATGTGTCGCTGCGTCAGGTAGAGCCGTCGCACAGCAAATTCCTCTGCTGCCTGGAAGTGCAAGTGGCCTTCGAGATGTGCCTGGCGACTCCATTGTTAAATTGTGTAATGAGTCGTGCGTTACCGACATTCTAGTGATGGAGCAGATAGTCAACAGCCCCCAGACACCTTATTTATATGTTCCATTAATCTTCAGGGTCATGAAATCGAGACCTGACTAGGCTATTTAGGAATGAAGAAATAGATGTCTTTATCTGGGGTAAGTATTCTGGTCTTTTTATGCTTTCTATAACACGAGACAACTTTTCTAATACATTCCCAATTAGGAAATTCGACTCGTAACCTTTCGAGAAACTCAACCGTCGATTATCAGATCAATGCAACAGCGAACACAGGAGACTTTGGAACCCTTCGTGGTACATTTAATATTTGTGATTACCTTGAAAAGATGCACCAGCCTCCGAACTCGAGCGTCCCTGAGAAAGCATGTCCTCCTCGCGAAGGACCGATCTATATTGATTATGCATTCTGGTTTGCAGACTTTCTAGTGGCCCCAGTAAGTTAACCTGTAGCCTTGAGAGATACCGATTTATGACTTTTGATAGGGACAATGGAGCATAAAATTTGATGCAAAGACGCCAGAAGGAGACAGAATTTACTGCCTGGAGACGGAGTTTGATCTCCAGTGTCCTTCAGAACATGATGGGCCGGAGTGTCTCCGCGACGTATCCGACACTCCCTCACCTGGTGCCATTATTTTGGTGTAGTCATTTGATTGTCTTCGCTTAAATGAAATAAAATATTGTTTTTGTAAAGGTCTACTCTGAAATCAAATTCAATTCGGGAGCACTCTCGGGAGCTGAAACAATATTAATTACGTACTCAGCTGCTTCCAATTCATGAAGTCGCGCAAATAGAATAAGTATTTATTATTAGCTATAATCTAGATGCCTCGCACACACCTAAGAGTGTCTGTATAAGTAGTTGGCTCTACTCTTGACCCGCTTAGCTCACGAAGCGAAAGGCCGAGCCGACTATTAATACATGTGGGTTTATTACTCTGCCCCAGCCCTGCTTGTATCATAAACCGTGTCACCTGGCTAACATGTAGGGAAGTGGCAGGGTGCTGGTGTTGGGTTGGTGTTTGGTGTCAGTGTAACGGTGGCTGCAAGAATCCTTTCCTGAAGGGCCTAACTAAGAAATGCCTCACTGAGACGTGGTACTTGGCTAAATCGGATGGCGGAGTTGGGATGTTTCTTTGGTGTGGGAGGTTCTGAACAGTAAGAGCTGTTATCACTTCGTGAGATCGGTTCTTGAAATGCACCCTTCGAGGGATTATCACTGTGTGACTTGTGAGATGAAATACCTACCTAGGTACTTGGTTGGTAATCTCAGAATGTTTTTAGAGGCTCGCTACAAGCTCGCTTAGTGAGGGATTCTTCCTCCAGAGCGTTGGTGGATGGCTGCACTGCAGCCTCCGTGCGACCCAGCATTAGATCGTCCAACTTCTCATCGTCTCCAAGGTTGAATTTGGCACCAGCTGGCTTTGCAATCCGGTCCAGTCGATCTAGAGCCGTCATTCTTCTCTTGACAGTCTTCATACAACTGTTGTTCATGTTTCTTCCTCTGGAGACGACAATCCATGTTGACCAGAACTCTATCATTAGGTGCTTCCAAGAATCCCCCCTAGAAGACATTGGCATGCCTAAGGCAAACCAATTCTTGAGGTAAGGACATCAATTGGCTTTGAGGAACTACTTTTCTACAAGACTTTGCCATCAGCAGAGAGGGAGTTTTTTTTTGAAATTTAACCTCTCTTTATTCTCACACCCATTCATGCCACATCAACCCATCTCTGAATATGACGCCTTCTTTCTCCCACATCGGGCCCTCTGCATCGACAAGATACCCGTTTGAGCAGAAATTATATTTGACTCTCTTCTGGTCCACTTCGTAGAAATGGTCGAACCTTGGTTCCAGGGCATCTTCCAGCGTCAACACATCACCATCAGGATGTAGTATCTGCCAAGCTTCACGGCATGTTCGGCCTTTGCATGATTTAAGAACAAAGAGAAGAGCGTCGAGACGTGCGACGACTTTACGAATTGGGAGCCCCGCGACGTTAGATACCTCGGCAACTTGCGGTCGGGAAAGGAGGTTCTTTAGCTGATCTGGATCCAGCTACTCAAAGTGATTAGAACTGCAGTCGACGAGAGGATGATTCGAACCTTACATCCATATTATAAAGTTCATGCTCATTATTGCACCAAACAGAGTAATAAAGATTGTAGCCTGGCCCAATGATCCGAATCGCTTTGTAGGTATTATGTTCATGAAGTGTGCCTGTGTGGAATTATATAAGTAGAAAAATGACGAAAATATTGAATCATACCATCAAATTTGCCTTCTCCACCGGCAAAGCCCCAGTATTCGACATTCACATGCTCTCGTCTTTTCGCCTTGGCAGCCTCGATAGCAGCGTTTGTCACAGGGATTGTACTTCCATCAAAGTCCTCTCGTTGTGGGATCCCCAACAGATCGAAAAAAGTGGGAGCCAAGTCTGTATGACTTGTGACAATGCTGGTTGTGTAATTTTTCGCTACGCCAGGACCACGAACGATAAGTGGGACATTGATATCCTCTTCGTATCCGCACGACTTTCCTGGCTGTAGCCTGTGCTGTCCTATATGATATCCGTTGTCGCTGCTATAGAAAATGTAGGTTTTATCGAGAATGCCGTAAGTTTCTAGACGTCTAAAGATCCTATCAACTAATTCGTCGACGGCTTGGAGGGAGCGCAGTCTTTGGCGATAGAGATGATCATTGTAATCCATATTTGTTGTATTCTGCTGGGGGAGTTTCAGGAGCCAGTTCGCTCCAGATGGCTGTTCTGATAGTCAGTCGCTGGTCCGGACATTCTCGATAAAGGGTGGTTAAGTGTACCTGGTCAGGATTAAAATTCTTGGTCCTCGGAACTTTCTCGTCCTCAAAAAGATGTTGATGTCTCTGTGCCGATACCGGGGCATCGAATTTGAAAACAATATTGGGATCATGGACATCGCTGCTGTTCATGTAAATATTCACGTGAGGCGCAATAGGTGCGACCGTGAGGAAGAACGGTTTCTCGGATTTGACCGCATCATCCAAAAATCCATACGCTTTTTCAGTCACTACATCTGTGCTGTAGTGACCTTCGTAGCTCCTCGGCGCCTCGCCTTTGCGTTGGAAAGTGCTGTTGAGGTAATTGTACGTGAAAGGGTCAAGGAGGAAGTCCTGTGAGGATCAGTGATGGGTTAGTGCCATACGAATTGGAATGTAGATGACATTGTTCCAGAGTTTGTGGGATAATGCAAGTAAGAAAAGCAACTGCTTTGAAACAGAAAGGAATTGACGTCGTTCTTACACCACCATATGCCACAGTATATATCCTTCAGATCCTAGTTCACGCTTGGAACTCATCTGCTCGTCCCACAAACTCTAGAACAATATGATCTTATACCCCGATTTTTAAGGCAGGGGTGGGGAAGCACGCACAGAATCAGTAAACCCGGCGGGAGCAGGAGAATTGTAGTTCTCTACTGTATGGACGTTGAACAATTTGCCAGTGTAATAAGTATTGTATCCTGAGTCTTGTAACCAAACAGGTAGATACTTGCCATTGAAACCTTGCACAACGAATTTTGGATAGCCACCTGAAGGAACATTAGAGCTAGCACAGTGGAATCATGAACGGTATACCTGCTCACCGTACGGAGGATTTACATCTGTAATATTGGTATTGTGAGCAGCCTTGCCGGTCCAGAGAGTCCTTGATTACGACAGAATCAGTAGTTGCTTCATCTGAAAGAACACGATCTCAAAGCAAAGGCTCTTCCGATTGGACACTTTTGGAGATCACCTACACTCTCGAAGGGCAGCATACAGCTGTGGTACAATAATGCTTGCTAAAGTATGTACCTTGGTCTAGAAGATGTTTTTTAACCAGTGGCATGTAATCCAACGATGAGAGATGAACATCTTGATCGTCGGTCAACACGAATACAATATTTGGTCGACGTCCATGCCCTTGCTCGGGATTTTTGAGGCCTAGAAGTTCCTGAATGGGAGTTTCGAATCCTCGGAGACTACCAATTGCTGAAGCAAAAAGAGCAGCGACGAACGCATAGAGCATGTTGATTTAACAGATCTTTCAGAAGCTATTAGAGCTTAAGTAGAGCAAAACCTAACTCTGCACGACAAATGAAGCTTGATATATGGAAAGGTCGAGGTTTAACACATGAACAGGGATGATACCATCATGGGCATACGCGGCGTCGAACCCCACATTCTCATAGTAGAGACATGGGCCTGCTACATTTTACGTCTTCATGATCAGCAACAAGAGTGGGGTGGGGTCGAGGAGTGCATATCGGAAGAACACAACCGCGAGCAACATCGAGAGACGGCCTGGATTGCTACTATTCAGTACTTCTCAAACTCAACTGGCTTCGAACAAACGAACACTAAATATGGCGAAATTGACTAGGATCATTGTACAATCCCGTGGTCAATCTCTAGAAGATCTGGAAGAACACTTCCACCAGGTCTTGATTGTATGTCAGCTTCACCTACAAAAGAAAGCTTGGTACCCCGCGCGACATCTCCATCTCCCTGGGTCTAGTCTTCCCGTTCGTTGTGATCGAGCGCAATCCGGGGATTGCACACCCCTGAGCCACCAATATGAAGAATTCCATTGACGCAGCCGCAGGAGCCCAGCATGGGGATCACAGTGACAAGACCATCCAAGTTGATGTGGAAGACAGCGTGGTGCAGAAGTTGGCTGTGTCCAGTTCCAAATTCGTGCTACTGAGCAGTGAGGCGAAAGAAGCCAGCGACGCCGAGCATGCCATGACCGTCCGACAAGCCGTGAAGCTCTACCCAGAAGCTATCTTTTGGTCAGTCCTCTTGTCGACCGCCGTTGCTCAGGAAGGATACGATTCGGTCCTGATCTCTGCCTTCTATGCATTTCCAGTCTTCACCAAGAAGTACGGCGAACGGAAGCCTGGCGGAACCAGCTATCAAATACCTGCACCCTGGCAAGCAGGTGTTTCGAATGGAGCCCGTGTGGGTGAAATCTTGGGTCTATTCGTGAATGGCATAGTGTCCGATCGCTTTGGGTTCAAGAAGACGATGATTGGGACGCTTGCGTTGTTAACTGCTCTGATTTTCATCCCCTTCTGCGCGCAGAACATCGAGACGCTGGAAGTTGGGGAGATACTGATGGGCATTCCTTGGGGTGTATTTCAGACCTTGACTACAGCGTATGCTGCTGAAGTATGTCCTGTGGCTCTTCGAGGCTATCTGACGACTTATGTCAACATGATGTGGGGTTTTGGGCAATTGCTGGCCTCGGGTGTCGTGCGATCACAGCTGACCCGCACCGACGAATCGGCCTACAGGATTCCTTTTGCTCTGCAGTGGATGTGGCCTATTCCTCTTTTAGTCGGGATTGCTTTCGCTCCAGAATCACCTTGGTGGTTGGTTCGTAAGGGTAGATATGATGATGCGCGGAAAGCGCTGGGCCGACTCAGTTCAACGACATCAGAATCGAAACTTGACAACACTGTCTCAATGATGAGGCATACCAACGAATTGGAGAAGGAGATCTCGGCCGGGACAACTTATAGGGATTGTTTCAAAGGCGACAATCTCCGCAGGACGGAAATAACCTGTATCACTTGGGTTATTCAAGCCGCCAGCGGCGCTTCATTGATGGGATACGCGGCGTACTTCTTTGAACAAGCCGGCTTGCCCACTAGCATCGCTTTCGACTTTTCAATCTCTGTCTACGCTGTCGCCATGATCGGCGTTGTCATTTCTTGGTTTGTTATGACCTACCTTGGCCGTCGCACCATTTATCTTGGAGGCTTGAGCTGCATGGTCCTCGTGCTCCTGACCATCGGGTTCGTCAGCATCAAGCCTTCAAAGGGAACCTCTTTTGCCACTGGTGGTCTTCTCCTTCTCTTCACTCTCTTCTACGACATCACTATTGGCACCGTAGCGTATTCGATTGTTGCCGAAATGCCATCGAGTCGCTTGCGAACGAAGACGATCGTGCTCGCACGGAATCTGTATAACGTTCAAGGAATCATCAATGGCATTATCACACCATATATGCTCAATCCAGATGCATGGAATTGGAAAGGAAAAGCGGGATTCTTTTGGGCTGGCATGGGCTCTCTGTGTTTGCTGTGGACGTACTTGCGTCTGCCAGAACCGAAGAGAAGAACATTTGCGGAGCTTGATATTTTGTTCGAGCAGAAAGTTTCCGCTAGGGAGTTTAAGTCTGCTGTTGTTGATCCTTTCAAGATCCATCATAGCTCAGTTGACGGCATACACGCTGAAGAGAATCAGAAGAAAGAATAAAGATGCCTTCCAGAAGACTCATAATAATATACATAATCTACAAGGCAGCGATTTGGGCTACTTGTAATGTAGAAAATCTGGCGTCTTGCAGACAATTGAATTGCGAACTATGCATCAAATAATTGATGGTACTGTATGTAAATTTCTTTGACTTTAAAAATGTGTTATAAATGCGTCAGCAAAATATCAACTCGTCACTAATTAGATCCATATAAATAGCCGCTCATTATTGTCAGGTGCCTTCTTGGGATCGTCTAGAGGGTCTAGCATCGAGCGGCAGAAATCATTGAGCCGGGTTATGCCTTAGGTGATGCACTCTCAATTTGGTCGCATCGCGTCTAGAGTGTTTCAGATTATCCGAATCTGGCAACTCGTGCAAGTCTCCGGGAGATCTTGAATGAACCAAGTCTCAAGAAATATAAAAAGTCTGCAGGGGTACAGATCGGTTATTTTCGGGACAAATAACCCCCACAAATAAAGTACATGATGAATTCCCTTGTAGCTAGTCTCCAGAGTGATATGTCTTTTTCTTCGTTTAGGCTAATATGTGGCTAATGCAGAAAAGAAAGACGACCGTTTTGAAAAAACAGATTGCTGAATGAGAGTGTACCGCTGGTGGCAGTCCTGATCTGATATTACATGGCAGGAGATCAAGTGCATCCAACCCGGGTCGAGCTCACGGCAACATCATCATACCAGAAAGTGTTGACGTCTCCGCCGTAGGATTCCCAACCAAAGTAAACACCGGTGATTTTGGGTTTGATTGTGCTCTTCTGCCACTGGTCGGCGTTGGGATTGGCGACACCTGCTTTGCTGGTAAGACCAGCAATAGCAGTACCGTCCAACCAAGTCTCAATGGTGCCGTCGGTGCCCAGGTGATATTCAAAGCAGTGCCAGCTTCCGGTAGGAAGGACGGTAGAGGAGGCGATACCCTGTGGGCTGAGGGAGGGCAAGGTGGCATCATCCGATTCGCGGTTGTACATCAAAATCTTACTCTGGCCTCCGATTCGAAGATGCTTGTCTGAGCCTTGAGCAGAGTCAGGCATAGTGATGAAGGAGACGTGGGAGTCAGTTAGAGCTTTGGAGGCTTTACTGAAAGAGAATGTTTATTAGAACTGCTCTATCACTCCGTTGTTTCCATTAGAACAGCTTACAGGTAGGTCCTGACATAGACATCGCCGCTCGGGACTTTTGTTGTGCCGAAGAAAATGTGCCCACAGAATCCTCCTGCACCGTCGACCCTTATGGAATTCTTGCCACTGTGTGCAGTGGTGGTGTCAAGTGTGACTTTACCGCCTTGGTTACATGAGGGCGCGTAGATAGGCCATGCGGTCTGATCCCATCCACTTTCGAAGTCATTGGTGACTTGGGCAAGAGAGAGGGGGAGGAGAGCAACCAGAAGGGCGGTTTGGAGAAACATCTCTGCAAATACCCGACGTAGGAAAGAAGAATGCCAAAAAAAAAAAAACTGTCAATGGGCGAGTGCAAGGTATTTAAGAATTCGGACTTGCAATGCATCCCTCACTGCGCCTATTAGTATTGCCGAAAGGTTGTATAAATGTATCACGCCTCACCTCTATTCCCCACATAACGGAAGTTCTGCCCACATTTCCGTAATGGATATATTGAAATCTCAATATATCCTTAGTTTCGGTAAGTACTCGAGACCCTTGTATCACCCGGGTGATAGTTTTTCCTACAGTGTTAGACCTGAGATGATCACATGTTAGCTTCTTTCCACGTGACTCGGGTGCAGGAAACTTCAGGTTGCAGGTGAAGAGAAGAAATTTTATGTCCCATCGAATGTCGCCGTTTCAAATTTTCGCACAAGTTTGTGCGGTCTTTTTTTTTTTCAAATCCAAGCATGATGTTTCCATGTTTGTTTGTGGCAAAATAACATATGTTCAGGGGCGTACATTGTATATGTAACATTAAGCGAGTAAAGAGGGTTTATAATTCTCTTCGGTGCGCTTGGCTTAGTGCGGTGAATGTCAGTACTTGAAATACACATAGAAAACTCTTGCCTATTGTCTCTCTTAATGATCGACTGTTGACTTCGCATTCCACCTCAATTTTGCTCCAGGGTGGTCATCTGGTAACAAATTCTCTCCGGCTTTTCCACGCATATTTTCCCGGAAGGTACCTCCCGGGACAGCATAATCGGTCCAATAGATACCCCTCCTCTGCAACTCGGGAATGAGTAACTCAACGACATCTTCCCAACTTCCAGGATTTGACAAATCTAGAGTATGCATGAGCATAATTCACCAAGATGATGATAGACACTCTCACAAGACATATTGAAACCGTCACAATCGCCCTTGACGAACCATTCTTCAAAGACATCGGCAACTTGCTGTGGTGTACCTACGGGCACGGGACTTAGGCCTCCTGATGCCATTGCGGTTCCGACTTTTCTCGGGGTCCATTTCTCATTGTCCGAGAGATGCTTGAAAGTCTCAACAAGGCTGTGTATACCTATTTCGTATTTCTTTCCCTCGAAGTCGAACTCCTCGTCCAAAGGATATTTCGAAAGATCAACACCAGTGAAACCTCCAAATCTGGCTAGGCCACCTTGCCAGCTCGTTTGATCGAGAGCCTTCTTGAGCTTCGCCTGAGCCTCTTCCTCGGTTCTTTCAACCACTGGCAAGATTGCTGTGAAGACTTTGATCGATTGACCATCTCGTCCGTTCTTAGTAGCCTCGGCACGTAAATTATCTACATACGCGCGAAGACGTGAGATTGTGGGGTGGCTTGTGAATACTGCCTCCGCATTTTTGGCAGAGAATCCGACACCGGCTTTGCTGGATCCAGCCTGGAATAGAACTGGTGTTCGCTGTGGCGAAGGGTGAAGCTGCCCGTAGCCAGAAAACTTTTGATATTTGCCATTGAACTCAATTCTATGGACTTTGCTGGGGTCGTACGCTAAGCTATGAATTTAGTTTCGGTTCAGGAATGTGTGTGGAACTCAGCTCAAGACGAGCTAGGGATTCGCCAATTAAGTCGCCTCTCTTATTGTTTGGGAAACGTCGGAACAACATGACTCACCCATTTCCGGCTCCGCTTGCCATAGTTGGGCACCATCCTCCCAAGATTTCTCCCATAACCTGTCCCCTGGTTAATTATACATTCTGTTCACTGCGCGTGGTAGCCTTGCTGTGAGACCGCGGAATACCCACAAATAACACTGAACTCCATCAGTAAGTTTACAAAGCAATCAAACAGAATCAAAATCAGGTAATGATATTGAGGCCATATTAGGCGACAAGAAGCAGATCCAAGGGTTGCCGAGGATGGACAAGGTGGAATGCCTACTTACTAGTTCCATGTATTCTTCCGCAGCAGTGTATCGTTCATCGTGCGGAACTACAGCATCGTGTCCAAACGCTTTTGCGGCTGGCGTACTATAACTTGTCACGATGTTCCAACCAATACGGCCATCGGTAATGTGATCCATTGTAGACCACATTCTGGTAAGCATGTATGCAGCTAGGTCCTCATATTAGAAGGCACTGCTGAACAAGGTGACTTTACAAGCACACTCACGAATGTATGATGTGCTCCCCGTGATTCCAAAGCACAAGGATTTGGTTACTTGCGCCATTGCGGACACTAAAATAGTAGGATCGAGTCTTGCAACTTTTCACAAGTCAATATGGGCTTTTGACAAGGCATTGGGGGGCAGATGACATCCTTCCCAATGTCCCGGGAGCTCAATCCAATTACCCCTGTCGTGAAAACGTGAATTTGACTTACTCTGAGAGCCTCCCCGATAGGCAGCGTCCCCATTGCCTCCATAAACTTCATGGGGACTGTACACATCCGCAAAGAAGAGAGAGGATATTTTCCCTTTCTCTGCTGTCTTGGCGAGCCATGTATAGTAGCCGAGACGGTCTTTTCCCCTAGAACTGTCCTTTGGATCTCTGTAACACTTGTCAGCAATACAACTTGCAGCAGGTCGTAAGTGACCGTACTTCCCTGTATAGTGAAACAGTCAGCAATAGCTCTAAAGTTGTCATTGCAAAAGAGAAAAGCATAGATTGACGCAATTTTGGACTTTCTTTTCAAACGTACAATGGCCGATGGCTACATGGCTTCCCGTGCATGCAGTCTTGAAAAAGTTTAGTTGCATTTGTTTCCGTGGAGCGGTCATGATTATAAGATAAGGCAAGGATAGCTTGAATTTAGACGAGATCAAATTGAAGGGAGAAGTTGATATTATGTTCGCGCTGCGAGTGGGTTGTCCTTCGGTTCTGGTTGCCGACAGTGGCGATAAGCAACCGATGCGGAAGTGGACTCCGATAGACTATGGTCTCCTAATGCGCAAGCACAAAGGCTCGGTGGAAAGGTGAAAGATCAAGGGCAAATTTAGGTATTCGCATTGGCAGGGAGACATTGCGTGGAAGCAAGTGATGGAATCTGGTCCAGCCGCACAATTCAATAAGTAGATGGATGTATCTCATAATAATGCCGTGAACACGTTACCAATATTCAACAGAGCAACATCTTCGTGCACCGTCAAAACGCATTTGGTAAAAGTGTAAAGTCTCTCCACCCGCAAGAACGGATCGCGAGTTACTATAGGCACTGTCTCTGAGGATATGATGGCAAAAGCAGAAACTACTTAGTTGAAGAAACCCTTTGAAGAGGACATATATATTTCGAAGGTGCTTTCTTTATGTGAACGATGGCAGCATGGCACACTAAATGAGGCCATAGAGTAATTCCAAGGCCTCAATGCAAGACGCGGTTCAACGAAAAGCAGGGCAAAATGTTATCAGAGTTAGCAAAGAGCACGCCAGGAGATGGACGTCTTGGTACAATAATCACACTTGCGCAGGAGAATAAAAGTCAGCCTTGGGTGGAATGTGATCTGCATTATGATGAAGTATGAGCTCTCTCGTATGGGTCTCAGGAGGCTGCCGAGAAGCCTGTGATGACTTAAACGGTTGCGCATGTGCCTGAATCGGGCAAGCAAAGAAGGCGTCGAACCATCAAAGATTTTAGCCGCTAGGTAAATGACCGCGTCAGTCTTCGGTGGATGCCATCAGATGGCGCCACTTCGTGTAGTACCTTGTGCTGGTATGAGAATGTTCTTTGCGGCTAGTCGGGCAGACAACCGAGTACCAGTGGAGAGGGAAGCGTGCCCGGAGCATGAATGACAAAATATGTCTGAGAGTATAAAGTGTGTCCTTTTTTGGCTGCAACCTCGATGGCTGCTTCATCTTGGTATTTGTTTCCGAAATCGTCCCTGCATCCAACAACGATACATCTTCAATTGTTTAGCCCTATTGACCAACAGTCTTCTGTCGACCCCGAGGTCAACGACATCGAAGCCAGCACCGGTCTCTTTGCTTGATGGCGCCTCGTGTGAATTATGCCCACTCCATATCTTGACCAACTCCTCCTTGTCGAAGAAGTAGACCCGCGTTCCGTCCCCGCGAATATAAAAGTTTTCCTCTAGATAGCGACCCTTCTTGAAGCGCACTTGAGCTAGATCGCCTCGACCATAGTCTCGAAATAGGACTTCCCCACCGGGCTTCAGCACTCGAAAGATGTTTTGCACTGCTTGGTTCCACTGAGATGGCGATAGGGCGGAGAAGATGAAGATCATCAGGACTAGATCAACGCTCCCTTCTTTCAGTCCGGGTGGTAGAACCTCACCGGCAGCATCCCAGACGTCGGCTTGTATGTTCTTGGTATCGTATGCTTCGTTCGCACGAATCACGTCCACAGCTTTCTTGGAGAAATCGCATGCATGAATTTTGAGACTTGGATTATGATTATGGGCTAGTATAGGAAAAGCAGTGTTTCCAGCACCTGCACCAACTTCAAGTAGAGTAATGGGACCGGCGTCGGGTTTTGTGATTCGAGACAGGATAGGAAATTCTTGTTGCAGCCACTTGCGATCCTTGAAGAAGTTCGCTGTGTTATTTTTGTAGAAATTGTTCCACCACTTCGCAGGATCGGAATTGAATCTGTCTTTGTGTGTGTTAGCAGGGAGTGCTTTATGGTGGGCAAACATAAACATATGGGTAAGGTAAAATTCAGATAGGAGCGAAAGACATTGCTAAATTTGTTTCATTCATGGGCGTGAACCTCAGATGAACTATGCATTGATTGTTGGATCATCAGGAAAAGGGAGTATTCGAAAAGGTGAGAAAAAGGACGAGGACTAACTTTTATCGAAGTCTGAGACTGGGGCTTCTCGCTGTTTAGCATATTGTAATTCTGCGTACTCTTTGTAAGTATCATCTGTTTCTACATGATCCCATGCATTGAATTCAAAGACATTGTCTTCTTCACTGAGATAGCGCGAGCCAAATTGAAAGGGATCGCTTCTCTTCAGGTTATTTTCAGGGTCGTGAGAAAGATGTGGGGGAGCTTCCTGTGGAGGATCAGTCGCAGCTGGCGAGTCGCAGACTGTTAAAGTCGACAGGCTCTCTATCAGAACAGGCTGTGCTTTCATTTCACTGGCCATGGTAATTGATCATGAGAGTGGAGAGGTTTGGTGGAAGGAAAATCTGTACTTCGATAAAAAATTCGAAAGGTCTGATGGTACTCGAGTACAAACCGACCTTGCCGAATGCAGGCTAGCTGGCCGAGAATCTGCCGTAGCTCCAGGATGCGATGCAAAAAGTTATGGAGCTCAAGGTTGTCTTAATGTCAATGACCTCACGATTTCGTGCAATACCTTGAGCATTTCTTTGTTAGATCTTGTCCGCCAGTATGTTCTCGATTCCATAGCATCTATGTTGCTTTTCAACTGATATTTCCTCGTCTTCAAACACGGCACAATGTCAAAAACGATGCTCCAAGCACTGCGTCAAGTGCCTCGAATCCACTCGTTACAGCCTATCTCGCGAAGAGCCTTCATAAATCTCCCTGGATCCGAAGCGCAGAGCCTGTCGGCAACCCGAATATTACCATACGAATCTTCGAGCGTGTATACCTTAATAGCGGATGTGGATAGTTACTCCAGTTTTCTTCCTTACTGTCTCGATTCGAAAGTCACAAAATGGTCTTCCCCAGACAAGAATGGAACGAAATGGCCGTCGGAGGCTGATCTGAAGGTCGGATGGGGAGGATATGAGGAGACTTTCAGGTCCCGACTCTTCTGCATCCCAGGATCAGTGGTTGAAGCGCTCGGCGGAGAAGCTGTGACGTCTCTCAAAAAGAGCGACCTCGAGCATCATTCCTCGACAATGGACGCGCCTGCCACCGCCAACAACATATTCAAGACGATTTCTACAAGGTGGACTGTTAAGCCTTTTCATTACAAGCCACCTACTGGCGTACCGCAATCGGACAAGACACAGCATCCAGCGAGAGACCAAACCGAAGTGCACTTGACACTCGATTTCCAATTGGCGAATCCCATATATGCTGCGTTAAGCAAGGCTGTTGCTCCGAAGGTTGCGGGGATTATGATAGAGGCATTTGAAGTCCGCGCCAGGAAGATTCTGGATGGACCTGGAGCTGCTGTTCACGGACAAAATACCCGAGATGGAGCCTTTGCTTCCAGTAATAAAATGGGCTTGTAGGTTCTGGTGGAATCGGACAGGCGTTTTGGAATAAATCGCTGTACCATTATAACGGCAACTTCTAGACGTGTGTAGTACTGTACAGTACCTTGAAAGATGAGATCATGACAGAATCAACGCCATCCTGCTCTTCCTCTTACCACTAATTGTGTGCTATTGATGGGGATTATGTGCCGTAAGGCTTTCCTACTCTTGATCATGTTTGATTCACATACATCTCGAACGGTGGGAAGGACTAGCACATGTCAAAACATGGCCGGCTTGGAAGCTTCTAAGCGCGTTCAATTATGTCATCACATCACCATAGCTCAAAGCACAATATATATAAAAGCAAGTCTTAATACATCGCACTTTGCATACGATCTTTGGTACAGCTCAAGTAATTGCCGTGCTGATATTAAAGTAGGAGCAAGTGTAGTTAATGCTCTTGGTGTTCTCGCTTCTCACCATCTAAGCGAGCCCCTGAATCGTGAACTGAAGTGAGGCATCAAGCTCGAGTTTCGATCGCACAAATCTAATTATCCCACTGCATAGAGCACCAGAATTCTGACCCATGTAGTATGATCATATTTGAAGTTGAGTTGTTTTCTTCTAATTACTAATGACTGAGAAAGAACTGCAACATTCTAGGATAATTTGGGGTTCCAAGCCCGGTTACTGGATCCCATCCGGGAGAAGCTTCAAAGCCAGCCGTGCCACTGTTGGGTATCAGTACGATTACTACTATATTTACAGAGGACATGAGTCGATAGCTCCAGGAAAGGTGTCTTAGGACTCAGATCCCCGAAAGCACTGAAAGGGTAGACTTCAACATACCAGCCGGGATTTGTTCCATTTACGATATCATTCAAAAGATACGGATGAGCGTAGAGTGTCGGGTCTATCAATGATTAGGTTAGATTTCTCCATATACCTGGTGACTGTAACATACTAATAAATCCTATTGGACCTTTCCCAATGTTCATCCTGGCCTCATTGATGAGTGCGAGTATTGATCCAAACGTGGGCGCTGAAGCCGATGTTCCATACAAGTGGTAATTATATCCACCAAGAAGGGCAACGACATATCTTGCCCCATTGGCGCTAACATCCGGGTATCCTCTCGTCAGCTGAGAATTGTTGAAGCGTTCAGCGCCATAAGGTGGAGGATAATTCCTGAACCAAGACTTCACCGCCTGGGACTGATAAGAGGGCATTTGGAACACATTCGAGAACCCACCTCCAGACGCGATTTTTGTCGAGCAAGCAATCTCGGGCTCAGTTACAGATGCATTGGGCTTGATTTGTGTTGCTCCGACGGACAAGACGTATGGACATGTGCTTGGAAAGGATGGGACGAACATCGATGAGCCAGATGAGCCATCGTTGTAGCTCTTCGTGGTGGGGTCCAGACATCTCCCTTGAGAACCGGCAACGCCGTAGTCTGATGAACAGTAGAGGAATGTGGTACCAGCAAGTCCCAATTTCGCGTACTCGTTGCACTGACGAGTCTCATAGGCGGGGCTGAGATCGTGCTCATTGTAGGAGTAGGAGGTACTTATGACTTTTGAAGCTGCATGACCGCCGCAGTTACGTGGTCCAGTGTAACCACCAGGGAGCGGGTCAGGGTAGATGGCATCGACTGTCGGGCTTGTCACGTTGTCCGTGGCATCATTGGAAGAGCAATAGGACGCGTCGATGGAATCCAGGAAGTTGTTAAACGAGGTGTAGTCGGTCTCGATCATGTCGCCTACCTGGAAAAGGGTGACATTGAGAGGGTTGACAAGGGCCATGGCATATTGTAGGTCGAGGTTAGATTCTGTATTTTGACCAAGATTTGGAATGTCATTTACATCTCCTCCGTCGACCGACAGAAGGGTAGGGCGCCTTTGGACCTGGTACCGTTAGTGGCTGTCACTTCATGTGCTGTGGGGAAAAAAAGCTCGTCAAAATTGGCATTGCTGCATTTCGTCTCATGAGGATGAGTCCAGAGTTTTGGGACATTCAGATTCTTACCTGGCTTTTGGAGTAGTTACTAAAGAAGACGTCGAGATCTGACCCTAGATACGACTGAGGTGTGTATTCTGCAAGTAAAGTTAGTGATCAAATTGATTCCCAATCTACGGAGTTTGAAGTAGAGAACCTACCAACGATTCCAAAACTATTCCTAGGCTGATATCTTGTCAGTAAAATTGCAGGAACATCTTCTAGGAGATCAACAGTGCAAGCAAATCATTTGGGCTACAAAAAATAGACCGAAAATCAAAACTTACTCACATTCGTTCTCATTCCGGGTGGAAGACTCGGGATTCCATAAAGTGCTCTCAAACAATCAGGCGTCACATTATTGTGACAATCCTGAAGATTATTCAAGATCGGTTTCGCAATCGGAGAGACCTTAGGTAGCCATGGTGGCCTTCCAGAATGACCAAAGCCTGCCCCAGATCTCTTCTCGTTGGTCCGAGAAGGAAGGACTTTCGTGTCGAAATGGATAGTTGGCGTTATGAAGTCGATGTGGGATTGAATATGCCTGGTTTGGTCAGCTAGGGGAATTACTTGCTTCACAAAGACGTGCAATATCCATGATTGAGATCGTTGGTTAGGATGGGGATATTTACCTGGGGACATGATACGCCTCACAAGCAACATGACCTTGCCGTGTGACTTCATGTTCATAAAGATGATATTCAGTTCTGAGAAGTGCCTCCGCTTCTCCCACCGATACATTAAGATGCAACCAGCCCAAGGACCGAGATTTCGAGACTCTATCGCCAATGATACCAGCAGAAAGCAGCCAGTCATGAACTGCCTGGACAGTATCAGGACTCGGCGCGAACATATCCACAATCTCCTCGTACGACCAATGTTTTCCATAATCTTCCGAATCAGGACTCGAGATCCTCATCAGATGGCTATCGAGATCATCGATATTTGACTGCTTCAACGCGATCCTCATCGGTAAAACACGTTCTGGATGTAACCTCGAATGCCTGTTCCACCCCTCAGGCATAACCTGTCTCCGTTCATGAACAACATGGTCCCACGTCGAAGGATACGCAATCGTACCAATGGCCAAAGAGATGAGAATCACCAAAACTGATGAGTACATTCTGGCAGCCAACCCATACCCGTCAGTATCGGAGGTCCCAAGCTGTCCTTCATATTTATCGCCACGGCCGAGTCGCCTCAAATGTGCTATTTTAAGGACGGGACCGGTATGGGGAATCTCGACTGTGAGAATAAATTGAAGAGAACGGCACGGTATACCTTGGTAGTTAATCTCCTGTAAACATGCCTGTACCGTGTACCAAGAAATGCAGGTTGAAATGGATGGTAATGGCTAAATACAAACACCGGCAAGATCGCTAAGCACGTGGACAAATTTAAGAACACTTGTCATGGGATTATCGAGAAATGGATCAAGGGCATCGAGCTGAAATGGACTGTCGAAGCTCACAGTCCACAAGCATTTGCCTGAATAATTGTGCGTGAAAATACTCAAGATGGAAATGTTTGCTAGGATAGTGGGGAGCATATGATTAAAGCACACTGTTGGGATGATCTATAGTATCGCCGATTGTAATGTCTTACCCAAGAGATCCAGAACCCATCCAGTCAAATATAGGCAAGAATGTGTGTCCAATCCCAAGCGCCTTGTTGCCGTTCTTGTTCCCACCGATCCCCCCCCCCCATGTAGCCCTTTTGAATCCCCAGAGCAAATCACCAACCAATCCTCATCGCCGCATCCTCATGTCATCCCTCCATTAAGATCATTTCCATATAAGCAGAACTTTATCCCATACGCGCACGCTAAATAGATGTCAAAATATGAAAAGTTGATGGTATCAAGAATGCACCGCTCCATAATTCAACCCGACGCAAATAAGCAATCGCAAAACCAATGACAACACCGCTAATCTGAACATCCCCTACTCGGACAGATGAAAGTAGACTGTACGTATATATCACCAAGGAAAAAAGAGTCCGAGCAATGAAGAAGAACCGTAGTCTACCAAGGATTACGCGGTGATGCGCGACGAGCCTCGGGATTCGGTCAGGTAGACACGTTTAAAAAGTTGAACGATTGAAGTCGTCTACTTCTTTCTCGCTTTTCAACTAGTCAGTCTCTGGATGGCAAACAAGAGTTCGAAGACATACCTTTTGACGATTTTGGTGGAGGCTTACCGGCCATCCATCCTAACATTCCTCCTTTGGCAGGTTCGGCTTTCCGTCGAGATTTTGGTGGTGGAGAACCGCCTGGTTTCATGACTATAATTGGAGCGCCTCCTGGACCATGACCTTGTGGCGGCCTTTGACCTGGCGGTGGTCCTGGCCAGCCATGTGGGGGTGGAGGTGGAGGACCCGCGCCTCCTCTATGGGTGGATGGTGGAGGACCAGGAGGAGGGCCGCGAGAGGAAGTGTGATGGCCTCTGCTACCTGGCCGTCTCTCTCCAGGATGAAAGTGGTGACCGGGCATAGGACCTGGAGGGCCTGGCTTTGGTTCGGGCATTGGCCACATGTGCATGGTAATTGACCAGTCCGGCTCGATCATTGTCTCCCATACTTGAGGTAGAATGATCTCTCCATTCGGCCCAATCAAGTCATAGTGACCTTCTTGTACATGAGGTCCGATGACATCGACATGTAAGAATGCTTGTTTGATCAATTCCTCCATACCCTAGAATAGATCAGTACAAGGCAATTACTGAGGAATTGGGAGACACCTACCTCCCATTGTGCGCACAAGTGAAATGGAAAGCTGAACTTCCTGCCGACCGCATCCTTGAACTTGATCGGTTTTTTCTTGTCGTCCCCTGCAGGAGCCATGGCTTTGGCTAGAGCTTCAGCAGCTTCCTTCTTCATCTTCGCCTCACTTTCCTCGAACTCTTTCTTCGCCTTTGCAGCCTCTTCCTTTAATTTTGCAGCTTCTTCAGCAGCTTCCTTCTTGACGCGTGCGAGTTCAGCAGCAGCATCTGCCTTTTCCTTCTCCTCAGCAGCTTTGTCCGCAGCCTTCTTGCGCTCGGTCTCTGCAGCTTTCTTCGCGTTCTCAACGCCTTTTGCCATTGCAGTTTCTTTTTCCTCCTTCAACTTCTTCTCCCAGGCGGCCTTTTCATCTGCAGCCTTCTTTGCTGCCTCCTCGGCGGCGGCCGCGGCCGCTTTTTGTCCGGCTTCGAAATTTGCCAAAGCAATCTTCTTCTCCTCTTCGAGCTTCCTTTCCCACATGAGCTTTTCCTCCGCTGCTTTCTTGGCCGCAGCTTCGCGATCCTCAGCTGCCTTTTTCTGAGCAGCCTCGTAAGCAGCCAAAACTGCTTTCTTCTCCTCCTCAACTTTTCGCTCCCATGCAAGCTTCTCCTCAGCAGCCTTCTTCGCTGCTTCGGCTTGGGCTTTAGCAGTAGCCTTCTGTGCTTCCTCGTGAAGCTCCAACACCCTCTTCTTCTCTTCCTCCACCTTCCTCTCCCAGGCAGCTTTGTCTTCCGCGGCTCTCTTCGCAGCTTGCTCTCGCTCCTCAGCAGCAGCTTTCTGAGCAGCCTCATAAGCTGCGAGGACAGCTTTCTTTTCATCCTCCACTTTCTTCTCCCAGGCTTTTCTTTCCTCAGCTGCTTTCTTTGCGGCTTCCTCTGCTGCCTTAGCTGCAGCCTCTTTCGCCTCCCTTTCGGCTAACTCTTTTTGGGCCCTTTCCGCTCTCTCGGCCAATTCTCTTCTCGCCCTTGCTTCCTTCTCTTCCAAGTCTCTCTTCACTCTGTCGGCCTCCAATTTCTGGTTCCTCATCATATCATCTAGCACCATGAGCTTCTTCTCGATCTCTGGATCCAAGGGCGCGGGCCCAAGTACAGAAGGCTCGCTTGGTGTCCAATGGTGCCCGTACTGTCCGTACCCTCCAGGACCTCCTTGCTGTTGGTGCATGTATCCAGGATACCCATTGTTGAACCCACCGCCATGATGCTGAGGATACTGCATCATGTCATGTCCAGCGTAGACACCCGGAGTGCTGTGACCCGAGTGGTGTTGGCCATTGAAGTAACCGGCACCACCACCCCCTCCCGGCGCTGGCTGGGGAGAGAAAGGGTTCTGGGGATTGTATTGAAATTGTCCCGGGCCTCCATAGTGCGTCAAAGCACCTGGGTTGCCTCCAAATGGCGGTGCATATGGAGCAGTGGGTGGCCCAGAGTAGGAAGATTGGGCATAGCCGGGCGGGGGCCTTCCAAAGCCTGGCTGAGGTGCCGGGAACCCCTAGATTGAAGTCAGTACTATTGATGTGTTGAGAGATCAAGGTCAAACAAAACTTACCCGCCCGTAGCCTGGGTAGTCGTCGTCCAGTGTGCTTGATGGTGCTGCCAGAGCCGGCTGCCGATGGAGCCGGGTTGGCGCTCTTCTGCTTCTTTCTGTAGTTGTGTGTCTTCGCGTGGGGACTCGCGATGGAGGCGGCCTGCTTTCCGTTCTGTATCGAGCGCCTGTCCTTGGGCGGGATGCCGGTCTCGATGCGCTATCGCTGGGTTCTATCTCTTCAGAAACGCCTTGCCAGGATCCGTCCGATTCGTAATCAGAGGACTCGTCGTCAGTGAAGTTCTCGCTGCGATTGCTGCTGTTGGAGCGCGAGGCGCTATTTGTCGGTGAGGTTCCTATGGTGATCGTAGTTGGCATTGGAAGGTATCCTATCGAGGAATTATCTCTGGCTCACGACTTCCTGCCAGAGAAGGTCGGAGTGGAGATAAACCTAGGTCGTTTGGGAAAGGTTTTGGTGTCGAGCACCTGTGTGCATGCACTGAATTGACCCTTCTTGGGCAGACGGATGTGCGGATCGATGTGAGGCGATGAGAGAAGTGCAGGTGTGGCTAATTCTTTGCAAGTGAGAGGAATGCGCGGAATGAACTCTCTTGTTGATGATCTGGCGGTGTTGTGTTGTGTTGTGAGGGAGCGCGAGCGCGGCGCGGGACGAAGCGTGGTCGCAAAGCAATCAGTGCGACGGTGACAGATAATTCAAGTTCTCTGGCGAGACGATGATGCGCAGAAGCGATGATAGTTGTTGTAACGGTGTATCGTAGATTCGCAGTTGGCGATTCGCAATTCGTGAAGGGATTCGTGGGTGAGGTGAGGTGAGGTGAGTGTTGTGGTGGTGGTGGTGGTAAGAATGAATAATAAGAATAAAAGTTGCTGAGGGGTATGGTAATTAGCATTAGCGGCACGCAAGGCGAAAAAGAGACGAGAGGAGAGGAGAGGAGAGAGAGGACAAAAAGCACAGGGACCCGACGACGGATGCCCAATGCAAGATTCAATACCAGATTCAGTCCGTACCCAATGTCCAATGTCCAATATCCCACCCCTGGTACATCCGTGTGTGGAGGTGTATATGTGCACTCTGTTGGAGATTTATTTGACACACTTGGGCGACTCCTTTCCTTATTATTATTATTCTTCTTCCTTTCTTCCACCGGGACAGGATCGTGATGGCAATGATCGTCCTTGATGCCCAGTCTCCGCACTAGACGGGAACCAAACCCGGACAGACGATCATCGAGTTGAGTAACGAACAAACTGGACAGTACTGTACTCGCACTCACTCACGCACGCACGCACTCACGCACTCTCCAAGACAAAGACAGACAGAGCATGAAGAAAGGGGGTCAGCTCACTAACCTATTCGAGGACGAGGAGTGTTCTCTCCCTTCTCCTTCTCTCTATTTGGGGAGTTATCGTACGGGCTTGCTTGGGGGTCGAATCCTGGACAGATCCTGAAACCCGCCTCGGCGATGAGACGGCTCGTGTGAGTGGTGGGGTGCGGGCTCTGCTTGCTTGCTGGGTTTGGCCTGGTGGATGTGCCGCCGAAAGTGGACTGCCTGACTGGGCTGGGAGATGGGATGTGAGATAGGTACCGGACCGGACGGGAGAGTGCACGAGCTGCTGCTCCTGCGTGGTGGGAAGGGGAGACTTACTGTCAGTAGTGGATGTCGAAGAGAAGAAAAAAAAAAGTCGGTGTCGAAGTCAGATGGGTATTTTGGTTTTGGGGTCGGGGAATTTTTGGACAGGATGATGATGTAGTGAGTGAGTGGTGTTTGTTGCCAGGCTGACTGACTGACTGACTTTCTCGTTGCTGCTGGCTACTGTGCTCTACTCGGTGTCTCACCCAATGGCAACAGCCGGTTGGTGCTTGGTGTCTCCGCCTGCAGTCTTCGTTCTAGAAGGCAGTGGAGAAATGTACTTGCTACTGCAATGGAAATATTGCATATATGTATGTATATCTGTCTGTCTGTCTGTATGTTTGCGAGCCGATTGAGTAAGGAAGTCCCTTCACCGGTCGCGTAACTTTCGTCTGGTTCTGTGTAGAAGGCGATCCTCGAAAAGCATTCTGTTCTGGGGAGAACCGGAAGGCGCAGCTGCGGGCCTGGGAGAAAACTTGGGGGGATTGTGTGCACGAACGAAGAATTGTCCAAGTGTGTCAGCTGTCATTTATTATTCTGCTCTACGGACTGTGATCATCTTTCGGTCTTTATATCACCGTAGAGACGGACGCTGAGCTGAGGCCCTCGTGCGTTTTCACGAAAAGACTCATCTCTACAACAGAACAGCAAAGTCACTGCTCCACTGAGACTTCCGAATTGCCCTCACCGCTCATGTGAGTCTCGATACCCAATGCGAGAGCGCCCAACCACAGCCAGAATGATGCAACGCTATTTCCACGATTCGAGCCAGCAAAGCGGCCAGACCCGCTCGAGGCTGATCACAAGAAACCCGAAGAAACGTTGGGTTTCTCGATTCCAGTAATTCTTCCATACCCAAGGCGGATCAAGACAATTCAGGAGAAGTTTTGGTGCCTTGCAGCGGACCCTTCGTTCCTCAGTGAGGTCGTATTTTGCACCGTGGCCATGGTCAATTGTAATCCGCATGGAAGGCCTTCAACGGGAGATCTTCACAGCATCCGTCTCCAATAACGCTTTGGCGGCAATCACTTCGGATTTGGTGAAACCTTCCCACCCAGCCTCCCCAGCAACACTCCTTCGAACGATCTCGGATAATTTCGCCGTGGCTGTTTCATTCAGACGTTCCAGGGTCTTGGAATCTGGCGTTGCTAGGGCCGAATCTGACTTCGCCTGCCGAGATGGCTGCGAACGACCTGTGAGAAGTCGGGCAGTTGTCTATGATTTGTTAGAACAAGACTGCTAACAATACGTGGCGGACACGTACCAATTTCAATCCATAATATCCACGAAGGTAGTCGTCACATAATTCGATGCTTCGACAAAATCTTCGAATGGATTCTGCAAGGTACTTCTCAGATCCAGCCTCACCGGAAATAGCTGCCATATATAGGATTTCACCCAACCTCGCATGAATCTACACCAGCAGTCAGCAAGTATACCGAGTAGGACGTGTCTCGATACTGACGTTCCAAGCGTAAGGGGTGATGAGGAGAACCTCTTCCAACGCAAAAATAGACTGCGGGTACATGCCCTGCGACGCATAGAGATCCGCCAACTCAGCCCAGGCTTCGGCATCGCTGGGAGAGGAATCCAGAAATTGATTGAGAGCAGTGATTGCTTCAGTCGTCTTCTTTAGGGATTTGAGGAGGGCGATACGGCGTTTCGTGATGGGCTAATACTGTTAGCATGCAATGCACTGTTCCTTGTAATCGACGACCTACTATATTGCTGGAGTCCTTCTTTAGAATAGTATCGTATTCCTCCAGCACCTGCTTGAGCGCAGCATCATCAGTCGCAACAGCTTCCTGAAATAGTCCTCTCAATGCCATCAATCTCTCGTTGTCCGCACCAAAGCGTGCAGTAAGTCTTTCCAAGCATTGATGTGCCGACTGCTCGTCCCCAGTCCGTAAGCATGATAGCATGAGGTTCTCGTAGGTCATCCATAGCTCAGCAGACTCTGCGGCAGACCAGAGAGAGCTCAATGAGTATGGGGAGATAGCTGAAGGTGTACTTTGTAGTAGTGTTGGCGCCTGTTGTGATAGTTGTAGAGCGACATTTGGTGGAAGATGCGCCGGAGGATGTAACAGTGAGGAGGTCATTGTGTAGAGTGTCATAGACGGTGATGATGATGGGAACGATCGAGGATGAACAGAAAGAGACACAAGTTCACTGTTTTTGAAGCTTTTGGAGGTGTTAGCTACTCGTTATGTTGTTGCCCGGAGCTGAGCTTAAATTGATGCCGCTATTGCGGCGGCGCTAGCTCGAAGTGTATCTTGGTGGGGGGAACCTTCCATATTCTTACAATACACGCGTGAGCACATCCGTTCAGTTATCCGCCATTTCGATTGATAGTGTTCGGTCTCGAGATGGTCGCAAACATTATCTGATTGCACATTATGCCATCAGGGCTTCTGCAAGAATCTCGCCCTTCTTTGCTCAGTCACAGAGGACTTCACCGGACAGCTCGCCCAAAATGTGCGCCTTCCTGCATACCTCGACATACCTTCAAGCTAATGTTCTTCTGCAGGTTCGAAAAGTCTCTATACGACCTCATCCGAGGCCTGCGGAACCACAAGGGCAACGAGAAGGAATACATCCAAAACAGCTTGAAAGAATGTCGGGCAGAGATTCGAGGGCAGGATATGGGTTAGTGATATCATGTCGCAGAGAAATAAGTGTTAATATGTTTTAGACCTCAAAGCTACAGCTTTATTGAAACTTGTATATCTCGAGATGTTTGGCCACGACATGTCTTGGGCATCTTTCCATGTACTGGAAGTGATGTCTTCAGCGAAGTATCTCCAGAAGCGAGTAGGGTATCTCGGTGCAGTTCAGAGCTTTCGACCAGATACAGAAGTCTTGATGTTGGCTACAAATCTACTGAAGAAGGTTCGCTAGTCTTCCTTGCATGCTCTTTATATGCTCAACGGTCTAGGATTTGACTTCCACTTCTGTGACAACGATGACCCTTCCTATAATAACGTTACCACATGTCATTACACCATCGTTGGCCATGTCTGTACTTTCGGATCTTCTCCCAAGATTGACGCATTCACATCCTGCCATCCGAAAAAAGACTATCGTCACTCTGTACCGATTGGCCCTCGTCTACCCCGAGACGCTGAGACCGGCATGGCCAAAAATAAAGGAAAGATTGATGGACGAGAGTGAGGACTCAAGTGTTACAGCAGCTATTGTGAATGTGGTTTGCGAACTAGGCTGGCGACGGCCATCTGATTTTCTTCCACTGGCACCAAGGCTCTTCGAACTTCTGGTTGATAGCGGAAACAACTGGATGGCTATAAAGTTGATCAAACTCGTTAGTACATCGACAGAGTTCATTCGATGACCTACTAATATATTTAGTTCGCAACATTGACACCATTAGAACCCCGCTTAGTTCGGAAACTGTTGCCCCCTCTGACCTCCATTATTCGGACCACTCCTGCCATGTCACTTCTGTATGAATGCATAAATGGCATCATTCAAGGAGGAATCTTGGACAGTGGAGATGACTCTGTTGGAGGCGAAGAGATCGCAACACTATGTGTGACCAAGCTACGAGGAATGATTATGGTGGAGGGTGATGCTAATTGTGAGGGTGGAAAGTCAAACAGACCTGCAGCTGCTAACGATATCTCTAGTAAAATATGTGGCGTTACTTGCCTTCAACAAGATTGTTCTCACCCATCCATATCTTGTTGCTCAGCAGGAAGACGTCATCATGGAATGTATCGACAGCCCTGACATCTCCATACGACTACGAGCCCTCGATTTAGTAGTAGGCATGGTCAACAGTGACAATCTCATGTCTATTGTTGGTCGTTTGATGAGGCAATTGAAGAACTCTCGCTCAGCTACTGCTGAGGAGCTGAATCATCGACCAGCGCCTATAGAACCCAGTGCAGATTCGGACGACGAATCTCCCGAAGCTGCAATTAAGAATGCTAAAGGCGCTTCAGACGCGCCTTTATTACCAGATGACTACAAAGTCGATGTTATTACCAGAATACTCGAGATGTGCTCTGGAAGCAATTACGGAAATCTGGTCGACTTTGACTGGTATATTGATATCTTGACTCAATTAGTTCGAACCGCCCCCATCCCAGATGCCACTTCATCCACCTCGAATCCAGAACCTGGGCAAAATGATCTCAAGGTGGACGTCTCGGAAAAAATTGGAGATGAACTTCGCAACGTTGCTGTCAAGGTGAAGGCTGTAAGATTGCAAGCTGCAAGGGCTGCAGAAACTATCCTTGTGTCTACTTACAATGACAGCTCTTCGAACCTTACATCTGGGAGTGGAATCCTCAGACCGATCGCTTGGATTGCTGGAGAATATGCTTCTTATTTGGCTTCTCCCGAAGGCACATTAACTGCGTTGCTGCAATTAACTAAAGGTGCCACACCCCCGGAGAGCCTGATCTTCTATCTACAAGCACTGCCGAAGATATTTTCCATGATGGCTGGTGACGAACAGCTCGCGTGGACCCCTGAGCGTAAAACAATGATCTCACTGTTGATGGCTCGAGTGATACACGCACTAGAGCCCCTTGCCATACACCCTGATTTGGAGGTTCAAGAACGAGCAGTCGAATTTTCTGAGCTTCTGAAGTTGGCCGCAGAGGCAGCTACTGGGCAGGAACCATCACAAGATGACGCCCAAGACGCACCGTTGTTGCTCACACAAGCGATACCATCACTCTTCATTGGCCTAGAGTTGAACTCAGTCGCAGTGGGTGCGCAGAAGAACGTACCCATACCCTCTAACTTGGACCTGAACCAACCAATCAACGCAAATTTAAGCAACCTTTTAAAGGCTGTCGAGTTCTCTGGATTTGATGCTGTTGACGAGGATGAGTTTGAGATTTATTACCATAAACCGGAAGCACAATCACAAAGTGTTGCTGAACCTGCAACCAACCGTCTTGGTGCTGCTGAAGAACCGGTCCATTCATATCAACAAGGCGGCGAAGAAAGTTATCTGGACCCAGATATTGTAGCTCGACGCCGGGCTGAGCGCCTGGAAAGGAATAAGGACGATCCATTTTACATTCCTCCATCAGATAGGTCCGGTGGCTCTACTCCTCTGCACAATATCCTTCAAAGCAACAATGGAACGGATATGGATATTGATGCCATACCGATTATGCAATTAGATCTAGGTAAGACAGCCGCAAACAAGGCCGGACAACCATCCACAAAAAGGCCATCTGCATCAAAAGCACGCCAGCGAATCCAGGTTGCGGCAGATGAAACTCTAGCGACAAGCGGCACATCTACACCTAGGAATGACGATTCGGAAAACAGCCTGGAAGGCCATCAAAGACCCAAAGCCAAAGGAAAGCATTCTCTGCTTCAGGTCGACTCGAGCCATATTGGTGCTTTCTCACTCGAAGGCGACGGGTCTAGCGAACCAATCGACTACGAGCGTCAGCAGAGAGAAGAAGCAGAAATGGCAAAAGCGATGAAAGAGGTTGAAAGGCTCCGGCTAGAAATGCAACGAGCTAGTGAACGGATTGAAGCTGCGAAAGGGGTTGAAGGTACGGTGGTGAAGAAAAAGAAGAAGAAGCCCAAGGTGGTTGAGCATGAAGGGGAAGAAGATGGATCTGTAGCGGTGGTGAAGAAGAAAAAGAAGTCGAAGAAATCTGTGATAGATGATGGCTCTTTGGACCCAGAAGCGGCTGCCGATGTGGTAAAGCCAAAAAAGAAGAAGAAGAAGAAAGCGAAGATCGATGAGGGTATCGTTGACCCAGAAGGTGTAGTGGATTCATAGAGGAGCATAGCGCAGCGGCTGGGATATTTCGGCGTATGGCTTTGAAGCATAGGAGCATTTGGCAGGAATTGGTAAATACGTACTTTGAAGATTGCATTGGGATGAATGTACATAGAAGACGTGGAGAAGACCAACTGCACCCACGATTTTGCTCCCGAATACCCCTTTCATTGTCCAACTCGGATTTCATCTTGGCGGCGCGCCGAATGATAAGATACAATAAGTAGGTGGTGGTTGAAAATCGAGAAGTGCAACAATTAGGGAGAGTTCATAACCCTAAGAAGATGCATTGAGAATGAAACATAGTGGGACGGGGTCGCAGAACGAGAAGCGAGAGCGGGAGTTCAGCGGAACCGGAACAGAAAGCTCATTATTACATGTACTGACAGGTAGCGAGACTTTGCAAGCTCACGGAATGTCCACAAGTTAGACAGCATCTAAAAGAGTCCTAGGAACTATAGTCTGCGACGTAGGAATTCTGTAGACTTGAAATAGTCATCACGTGATCTAATCGTTATCGGACTGCCCTGTTGTGAACAAACTTTTCTGCGAGCTTTAAAAAAAAAACTCCAAACGCTGAGTACAGCCGCATTATGGACGACTCCAACGCCAACTACATCCCCTTGGGGATTGGGAATAGCAGAGGATTTGGAACCCCACAGCCAAGAGTAACCTCTCTATCTGGTAGACCTCCAAAGGTCATTGGAGAGACCAAAGGTATGGTTTGACGTGCCTATACCACAGAATTACCAGATGCGATCGATGCCATGGCCAACCCCCAACTAACTTGGATTAGAGGAACGAAAGCGAATTGCCCGCGAGATCCGACTTGCGCACAAGAAGGCACACAAGAAGGAGAAGGCAGACGCAAAAAGAGCAAGAAAACTCAATGGCATCCTGCACAGGCGCATGGTTAGTATAACTTTCCCACCACACTTGGAATGTGGAATTGATATCTTTTTAGACCAAAAACCCAGAGAAATATACCAAGAACAAAGACCGAAATCGTCAACGTGCTATCGATCTCGAACGCCAGAGGATTCAATACGGAGCAGTACACCAATGTGAACGCTTGGCGGCCAAACATGATCCGACTGGAAAGATGTTCAATGTTGGGGAGGTTATTGTCACTCCCGAAGGGAAGGTGAAGTCGAAGGAAGCTATCAAGAGAGAGGCTGAACGAGAGGCACAACAAAAAGCTGAGAAGGAGGCGGAAGCTCTACAACCTCGAAACAAGAGAATCAGCAAGAATCAACTCAAGAGGCAGGAAATGTTGAAGCCTAAGCCAGTTCCGCCCAAACCTGTCATCCCAGAAGGTATCACACTACCGGAAGGCGAAGAGAACCTGGTTGAGCTATTCGATATTACCGACCAAGAAATCGAGACCAGGCTCAAGAGACAAAAGTCTGCCAAGAAACAGGCTGCTAAGGACCTGCGGAAGATTCAGAAGGAGAAGAAGAAGCTCAACCGAGCTATGAAGCTCCGAAAGAAGCAATGTGCTTACGCAGGTGTTACCTGGGACCCGGAGCGAGCTAAAAGAGAGATCATTGGGGAAATGACAAAGGATGCCGAGAATGAATCAGGTTCAGACTCTGACTCCGACTCCAGTGATGACAAGTCTGACGCTGAGGGCGAAACCAATGGCAAAGCTACGAAGGAGCCGAAGCCAGAGGCGAGCTCTTCCGACAATTCTGAGCCTGTACAGGTACCAGGAGAGAAGAAGAAAAAGAAGCTACCAGAGATTCAGCGGCCTAAGCTTAATCTGGAACTGATAGCAAAGGCCGAGGAACTAGAACGACAGCGACAACAGAAGAAGCTTCTTGCTAGACAAAGAAGACGAGAAGAACGCAAGAGACTAGCTGAAGCAGAGGAAAGAAAGAAGGCCGAAGAAGCTCGTGCCGCGGAAGAGGCCCAGAAGGCTATTGTCGACGAATCTACTGAAAAGAAGTCTAAAAAGAAGCGGAAACGCTCCAAGGACGAAGACGAGGATGATGAACCCGAGGAAAGCAGCAAGAAGGAGAAGTCTCACAAGAAGAAGAAATCGAAGACTGGTGAGGTCGAGGCGAATTCTGAAGACGTCGAAGTAGCAGATGATGAACCCGTGAAAAAGAAGAAAAAGAAGTCGAAGACCGTGGATACCGAGCCTGCGGATGACAATGAGGATGGGCCAGAGAAGAAGAAAAAGAAGAAGAGGGATCGAACCGAGACTGAGGTTGAGCTTACTGAAGCGGAACTGGAAAAGCAAGAGAGGAAGAGGAAACGAAAGCTTGAGAAGCTTCAAGAGAGCAACGATGACAAGCTGGATCGACAGATTGCCGAGAGAGAAGCCAAGATGAAGGCGGAGGTGGAGCAAAACGGAGATGATACGCCTAATGGTGCTGAGCACTGGAATCCCGATGCTCTGTCAGGAGACTCTGCACGAAAGGACAAGTTCTTACGACTACTCGGAGCTGGCAAGAACGGAGCAGAGAAGTCTACAGATCAATCGAGCAGCAAGAAAGTCAAGAAGTCTAAGGACAAGAATTCTGTCGAAGAGATCACTAAGGTTCAGTCTGAATTGGAGAGGCAATACGAAGCAGGCATGAAGCAGAAGCATGACGGTGGAAGCAAGAGACGTGGTCTAGGCGCCTAAAAGTATGGATCAAGAATGATTTGACGTTTTGTTTGGTTATCGATTTGAAATTGTGGCTTTATTCCCCCTTTGCCTTACAGAAGCTCAGGATGGCTACCATTCAGAAATGCAGCGTATCTTGAAAATTTCAAACTCCGAAAGGAACGCCCATTGCAATTGCTCCCTATGAGATGACCCCCTATGAAGTGACTTTTGTAATGTACATCTGTCTTTTTGAGTACATTTCCCCGGGCTCCTTCTCGACCCAGCTCCCCAGCATTCACATTACATTGTCCATTTGCCCTCCTCTATCGTGTTGTCCAAATCACCGGAAGAAGAATCGACTCAGCAACTCGAAGATCAAACCGCCAAACACCACAAAGCCTAATAGGACTGCAATTCGTCGTCAGCAGTAGTCTGCAGATCGAAGTCCGAAAGATGTACGTACTCAACCATCCAAGACTGATTGGGCTCTTGAAATCTTGCTTCTTCTTAATCTCGCTGGCTGGCTTTCCGCGTTTGAGAGACTGCTCCTTTGCGAATTTGGCATTGCGCTTTCGTTGTTCTGGGGTTTGCGCCTGGGGAAGATGGTCAGCTCGTGTAATGGGGGTTGGGAAGCTGGGAAGAATTACCATTGTATTTGCTTGCAGATATTAAGAGGGTAGTAGGAGATATGGATCGTGTATTGGCGAGGTCAAATAGTGATCCTTAAGTATCTGGCGGACTGGAAAGGACAGTTAGAAGTGAAATGGAAATTCCGAACAATGTGATCTGTTCCCAAGTATCGGCCAGAGTGCAGTTGTGGGGCTTGGAGCCGGGCTAGGGTCCGTAAAAGCGCTCAGGGATTTAAGGTTCGAAGTTTGGACTTCCTCATCCGAACTCCAAGCTCGAGAACAGAACTTCTCTGCCTTGGGAGATCATGCAACACGCATCTTCACTCTCAGAATGATTTCTTTCACATCTCGGACGATCCTCACAAAGCGCAGCGGCTGGAGAGTTGTCGTGCAACCTCGATTCAATTCTACTCAAGCTGGCCAGAAACCAGTCTCTCCTCATGTAAGCTCTGCCAAGCTACTTGTACTGCCAATGGAAAACTAATGTGCTGCGCAATAGGTCGGCTTCTACAAAACCTTCACACGACCGGTAGCTAAGGTCTTGCTAATGGCGACATTCACATATCAATTGGCATATTGGGGATGGGTGAAGCTGGAAAAGGACGAGATCAAACGTGAGAAGTCTGGTTAGTCAAGTCACAATCGATGTTGGCACTGGCTGATCAGCTGTTCTCAGCGGAACTCGAAGGATTAGAAAAACAGCTTGGAGACTTGACGAAGGCGAAGCAACTGAAGCCTTGAGCTTTTCAGGATATGCCGGCCTTCCAACGATCCGGACGAATACCGAGCAATCCTTATCCCATCGGCAAATCTGAGGTGATATACGTTTACTGTATCTTCAATCAGATAATGTAGGATCGGACACTGATTGATGATCGGAAAATGACTCAATTCGGGCCAGGATCACCATTCTATGACAACATCTTTGACATGGATTTGTTGTGAGATTTTGGCTCACCACACGAGAGACTCGGTACATCCAAGATGATGTTTTTGGATATTGCTGAAGCAGATGACCGTCAGATCGTTCAAAACGAATTCTCTCTAGGACTGTCGTCGCTCTGCACAGCAACTCCGACAATCTTGATCAATGCTAGAATATAAGGCCTAATGGCCTTTGCCAACCTCTATATGAAAAGAGATTTACTCTTGCTCTTTGGCCTGTCTCCTCGGTGTCCTATTCTCTTGTTTCAAGGGTATGGATAAACTCGAAAGTGTACCTAGGTTTGGTAAATGAATTGATATTGCGTATGCGCTTTGTTATTTTTGTGGCTTACTCGTAAGGCGCAGTTCGCAAAGACTAATTATCCTTTACTTGCTTGCTTGTCACTTGATGATCGTCAGAGGGAGACATCTCATCCATAGAACATTGAGTCAGTTGACTCTTCGGCCGATTCATATTCCTCGATATATTTTGGCTGAGCTGAGATGCACCTCGTTGTTGTCCAGTCAGGCTTTGAGACGTTGTGCCATGTCCATTTCCATCTGCAGTTCCAATTTGACAAGCATTGACTGCGGCTGAGACTAGTTCCCGCCTGCCCTTGGCAACCAACAATTTGTGAAAACAAGTCACCCCCAGGAATGCATGGGTAGCATCGAGGTCGCTTTCTACTTGTCAAAGGTTTCTCAGACATCAAAAGCAGGCATGAGGCGTCGACGAGTTGGGTCTCCGGCATTGTAAAGGCTTTGGTTTGAGCTGGCCGATGGTAATCAAACATGCTGGTGGGCTGCAGCTCGTACAATTGTTGGATGTCTGTGGAGGGCGCAGATTATTCTGAATCCTTTGGGTGGGCAAGTGTTCAGCCCTAAAAAGCAGAATTTCACTTTCACTCTCACTCACTCTCATTTTCAACTTGTCCTCGGCTCTTATTTTGTTCTAGTGAGTTCTAACGGCCATTTTGTCCTTCGCGTCCTACTTCTCTGCGTCTTCATGCTTCGCAATCAATCTTCATCCTCAACAGTACCCATCATGGCCGCCAACACTGCGTCTGTAAGGGTGCCAAGCGACAACAACACATCCATCAGTTCCCCGCCCGCGAGTCTGAAGCCTTCCGTTGAACGGCTCTCCGCGATCGATCGCGATGCTGTCCGCAAAGAACTTGGTGCGCCTCTGGACTACAATGAAACTCCTCCCGAGAACTCCAAAGACGCGAAAAAGCTTCCTCCCCATGGGCTCTACAAGTTAGCTTTGGGCATGGAGAACCGCGCTTCGATGCGTTACTACTTCATCATGGTCCTCTACAACTTCTGCGTTATACTCCAACTCATTCTTGGTGCTACCCTTACAGCCCTCGCTGCTGTTGGTTCAGCAACAACCGATAAGACTGGGGTTTCGATTACAGTTATAGCTGCGGCAAACACGGTCAATGCAGGTGTCATCGCGTTGTTACATGTAAGCCTGACCTTCTCACAAGATGATTTTATCTTCCCTGCTGTTTTGGAGCTTCCTTCGCGACGTCTCGTTGCTCCTGACACAAACAGTATCTTCGGCGAAACTGTCATGTTGGATGTACCAAGAACAAATGCTTACGACACCTTGACCAACAGAACAGCGGATTTCCCCAACGTTTACGAAGTGACATGAACGAGTATTCGAAAGTGGTGCAATACATAGAGAAGTTGTTTGAGACTGGCAATGTACCTGTTGGCATGACCAAGGACGAGGCTGTCAACTCAGCTTGGGACAAGTACGATGAAGCCAGGGCGACGGTAGAGAAGAATCAACCGACTTATTATGTTGGACAGACCCCGGCAACGGCAGCCCCAGCTGCGAAAGCATCTCCTGGGGATCTAGTTTAGCCTATGATCGGGAGGTTAAAGAAGGGGTGAAGGGAGTTTGGAGTCAGTATTCTAGGGATACCAATGTTGTTCTAAGTGATTGTTTTCGTTTTGAGCGACAGTGAGGTTTCCTCTCTCTTGTTATGCTGTGGTGGATGGAGATCTGTATCGCCAAGCAACGATGTTCATAGCTTCATTTCTCGTACAACAATTGTAGCAGAGTCAACATCTTCATGTTTTGACGCGAGTATTTCCGTTCAAATCGATGTTTGCCTCCGAATGGAGCAAAAACTAGCAGGCAAGCAGTCAAATTGTTCTGGGTTCGACATTGGAGCGCGGGAAGACTTCACGTCTAAATGATTGCCCATTGACTAGATGTTGGAAGTTTCAAGGTCACCATTATCACAATTTGTAGCACGAAGTCATCAATGAACCTTAATGTGAAGCGACTTTGGATCTGTAAATTGCTTTTCCGATATCCAGCTTTCATCAATCGTATCTACACATACTATTCACGGAATCCCGTTGATATACCATAAAAGAAACTTAAGCAACCCTACCCTTCACCTGTCTCAGCTCCTTGACCTTGAAATCCTTCCATATAAGAATAAACCCAAAGCAGGGAACCAAGAAGACCGTCGCCGCAATCGTCAAATACCACATCGACTGCCCATACGCATAAATGACCGCCGTCCGCTCAGGAGATCCAATCGGATACAAGAGCTGCGTAGTAATACTAGCATACAACTCAGCATTCAAAGTCGCGTTCCCTGGCAACGCTGCATTGAGTGCTTCGGGGAATTTGTGGGTGTATATCGCACCAGCGATCGCGGATCCAATACCCCCTCCGACAGAGCTAAAGAGAGCTATAAGAGCCAACATGGACGCAACTCCAGCGTGGGGAGCTGCTGCCATAACAGCCATATCTTCGCAGATGACTAGTCCACCGCCTCCGAAAGCAATGAAGATTTGGCACATGATCAGGTATCCGATTCCAATGTCTGGTTTGCGGAAGTGGATCATTAGGCCTACGCCGAGGATCTGGAGACAGAGGTGAGCGAGAGCGAGGTATTTGAAGCGGCCGATGAGTCGGATCAGGCCTGCGAGGATGACAGCCCAAAAACAGGAGCCGATGCTATAGATGTTGTAGACATAGCCAGCGTTCGTTACTGAAAGGCTGTGGACGACTTGTAGGTAGGCGTTGAAGTAGGAATCCCAGAGACTATTCCTTTGTTAGAATACGAAGCTCTCGATGGATGACTTGGAGACTTACTAGAAGCTGATGAACAAGAAGTTGGAAAGCATACATGCCCCAATAACAGAGCGATCCATGAGGAGACTGAACGGGATGAAGGACTTGGGAGCAAGGAACTTTTCGTAGCAGATGAATGCAATCAAAGCAATGCCACCGACGACGAACATGGCGATGATCATGGGTGCTTTGTATCCTTTTGCTTGGTATGAGGCGAGAGAGAATGGAAGGAGGATGAGGACGAAACCGGCACAGATGAGGATCAAGCCGATGACTGGAGTATATTAGTAGGCAATCTGAGGGTTATGATGGGAGGACTTACTGTCAAACTCCCAGAAGTAGTAGTTAATGCTCTGTCCCAGAGTACGTCCACTCTTCTCTTTGACCAGCAACCCTCTCTTGGTGGCCTTGCATTGGTTGAGCCAAAGAAGAGACATAATAGGCATTGCAATGACGGGAGTAACGATTGCATATGTACCATATCCCCATGGCCATCCACTAGTTTCGAGGAAGGATTGGGCTGCTCTTGGGCCAATAAAAGTCGTGACTATGTATGGAGTAGTTGAGAAGGCAAAGACTAGAGCTCTGTTCTTCAAGCTGGATGTATCGGCCATGAAGACGTCTAGTGTGTAAGCCATACCATCGAAACCGACCCAATAGAAGACCTGAGCAGCAGCATAAGTCTCGACGTTTCTACAAGCAGCCATCATGATGAGACCTATAAATATGAGCAGGAAATCAACCAAGGACTTCGAGTTTCAACATACCGATGACAGCAAATCCAGTCATGATTCCAAAACCCTCTGCGCGTCCTATGAGATCAACGAATTTGGCAGTTGGTAGTCTCATGACACCACCAACAATGCTAGAGACGATTGAAGTGGTCGAGGTGAGAGGAAGCAACGAAAAGGACGAGGTTACGTAGACGATCAAGTTGAATTGAGTCTGTTGCTGCATCGAAACGACGAAGAAGACCAGGAAGATACTGTATCAGTGTCAGTTGATCCTAAAGTTGCGCTTTTTGCAAACTTACAACGCGTAAGCCAGAATTAATTCATTCTTGGTCCATGTCAAGGTGACAGCTTCGACTTTCTTGACACCAGTCTGCACGTCGGGTGTAGGTATCTTCTCGAGGATGTTCTCGTCACTACTTCTTGCCTCTCCAATATCATCGTTGAGGTTCTTCTCTGTGGCACTCTCCCCGGCGGGCTCAGTTTGAGGAGCTGCCTCCTCGAGCAAGACGTCCCGCTGTCCAAAGCCACGGAATTTCATGTTGACTTAAATGGTAAGGAAATGGTTGAAGAGGGAAAAGCGCAAAAGTCCATGGGAGATACCCAGAGTATATGTATGCAAGCGTTCAGGTTCGGCCCGTCCATAATCTTGCTCAAGGCCAAGGGGCTATCAACGTCGAAATTCTTCATCCCTCTTTACTAGTGGCACTTGTGTGTTACCAGGACACATCAACCCACTTGGTTGCATATTTCCCCTCTAGTATGCTAGTCTTCTCCATATACGGGAACGTGCATAGTGAAGAAAACCCACTTAGTGGATCACAAACCCGAGGTGAACATCGTCTGCCAATGACAAGAGACGCTTTCATCTGATAAAAGATTAGATTTTCACCATCTGATAATCCTTGCCGCAGGTAGTGGAGTGGGTGGTCCTTCCGTACATCTTCGCAGTTTGAGGGATTTCTCTGTCTGCACTTCAGATTCTAATTTTTCTTCTCTGAAGAAACTTCGTCTTGATATCAGTGTCTATCTTTTCCTCTGCTGTGCGCTTATCATACTGCGTTGACATCGGGTGGTAGAGCTTCATCGCGATAACGATCCCTCTGCAGCGATTCAGATGCGCAGAGAATGTCACCAAGGTTCTTCTGGAAAGTGTTTGTGCAACCTTGGCAGCACACCCTGACCAGCTTCTCGGGCAAGGATTGCACTTTTCTTGCAACGATAGCGTCGATAGCCAAGAGCGCATTTTCACATGGTTTTCGCTCTGCCCGTGGATATAACCCAATGGATGAAGTGGTTTTGCCTTCGACTGTCTGGTAAATGACTGAGCTCGGATGAGCGCGGCGAGATGGAACGTCAACTGCGAGAACGGCCACTTGCTTGCTTTTCACGTCCAACCTGTGAAAAGGATGACGATGGTTCTTGGATATGCCAACTCGGAGATGATCAGAGGGACTCCCACGCCATTTCTTATTGTTTATTACGAGATGGAAACCATTTGGAGAGGATCAGATAAGATGAGATTGATCTGATTAGATATTTTCACCGAGCTAGCAGGGAAGGACGTGCAGGGAAGAGCAGAAGCCAAGGACGTGTAGGAATCCACCCTGGGGACTACTCTGCCCGTACCTTGCCGCCGCCATGCGTTACGCAAGGAGATTACCACGAGGGATTGTGTTCTTCGCCGGTAAAACTGACGGCTTCAACAAATGCGTGTCTCTGTGGGGTTATTCTGAAAGCAAGCAAGTGCATTAAAGGAGAAATCTGAAGCAGTTCTTCGAGCAAATCTTCTCTCTAGCATCTCCCTAGGGTTATTTTTCTACCTTCCTCGATGTCCCCAGATCTCCGGCCGAACAAGCTACCTCTGAGGGTACGACGTCAAGATCTGATTGATCGTTACCCGATGGGAACAACAATCGACAATCATGGGCGGACACTATAATTGTTTCGTGGCGACCAAGGGCAGTGCTCATGTCAGAGATCAATGTGTCAAGCACTTCTTCTCATTTGGTCTCTTGATGTTCACATGGCTTCGGAATGGGAGCATAAAGACGGAAAAGCATGTCCAATGTTTGAAAAGAATCTCGATTTCTACCACTTTTTCACTCTGCTCCTCCGTTACACCATTTCCCAAGATATTGACCGATACAAGCATTCAATTCTCAGCAGTCGAACATCCATCACATGCAATCTACAGCTACATTCCGCCACCAAGAATCCTTTGCCTCCAGTCTAGCTTTCTTCATCCTTCGACTCGCTTGAGCTCCCCAGTCTTGATATCGTACAGAAAGCCGAAAGAATGCTCGGCAAGTTCCTTTCTGATATATGGTGAAGCCTTCAGAACAGCAAGATCATCCTTGATGCTTTGTTCGATACTGGACATGCTTCAGTACAGTGTACTGGAACGATAGGGTGTGGTGAATGTAGTGTTAACTTACTCAGTCACGGCACCAAACACCTCATTGTCAATTTTCGTGTCATTGGGATGTTGTTTCTTCAGATTTGCCTTGACCATCTCGTCGGTGAATATAAGCGCACCGCAGTCTTTTCAACTGGTTAGCATTTCTCACTGCCAGAAAAAGGTAGACAAACTCACCAGAGTGATGCACGATCATGATTTCATGGATACCCAAATAAGTGTCCAGGGCCAAAATGTCGTTCAATAGAGGAGCTACGTGCCCATTGATATTTCGGAGGGTTAGTACTCCATCTGGATTCTAAATTAGATCATATGGTGTCTTTTCTGCGAGCTTGTCTACTCACCAGTTGGCTTCAAGTTGAGAAAGTAATGGGGAACGCATCGAGGATCAGCGCAAGTGACTGCCAGGTTTAGTGTTTGGCAGTCCTAGGACTCTCAAAAAGACTTACGAACGATGATATGAGGTGGTTCCACCCCCATGGCAGCTATTTCGTCAATCGTTGGAATAGGCTCATGTTTCGCTGCAACAGCTCTACCAAATCATTAGCATGCGAAAACGTCTGACTATGTGGAACTCACTTGTTGCGCTCTAGAAGTTCATTGATTGTAAGTTGGGTTACCATCTTGCTATTAGATAAAGTTCTTGGAAGCATAAAGAAACGTTGCGTATGAGTTTTCTTGAGATTGGAGAGCTCGTTGATGTTTGAGATGATGAGAATATTTCAGAGACTGTAAGTCGAAGAAGCATTATATACAATTTTCGCATTTGCTCGTCATGTTTCTCTTCGCCCCTTCTCGTTGCATTATCGCCGATGCCCATATCACCGCTGTTCTCGAAGTTTCAAAGTACAATCAAATGACTCTGGTCGACTTCCAGTCTCTCCGCCATCGTATGTTCTACATCCCCACGGATCTGCACGACAACATTCATATGCTTACAATGATGAGTCGAGATCCAATCAACTGCTGCAGGAAATAGCCTTTCGAAGTTTGTACATCCGGCGGGAGGTTGTACAACATTAACGCCGCCCGAGTTTGTGATTAGAATCTGTCAGCACTTTGTCAGTAAGTACGTTGAGTACGAGACGGCAATATTTCGGTGTTTCGAGTCTTGCTGGATGTCGGCCGCAGAATATGACAATCACCAATTCTTACTACTCTAGGCGTATGCTCTGGGCTCAGAATAAGGCTTCTAGTTTTTGGTGAGGCTGCAACTCGAGCCTTACTCGAGATTGAATTAGACTTCCGGACACTTGTTTCGTAGATTACCAGAACCGTGGTCAAAGGACGACCATCCATGTTCACATCACAGACGATCCCAGTTGCTTGGGCTCAATGACGCGGATGTCCGTGCAAGAAGAAATTCACCAAGACGATGAATTTTGGTTGATCAGCATAGCGGAAAGTTTCTCGAAGAGCATTGGCAGCGCGGAGAAATACAACATCTCTCCATCCATGTCCGGTCAGCGCTGAAGATATTCCAAATCATTCTGCAGCTTTCATGACGACGCAGAGAGCTATCGAAATTGTCAAATCCCATCCCAGAATTGATGAAGCCTCAAGGTGACAAAGATATTTGTTGAAGACGAAGCCCACGGGACGAACCTCGACTAAACTCAATCCAGCGGTTAGTACCCCGGTCTGCTGTGGCTTTGTCTCTACGCAATCGTGGCTGAGCACGCCTCGGAATGGCTCTTCCTCTCTCTGACAGAATGAAGAAAATCTCCTACCAATCGTATCAATTAATGTACGCCGCGTCTCTGGTTCCTTAAAGTCGAGATATTTAGCTTCTGCTTCCCCGCGCCTTAAACCTCACCATGTACGAAGACGGTATCACGATCCATCAAATGCTTCTCCTTTCCGACGAGATGCAGCCCGGTCATACCCAGACTCCTGGGACCCTGCAGCAGACAGGAACGTGGCTCAGCGGATCATTTTATCCCTGCGAGCATCATCGACCTCTTTGATGGAATTATATATCTGCGATAGGCATGAGTATGATTAATTTCCTTGCCCATCTTGGCTTCGCATTCTGTTCTGTTGTTACACAATCAGTTGTTCAATTTTGCGGCGGATGCATCGGAGTGAGCTCCATGCCATTGGATGCAGACAGACACCTGCAGCAATAGCGCAATATCATCAGCAACGTCTTGAGCCTCACTTCCAGTCCTGAGATCACTCATGCTGCTAACATTAGGCTATCGCAACTATGGCGAATGCGACCCCGACCATTGAATTCCAGTTCGTCAATTCGACCATCACCAGTCCGACGGTCCCTCAAGATGCGGAGGTTCGAGCTCTCATCAGGAAACAGGCCATGAAGAAGGCATCCTTAGCTCGAAAACGAGATGGAAACTATGGAAAGCACAACCTGCGACAGTATCCAGTCTTCATATATGACCAGTCCAATACTGGTACAGAAGTCGCTGAGGTCTGGGACAATGGGAAGGAGTTGGGGATCCGGGCTCGACGGAAGGACGGCGGCAAAAATTCAAAGAGCAATAAGGATACCAGAGCCAATCCCTTCAAGGCAGACAAGAAATATGCAGAGCGACAACAATGGCTGAGGAAAGTGATCAAAGGCGAGACGATTCCGCAATGCCTGTCTCCAGATGGCTACGAACTGAGGAGCATGCAAACAGACTTCGACATCCTCGATCTCTCAACACTAGCAACCCTCCACATCGGACGTGCCGTTCGAGGAGCCCTGTCGCAGAATCCATACATGCTCATCAATCAATTGCGGACGCACAAGCGGTGGTCATATTTATCATTTCTACCTACACGATACGAACATATCAAATGTCTAAGGGATGCTACAGATTGTGTGATTGCTCGTGCCCGTCAGATTGTGACCCCTAACCAGAACTGGGAGGCAGCAGTGATAGCTTTCTATTTGAGGGCACTAGATAGCTTGCAGAAGGCTCTAGATAGTCCCACGGAACGATATCAACCTGAGGTCCTATGTGCTACTGAAATTCTTGCTTTATATGAGGTGCGCTTCACCTTCCGATCAGGGGTTTGGATTGTACTAATGGTTAGCAGATGCTTGATCCCAATGGAGAAATGGCATGGGTACGACATTCGGCCGGAGCTGCAAAGCTGATTCACTTGCGAGGTCCCAAGAACTACGACACTGAGTTCGAGAAAGCCCTTTTCATGGCACAGACAGTACCAATCGTAAGAAATTCCTCTGTATGTCTCGGATTATCTTGGTTTCTGACAACCGCAGATGACTGAATGCCTCCTGAAGGGTGAGCGCTGCTTCCTTGAGCAGAAGCCATGGCAAGAAGTCATGCGATCCGTGATCGAAGAAGACGCCATAATCTCCGACAGGAGTGAAGCCGTCGTCACGCTCCTGATGAACAAGTGCCAAATCCCCGGTTGCGGCGTTGATGTAACAGGATTGATTTGTACTGACACACCACCGGAGCCGGAGGAAGTAGAACGCATCACTCTCAAGATCCGTCAGCTGCGTAAGAACTTCTTGAATTGGTATAAGAAGTACGAAACCATTCTCGCCAAATGTCCAGATATGTACCCTGGGAGTGCGAATCATGACAGCCATTGCAAAGTATTTGCGAACTATCTGTCGTGCTTGATGATCACGAGTCGATTTCTGGTTGCAATTTCGCCGAGTGATAGGTTAGAGGTGGAGGAGTATACGCAATGGCTTGCAAACGAGATGGTTGAGCTAGAGAATCAGGTCAAATTATCGCCTACGAGTTTGTTCATGGCGCAGACGATGGCGGTTGCTCAATCTGTCATGGCTACGAAGGAGGACTGGCTTGGTGATGGGGAGAAGGTGATGAGTGATGAGAAGGGGTTGATTGAGAGATGGAAGTTGGAGAGATGGTGTGGGATGTTTGGGAGAAGGATGCCGTGATCCGTAGCTTCTCGACTTCAATAAGTGAGGCACGGGGAGGAAGAACTTCGTGGCGCACTGCATCACCACCGAAAGGATTATAGGTAACGTTGCAGAGGAGGTTAAATCCCTGCTTGATGCTGATATAATGGTTGATACACTTTGAGGAAGATTCAAAGTTCTACGTGAAGATATCTGGATTGAGGGCTCACAGTCGAGGTCAGCTCGAGATATCTACTATCTAGCTAGACGGGACGTCAAAAACGCTTGTAGGAGAGACGATAATACGGCATAAGGCTGAACGTAATGTTATGAGCAATGATAAATAACATCAAGACCTGGCTATCTTGTGCAACCAGTACCGGTGTGGAAAGAGGATGCTCAAGGATGGCACAGTCAACAACCCAGCAAATAAGATGACTTGCATATTGAAAGCTGGGGCCGGGCCGGCATCGGGACGTGCCTATATACGCAAATCCCCCAGAGCTATATTAAGTGCGGGTGAGTGAAGATGAGTATGCAAGGACACGCCATACCGCAAGCCATTGTCTTGGGTCCTGGGTAAGTCGGCTCTAGAGTCTGGACTCTTCGATTGAATAATGCAGAAGAGTTGGGCTTGGAAGGAGAAGTAAATATAGACAACAGTTTGGTAAGTCATGGCATTGGCTAGGAGGGCTGTGATGTGGTTGTTGAGGCGCCTGTGGGCTCTGGATAAGTCGGCTTGATCTGGCTTCTCGACATTCCATCTCGTGGGGAAATTGGCTTATCGCAGATTCAATTTCAGCAAGCAGCTTTTGGTAAGGTTGGTTACTGGTTGTGGTTTCTAAGAGGGTGGTTGTTGCGGGCGCTAATGTCTTCCTTGGGTCTGGATAAATCGGCTCTTTCTCAGCCTGATTGTTTCTTGCATGTGTTGGGCTCGGAACATTAGCTGTGGCTGTGGGATGAGAGCTTGTGAAATGATCATGTCGACGAATTGGGAGGGCTTCCCAAGGCCGGCAGTTGCTAGCGAAATTTGATGTTAACCATTATGGTAGAGGATGAGCTGATTTTCGCCAATTAAATAGAAGTATAGCTCTTCACATCAATCTGGCCACCACATTTGGTGAAGGAGCCGATCTTCCGTGTTGAATCATTGAACTGGCGATGTTACTTCCACGACCAAGGAGGCGGGTGGGTGAGAGGCGAACTGGTCTTGTTTGCTTGGGCTATGTCGTGGGACTCATCTGATGTGTTGGAAGTATAAACTGCTACAGGCTAATAATGCAAGTTTCCGTCGAATCCCTGACAATATCTCGCCAAGAAGGACCATTTGGTAAGTGGACTTGAGGTTGAGCCGCTTACTATACTGACTTGAATGGATGTCAATTTGTCCTCGCAAGTTTCATTCTTCCGAATTGCACTATATTGTCGAACATGGTTTGAGTTCTACATGATTTGGCTGAGAATTCGTCCCATGTTTGATGTGCAATGCAAAGTCCAAGGATGCAAGAGTAAGAAAACGGATTACGACGCTCGGATCCGAACCAGGTTGCCCCTTTGGACAGAATGCCATTTGAGACGATTTGAAAGTGAGAATGTTTATAAGCTTATGCCCAGAGTGTTTACTACCCACTCGAGCTAAAGGCTACTTTAACTCTAAATCCACTACATGCTGCGGACAGCTAAGCTTCCTTGGCAAAATTCCTTACGCCTACTATTGTGCGAGAATAAGAACAAGAAGACATGATCTCCGTGCATGACGAGGCTTATCTAGCATCTCGGTAACTCTATTTGGCACGCTGTGGCTCTTAACGTTCACAAAGAAGTGCAATGCAGAAAATCAAGTTACGACCAGGCAATGTTTAGGCAACTACCGCAAGACGCCGACTCTGAACCAAACTTGGCGAAAATACGCCAAAAGATCTGCACCAATGCCGGGGCGCTCATAGCCCGGGATGATGTGCATCAGAACTTAAAATATTATTCAGGCAGTACAGTACTAGTGCCAGGATGGGAGAGCATTCCAGTCTTCAACTCGAAAAGTTTCACCGCTCCTACTCGGAAACGGAGTTCACGCATAACAGCGTGTCGCAGTCTTTCCCAGCCAGAAGCTGTCGGTGTACCTATAACCTTATATGCCACACGTGATCTCAAAGTTTACCTAGGCTAAAGGACTTTAACGGATACCGGCACAGCTTAAATCCACGTCCGTCAACGATGACAAGCCCGCCATCATCTCATGGAGCGACCGAAAGCGGCTGTCGACAGTTCAGTTCAGCTCAGAACCCGTGAGCTGTTGTGGCGTCGAGTTGTCTGAGCATCAATACAGTAATGCTTCGGAAGAATCATTGCGATGCTGTATCTCCAGATTGCACCTCGAGTAGGACGATACCGTTGTTGCTCAATGGCTGCCCATGGCACTCACTAGAGTATCGCGACGGGACATGGCTTTCTGCTGTCCCCGATGGTGCAAAGCTTGTCAGACGGAACATGCACACTCCCAACATTCTCCTCTGCACACATTCTGCAGTGTAACGTGCAAAACCGGGTCCAGCGAACGAGAGCAAGACAATCATCACCATACAGCTCTTCTCTTCCACATCGACGACGGTTTGACTCTTCACTTCGACTTACCGGTAGCGTCCACCCCACTTCCGCACGTTGCTGATGCTCTCTCTGCCCCTCTTCCCCTTCCTAGACTAGGCCACTCTGCTCCAAGTCCATGCAATGCAATGGGCAACATTGCCAAAGTCGTCTCGCTCATTCGTCCGTATTCCGATGCGACACCGACTGAAGAGTGGAAACTTGCTCTGACCGGGCAAGCATGGAACGGCACACAAATGCGAGGATACGATCCCATACTTACGGCGCCTGGGCGCCACTTCTTCCCCGGCCGCCGCTCAGAGCTCGAGCTGCATGGGGCTCTGTGAGCTTCACCGTTGTTGACATTCGAGACAGCAGGCCCCGGAGGCCCAGGCTTTCGATGTCTCGGAAACTTGTACTTGCCGGCAGACCATTCAAAGTGGTTATTGGTCCCGCAAAGGTTTCTGAACGGAAAACAAAATCTCTTACGTTTCTCGCTAATCTTCTGACGACAAGGGCATGGCATGGCATGGCAGGGGAGGAGGGGACGGTCATTAAGTAACGTCTATCCCTGCCTGTCTGAATAGCCCGGCATAGACCAGCAGATGCACTACTCTTCAATGTACTGCACCATGAGTTTGCCTCCTGCTCCAGACGGGAAGGTCAAAGGTGAGCCACCACTTCGGAGCCGAGATCGTCCTCCGGACATCCACCAGCGTAGAATGTCTGCCTTCCCAGATATCATCCAAGCTCCTCTTCCATATTTTATATCTCTTCCCCCGCATCCCATGGATCTCAACTTTGCCTGCCATTCGCGCGGAACATTATGACAGATCCCAACCAGGACAACGACATTGAGCCGCGAGCTGCAGACCCCACCGCGGCTGTTCAGAATCCCAACCATGCAGAGCCTCTCGATGAGGATGGGGAAAAGAAGGACTACATAGAAATTACCACACATAGGCCGCGCTCAAGTATAGATGATTCCGACCCAGAATACACTCCGGACGAGAAGCACCCACACATCGACCGAACAAAAAGCTACGCTACCAATACCAGCGCACCAGAGTCGCATGTTGAAGACACCCCGAAGAAGAAACCATGGTACAAAAATATTAATCCCTTGAGATGGGGCGGGATACCTCCTGTGCCAGAGAAGCGAATAGTTTCAAGAGAATACACGGCTCCATTCTTGAGCTTGGTATACTTCCAATGGATTGCCCCACTTATGGCTGTAAGTACTCGTACGTATCTGCTATCCAAGGCGCATACTAATTTCATGGCTCTAGGTTGGCTACAAGCGACCTCTCGAGCAGAACGACATTTACCTTGTCAACCCCAATCGATCAGCAGACGTTTTGACCAAGAAATTACAAGCATCCTTTAAGAAACGAGTGGCAAGAGGAGACAAATATCCATTGCTCTGGGCAATTCATGAGACATTCAAGGTTGAATTTTGGATTGGTGGCACCTGCCAATTCTTCTCCAATATTCTACAAGTCGTTTCTCCATTTACTCTTCGATATCTGATCCAATTCGCCACCAATGCCTACATTGCGCAACAGAAGGGCGAGCCAGCGCCACACATTGGGACAGGACTTGGCCTGGTATTCGGAATCACATTCATGCAGATGTGTCAAAGTTTGGGCACAAATCACTTCATCTACCGAGGGATGCTGGTCGGTGGTCAAACAAGAGGAGTGCTTATTTCGGTAATTTTCGAGAAAGCGATGAAGATCTCTGGACGTGCCAAAGCCGGAGGTCGAGAAATCAAGGATGCCCCAGAGAATGAGGAACAATCTGTCGATCAGACCGAGAATGGCAAGAAGTCAAAGAAAACTAAGAAGGCTCCAGGCGTCAAGAAAGGACCAGATGCTGGCAAAGGTATCTCTGGCGATGGTACAGGCTGGGCAAACGGACGAGTGGTAAACTTGATGTCTGTTGATACTTATCGTATCGATCAAGCATCTGGCTTGTTCCACATGATTTGGACTGCTCCAATTGCCTGCATTATCACGTTGATCTTGCTTCTGGTCAACTTGAGTTACAGCGCTTTGGCTGGTTTCTCACTACTTGTGGTTGGCTTGCCAGTCCTGACAAAAGCAGTGAAGATATTGTTCCGGAGAAGAAGAAAGATCAACAAAGTAACGGACCAGAGAGTCAGCCTGACCCAAGAGATCTTACAGTCTGTACGGTTCGTCAAGTTCTTTGGATGGGAGAGTGCATTCCTCGAGAGGTTGCAGGACATTCGAAATCGAGAAGTTCGCGCCATTCAATTTCTGTTAGCCATCAGGAATGCCATCAACGCTGTTTCAATGTCATTGCCTATCTTTGCATCTATGCTTGCATTCATTACTTATCGACTGACGAGTCACAACCTGGCCCCCGCACACGTCTTCTCATCTCTTGCATTGTTCAATTCTCTGCGTATGCCATTGAACTTGCTGCCTTTGGTCATTGGACAAGTCACAGACGCGTGGTCCTCAGTCTATCGTATCCAGGAATATCTCATGAGCGAAGAACAGGAAGACGAAGCCAAGTTCGACGCAGATGCCGAATATGCTGTTGAGATTCACAATGGCGATTTCACCTGGGAGCGCACTGCAACACAGGATCCCGACGAGCATATTGCTGGCGGTAAGAAGGTGCCCGGTCTCGACAGAAAGGCTCAAAAAGATGCCGTTAAAGCCGAGAAAAAGGCTGCGAAGGCGACGGACAACCACTCTGGAGATGCTACTCCCGATGACACAAGCACTTTGGTCGAGGACAGAGAACCTTTCAAGCTCCAGAACATGAACTTTACCATCGGTCGGAACGAGTTGGTTGCTGTAATTGGTGGTGTCGGTTCCGGAAAGAGTAGTCTGTTGGCTGCTCTCGCCGGTGATATGCGAAGGACGAGGGGTGAGATGACCATGGGAGCTAGCAGAGCCTTCTGTCCACAGTATGCATGGATCCAGAATGCGAGTGTCAAAGAGAACATCCTATTCGGCAAGGAGATGGATAAGCCATGGTATAAACAAGTGATCGATGCATGCGCATTGCAGCCGGATTTGGAGATGCTTCCTCAAGGTGATCTTACGGAGATTGGAGAGCGTGGTATTACAGTATCTGGAGGACAGAAACAACGACTCAATATTGCTCGAGCAATCTATTTCGACGCAGATTTAATTCTTATGGACGATCCTCTTTCTGCTGTCGACGCACATGTTGGTCGCCATATCTTTGATAATGCTATCTTGGGACTCCTGAAAAATAAGTCGAGAATCCTGGCTACTCATCAACTTTGGGTACTCAATCGCTGCGACAGAATTATCTGGATGGAAGATGGCAAAATCCAAGCCATTGACACATTTGACAATCTAATGCGAGACCACGCAGGCTTCCAATTACTGATGGAGACCACTGCTGTCGAAGAAAAGCATGAGGAAGAGGCTCATGTCAACGAGGATGAAGTTGAAGATGAGAAGAAAACACAGAAGAAAAAACGAAAGAGTGGCCAGTTGATGCAGGCTGAGGAGAGAGCGGTCAAGAGTGTTCCATGGTCTGTCTACACCGATTACGTGCGAGCATCAGGCAGTCTATTCAATGCCCCTCTTGTCCTACTGTTCCTTTTGGCATCCCAAGGCGCCAACATTGCAACTAGTCTTTGGCTATCATTCTGGACAGCTAATAGTAAGTCAATATATCGCTTTCCTCCTAAAATTTTCTAATATCTTGCAGGATTCGGCTATTCTGATGGAACATATATCGGAGTATATGCAGCCTTGGGTGCTGCCCAAGCCTTCTTGCTCTTCTTCTTCGCCTTCTCGTTGACGATCATGGGTACAAATGCCAGTAAGACGATGCTCCATCGAGCTATTTATAGAGCACTTCGAGCACCCATGTCATTCTTCGATACCACACCACTTGGTCGCATTACCAATCGTTTCTCTCGAGATGTCGACGTTATGGACAATAATCTTTCGGATGCGATGAGAATGTACTTGTTGACCTTGGCTATGATTTTGTCAGTCTTTGGATTGATCATTGCCTACTTTCACTACTTCGCTATCGCGCTGGGGCCGTTGTTCTTGTTATTCCTCTTTTCAGCTTCTTACTACAGAGCATCTGCTCGAGAGATGAAGAGATTCGAGTCTGTTCTTCGATCGAACGTCTTCGCCAAATTCAGCGAAGGACTTTCTGGGACTGCATGCATTCGTGCTTATGGCCTTAAGGATCGTTTCATTGTGAATATTCGAGAAGCCATCGATGAGATGAACAGTGCTTATTATCTGACTTTCGCAAATCAGCGCTGGCTATCAACTCGACTGGACATAATTGGTAACCTTCTGGTTTTTACAACTGGACTCCTTGTTGTCACCTCTCGATTTAATGTCTCACCATCGATTGGTGGGTTGGTTCTTAGTTATATCCTCTCAATTGTCCAAATGATCCAGTTTACAGTCCGACAATTGGCTGAGGTCGAAAACGGGATGAATGCCACAGAGCGTCTGCATTATTATGGAACACAACTTGAGGAAGAAGCTCCTCTCCACACTGTCGATATCCGGAAATCCTGGCCGGAATCAGGAGAGATCATTTTCAATGACGTCCAAATGCGTTACCGTGAGGGTCTTCCTCTTGTACTCTCTGGCCTTTCGATGCATGTTCAAGGTGGGGAAAGAATTGGTATCGTGGGAAGAACCGGAGCTGGAAAGTCATCGATAATGTCAGCCCTATTCCGTCTCGTCGAGCTCTCAGGAGGGCAAATTACTATCGATGGGATGGATATCAGCACCATTGGTCTCCACGATCTCCGATCCCGATTGGCAATCATCCCGCAAGACCCAACATTATTCAAAGGGACCATCCGAAGCAATCTCGATCCCTTCAGTGAACACACGGATCTAGAGCTTTGGTCCGCACTTCGACAATCAGATCTGATCACTGCCGAAGCAAGTCTGGATGATAAATCCCCAGGCCGCATCCACCTCGACGGCATCGTCGAAGACGAAGGTCTCAATTTCTCCCTCGGACAACGGCAACTCATGGCCCTAGCCCGTGCTCTCGTCCGAGGATCCCAAATCATCGTCTGCGACGAAGCCACATCGTCCGTCGACATGGAAACCGACGAGAAGATTCAAAGAACCATCGCCACTGGATTCAAGGGGAAGACCTTACTATGCATCGCACACAGACTAAAGACCATCATCAACTACGATCGCATCTGCGTCATGGACCAGGGAAGGATTGCGGAATTAGATACCCCGAAAGCGTTGTATGAGAAGGGAGGGATTTTTAGAGGGATGTGCGATAGAGGTGGGATCCGACGGGAGGATTTCTCGGGTTATGAGAAAGAGATTGAGATTTGAGGGGGTTTGCATTTCGGGGAGTTGGTTTAAAATTGGTGGGTCTTCAATGAATGATTTGGGCGTTTTATGGGAGCAGAAGCGGGCATTGTATTGAATTCTGACTGTTTTCATCATGTTCAAGAAATAAGAAATGAATACACATAATTCGAGTCAATTATTCACAGCTGAGAATGGGTTAATTGAAATCATGGGCTTGAAGCAAACTGTCCGCAGTGTTCTAGCACTTATTTTTATTGTTACAAGGATATTGCCAAGCTCAGCTTGCTTTCTTGGCGACTTTTAAAAGATCTGAACGCCTTGATATGCATATTGTAGCGTCTTATCATACACCCCTTCTCTAATATAATCCCCATGTCGTCACTTGAGGTTGTTCAAGATCTAGTTTCAGCAGCCACTCCTTTGGATCTCGTCATTTCATACCACTAAAATCCAGCTTCCTAGCAACCTTCTTCTCCCTCCCCTCCTCACCATCCAACACACCTGGCCTCCTCTTCAGATCCTCTCCCATCTTATCACCCCCTCCCGCTTTCCTCGGCAAATCCTTCGTCTTAGTCGGTTTCGGCTCCGCAGCCCACCAACCATGTCTCAACGCCTCTTCAGCCGTAATCCTCTTCCTCGGATCCAGAATCAACATCTTCATCAACAAATCGACGCCTTCATGTCCCGCCGTCCCAAACGTAGCTAGATAATGATCTTTCTGTCTGACCGGCACAGGAGGGTCTGAGACCGTGTATTCGGGGAGTTGAGAGACGCCGGGCCAATTTTCTTCCGTGGGAGTCCCGATTGCTTGGCAGATTAAATTTATTTGGTGGACTTCGGAGTCTCCTGCTATATATGGGGTTCTGAGGATTAGCTCTGCGAAGACGAGACCTACGGACCAGATGTCGACTGCTCCGCTGTAGTGTTTTGTTCCGAAGAGGAGCTCTGGGGGTCGATACCAGCGTGTGATGACGTTGGAGGTCATTTGGCGGTAGGGATCTGAGAATGAGCGTGCGAGACCGAAATCTGCGAGTTTGACCTCGCCGGTGGAGGAGATGAGGAGATTGTTGGGTTTGATATCTCGGTGGAGGACGAAATTGGCGTGGCAGAACCAGATGGCTCGACTCAGCATGCCCATCCATGCTTTTATGTCTGCTACTCCGTATCGGATCCCACTCACGTCCTTTATGAGCATTTCGAGGTCACCGAGAGGGAGGAATTCGAGGACGAGGTTGAGATTTTGGTCTTTCGAGGAGAAGACGGAGAGGAGGGAGATGATGTTCGGATGGGAGAGTTCTTGAAGGTGTTTAAGTTCGCGGATGGCATCTGGCGCCATTCCTTCTGTGTATTCCTTTTGAATCTTGATCTTCTTGATAGCGACAAATTTGGATGGGTCATCGCGAAGGTGACCAAGATAGACATTGGCATAAGTTCCTTCTCCGAGCTTCTTTCCTGAAGGGCGTTAGTGTTATAAAGAAGAAAGGCCATGAGAGGTACCTTTAACATATTTTGACTTCTCTTCCTCATTCATTTGCTCTGCCAGATCTCGCCCGGAGCTTGTGCCATTGCTAGTCTGCACTTCTGGAGTTGCGCCCTTGGAGGAGTTCGCTGTAGCAGAGAGCTTCGACTTGTCCTGTGTTGGCTTTTCCGCTGAACCAGGGACGACAAGGGGCGAGTTTGCCATTTCAAGGGAGTCGGGAGAGGTGAAGATAGTAGAGGCTATGACATGCCTGTGGAGGACTGTAGGTATCCTTCTCTAAGGCTTCTTCGTACGAAGTGCTGAAAGGAGGCCGCTGGTGTCTAATTGTTGGTCGTCAACACGCGGCTGTAGATTTCCTCGAGGATGTCAGCCTTGTCTCCAAGGAGGGACAAAGACCATGTGCTTCGGCGATTCTCCTACTCCGATCCGAGAAGCGAGTTTATCCCTGTCTCGCGTTTTCGGGGCGGGGATTGAAGGGTGTGGCTTTTCCGATGTGGCTTGTGGCTTAGGGCAAATTAAGATCTCCCGCTTGGCTCCCGTCAAGATGACATCACCGCCAGAAAATATTCACAAGGTTCCAGATGCCAAACCAGACATTGCCGCAGGTCCAGATATTCTCGTCGCAAGCTAAACCGAAAGGGAAGAAATGTTTGTCACTCCATCTCGGCGTTGTAATGTTGGCTTTGGAATTGATGATGTCAACAACAGACAAGGAAACTTCTGCTTAGTGTTCATCGTGCATCTGAGGCAAGAGCAGGGCACGAGGGTGTGTGTGGGCAGAGAAGTGTATCTCCGTATGCCAAGCAACGCAGGTTGGTGCGTGGATTGCAAAGAAATATCTTTCACCTCTTCTCTTCTCCGACAAGTACTTTCTTATATAACTTTCTTATTACTCCTTCGTTCCCTCCTCATACCGTCCTCTAGTACAATATACCCCACTCACCTCACCTCACCTCACCTCACCTCACTAGGAAGTGTCAACCACTGCAACTATGTGGGGAGTATCATATTGGGTTTGTACTTCCTCTCCGGACCTTCCGGACAGCTTAACTTCCCCTCGGAAACTAACACTTCACAGGTCTTTCCAGTCATCTCCGGGCTCTGCTGGCTCGGAATGCTCATGGGACTACTCATCCACTGGTGTGCGACAGGAAAGCCGCACTATCCATGGATGGACCAAGACCAAACCATTGCCTACATTTCCGACGTTGGAGCTGGAAATCTTAAACCGCTATTCATTGCTGGCTCAGCGGTAACGACCATTTTCCTCGACCTATCATTCCTCTCAGAACGATGGCTTCGACACCGCGGTCGATTGGCGAAGAACACCACCCGTACCGAGAAAGTGCTGGTTGTGTTATCCTTGGTCTTCGCTGTCATTGGAACGTGTGGCTTGATCCTACTCAGTATCTTTGACACGGCTCAATACCCACGAGTTCACGATGTCATGCTCCTACTCTTCATTGCTGGCTACGTTATTTCCGCCATCTTCATCTGCTGGGAATATCAACGTCTAGGAATCCGTACGTCCCTCTCCCTCTGCCCTCCAAACCTCACTAACAACCACAGATTTCCGCCAACACCGTATCCTCCGCGCCTCCTTCTGGATCAAGCTATTCTTCATCCTCGTCGAAGTCTGTCTCGCCATCGCCTTCGCAGCCACCAACTTCCGACATGCGTATAACGCCGCTGCGGTCTTAGAATGGGCCATCTCGTTCATCTTCACCTTCTACGTCTTCTCGTTCTTCATCGACTTACTACCCGCTGTCCATACCAAACATTCGCAGAGGAAGTTCGGGTCGGGAATGGGAGAGACGGAGATGCAGGTAGAGCAGAATGATGATTTGAGTGCGGAGAGGGGCGCTGCGTATGGTGGGGGAAGGAATACGGTGGATAGTCAAAGGACATTGGCAGAAAATAATGTGAGGTCCGTTAATGGAGTGAAGTATGAGGGGCAGGCACCTGTGTCGAGTAATTTCTAGATAAGGAGAGGAGTGGAGGAGAGTGAGGGGTAATATGTGTGAATAGGGAAGACTGTATATATGGGCGTGGGTTTTGAAGAGCGGTTTTGCATTGGATTATTGCTTTCAGCATGGCGTTTGGGTCGAGGCATAGCATGGTAACGAAAGTAATTAGATGATATCCAACAATGTGTTTCACTAAAGTAACTTCCTGGTTGACTTAGTTAGAAATTGATTGATCAATACCGGTTGTAAGTCAAGTAGTCTCCCGCGGATGCAGCGCACTCAGCGCACTGAGCGCGTACAGCGCATACAGCGAGTTCAGCGCGAGTAGCGCAGATAGCGCATATGCCTCCAGCTCAATGCCAGACACTCCCACGCTTATAACACATTGACAGAACATTATTCTGCAAACATAGTAAAGAATACCAAGATGCTACATCATTTTCAGCACTCCTTGCTTTCAGAACTTTAACCAGCCTCAGATTCTACTAACACACTTTCTCTCCTTCATCACATCTCACTTTTCAACTCTCAGTGCAGAAAATTTCATAAGAGTACAATATCTACACTATTACCACTCAACTACCTATCCCCTTTCCCTCTCCACCTCATAGCTTTTCCATCATAATAAAACATATATACATCACCCCCACACAAAATCCCAAACATCCTATCCTCCCTCGTAACCTCAATCACAAGTTGTGTGCCTAGTTTTCCTTCCCACCCAAGAAATAAAGAAAAGGTCGTTGTACAGAAACAAATCGCGATAAAGTAGATAAAAGAAAGAGCAGAAGAGAGTATCACAACGAACGTCTTGCTTTCTTTCCCCTATCCCCTCGCTTAACCTATCCTTCCTAGATATCCTCAGTAAACTTCGTGCTCCTCACGGGACTCGAGCTCTTCTCCGCAGGAAACGTCGGAGGCGGCGCAAGATCCTCATCGAAATTATCTCTTGCTTCCTGGAATTCTTCATCCTCTCTGCCTCCTGTAGGTTCTTCCGAAAGCGCACTGACCTCACTATCTCTCCTCTCTGTTCGCCCTCTATACTCTTCTCCTTCATCAACAACCGGAGCGCTCGCTGACGCGTTCGCGACGTCTTTGATGCTAGAGCTCTTTGCGGTGAGGGATGCGGTGCTGTTATTCGCACTTGCACCAGTTAGTGCCGCGCCTCCGACGAAGGAACTAGCTGGTTCTTTCTCCTTTACGTTCTTCTCTTCTTTCACTGGTCGTGAACCTTTGCTCATGCGACGGGAGAACTTGGTCTTGAGCCAAGACTTGACTTTTCCGCCTTCCTTGGTGGTGGGAGACATTGGAGTGACGGCACCGTCGTCTTTGTTTGCTTCGTTGGCGGATTCGCGCATGCGTACGCTGGCTTGGTCTTCCATTGAGGTGCGGATGGGGACTGGAGTTGAGGCTTCGCGTCGCTCTGCGATGGTGGGTTCAGTTGTGGTTGGCTCTTCTGTTGTGGTTTCTGGCTCTGGCTCAACGACAGTAGGCTCAACAGAAGGCTCTGTAATAGGTTCCTCTGTTGTTGCTGGTTCTTCAGCTACAACAGCAGCTGCTGGTGCTTCGACTCCTGCTTCTTCTGCCTTTGTTGAATTACGCTTCTCTTTCGCGGCAGCTTTCTCCTCTTGCTTAGCCAGCTTCTTCTCTTCTTTATCTTGTTCTATTTCATGTCAGTACCAGATCATTCGAAGATTCTTATGCAAACTTACGAGCTAATTTCTTATTGATATCTTTCTCTTCCTTCTCTCTCATCTTCTTCTCTGCAGCTTTCCGCTTCTGTGTCTCTTGCTCCAATTTCAATGCAGCTTGTCTTTCGCGCTCTGCTTCAGCTTTCTCGTTAATCTCATCCAGCACTGGCTGAACATTTCTCGCAGCCACCAAATCAACCGCGCTCTGGTTGATAAACTGTCCACCTCCAATATGGATCTTGCCATGGTTCTCCATACGAGTATCGCTCTTAGCTTGAGCTGCTGCATGGGCCTTGACTTCCCATTCACTGAGCAAAGACGGTGCAATCTTGCCAGTATCCTGGAAGACTCTCTCATCCATATTGTGAAGACTCTTGGTCACATTTCGTTGAGCAGCAGCAATCAGACTCTCACGATCCTGTTGTCGCTTCTTTGCGTCAACTTGAGAGATGTTGCTCGAGAAGATGGACATTTGTGCACGAATCTTGTTCGATTGCTCGAGGTCCGCATCGCTGTTACCAAGACTCGATGATCGGTATCGAGTTCTTCCCCTTATGGACAATCTAGATTGTGGCTTTGGAGTACTTCCATAGTAGTCACGATACTCGCGATTCGTCATGTGCTCATCATGTAGTTTGGAGAGTCTCTCCTGGGCCAATTTCTGTGCAGCTTCTTGAAGATTGTTGAATCGCATGGGTGGGACTTCGTCCGCGGATGAAACTGAAGATGGCCGTCTTTGATGTGCGGCTTGAGCTCCACGAATTTGTGCACTCGTAGCGGCATCAATTTGCTTCTGTTGGACATTATACATCTGCTTCGCCATAGCAATAGCAGATGCCCTCAGCGTATCCTGACGATTCTGTTCCTCGACTTCTGGTGCGACTGGAGGATGCGAAGTATACATATCTCTCGACATGTTCGTGAACGGGGTTGCACCAATTTCTGGATCTACCTTCGATCGTCGACTTTGAGATCTATGAGCAGAAGTCGCAGCATTCAAAGCATTACTCGCCGCATTCGCCTCGTCCGGATATGTCGCCGCCTTGATAACTGGTGTCGACTCTGCTCTCTTCCTGCTCGAAGACATTGCTCCTGTCGCAGCAAGCAACGATCCCTGACGACCGAGCTCTGTATGTCCATAATCAAGGTTGACAGCCAAACCACCAGCTCTCTCCTTGGTCATCGCTTGTGTTGCAGCAGAATTACCCCACTTGGAAGCTTCAGGTTGCCAGATCTCGACCTTTCCCCCATCTCGATGTGCCAACAAAGCTGCCTTTGCTCCATGCGCACTCTGTTCTGGTTGCCAAAGTGGTGCCATCTTGTAGTCTTTTGCAAGGAATGCCGCCGAAGATGCAGCTTTCGAGGGGTCTGGTTTCCAATGTTCGAATGATTTCTGGTTCGCCCACCCCAAACTTGCTGCCGCACCTGCTGCAGAGTCGTCTTTCTTCAATCCGGCTGAGGGGTAGCTAGGCAGTTGGTCTGCTCTTGCGTACTTAAGTGAAGCTGCTGCGCCTGGGAAACTGTTAGCAAAGAATCGTGCCTCGCATTCCGCATACCTCCGATGGAGTCATCACTCACCAGCAGATGATAGTTTGTTGTCACTGTCGAGAAACTCATATCCGTTTTTGATTTGGGATTCTGGTTTGGTGACGTATAATGCTGCACTGGCAGCTTGATCCTTCAAGAGATGGCTGGATGTTGTGTGTCGGCCAGCATCTTCGATTGGTCCGGTTGGAACTGCAGCGGTGGTCTGCGCCATCCTCACGAGAATGTATCAGTACGACGTTGACACGAATGGCAATGTTTTGGGGGTAAGGCGTTCGGGGTTATATGTTGCTTGGGAGGGCTGGAATGGCTGCAGCTGGAGTAAGTAGAGCCAAGCATGCGATAATCAGATGGTGTGAGGCGTGGATGATGGATGTGCTCTGCTTATGAGGGAGGGTAGGAATGGGAATCAGTGTAATCCTGAATGACTGATTGTGAATGTCGAGAGAGAGGGAGAGATGTTTGTGAAGAAGAGATTGTTGAGAAGTAAAGGAAGCTCTCGTTGGTAAATTGAGTGCATCATCGCACTGGAACTGGTAACTCTTAGTCAATCTAGTTCCTCTTTCCACTCGGCTTGTCAGTGTTCCATCATCTGTTGCACTGGCACGTTGGACCCTTTTGCAGCTCGGCGCGGTGACATCATCATCAGCCACACACTAGAATCAACTGAGCGAAGCTGGAACTTTAAACGGACGAAAGCGGTTAACCTTACGCGCCGTCCATCACAATCAAATGCCGGAATGGAACATCATCATGTGCAAGAAACTATTATCTGCTGATGTTGATAGTGAAGATATATCTTCAATTCAAACATGATATGTTTACATGTCTGTTAATGTCCGATAGCAATACTAAACAATGCCAGTCTGCAGGGCAGTTCTTCCATCCCCACATCTCCATCCCAGACATTCATGGTTCATGGATGCCATCAATGACGGATCAGCACAGGGGTCGTCCTCGCTTCAGTTCCCGGTTTCGTCTCAATTCATCGCATCTCCAACGCTGACGGCGAATTTCTTTGGTGAAGTTTCTATCTTGTGGAGCAGTCTTTTCTATGCATTCACAATTGCTTTTGATACTTGGCGTATCTTAAAAGGCAGTTAGTACTGCTTATGATCAAGCAATTTTCGACAATCCAACGATGGCGGAACCAAGAGACAACCTTCGACAACGACAGACAGGCGAAGCCAAGGAGAAGCTGTTCGATAACATCTTAAACTTTAGAGATGTAGGGAAGACCATCAATGACTTTTTAGGAGAGAAGTACAATCTCCACGTCACATGGCTTTTCAGGGGCTGATCACACTTTAGGCGAGTTGCTGAAGGAAAGATATTTCGCAGCGCTCGACCTGGTATTCTTCTTTTCCATACATCCTGAGCATCTAGAGACTGATATGATCAAGATGATGCCACCATGGCCGACAGACAGCGATTATGGGAAGAATACGGCATCAAGACAATCATGGATTTGAGGACAGTGTAAATGTTCTTGTCTGCCTTCATCCAACGCCAACTAACCACCCTAGCACCGAACACACCAACGCAGCCAAAAAGCGCACCGGAGACCTCACCATCCCAGCCCTCGTCCAATCCAACAGCGCCCTGGCCGAACCCATCAAAATCCCGGGCATGAACTACCTAGAAATAAACATCAACGGCAAAGGTTTCGAACGCAGTCTCCTCTGGCAACTAAAATGGTGGAGCTTCCTGTATGCCCCCTCCCCTCTTCCCTTTCCGCCTCACAACCATCAAGGACTAAACATCCCCAGAAAACTCATAACCCTAATGCTCTTCGGCTACCGCATGCAAGCCATCTCCATCCTAGGTCGAGAAGTAATGCAACTGCGCGGCCTGATAGGACTAGGCTACGACTCCCTGGACCACTGCGGACCCGAGATCGCCGAGGCGCTGCGTGCGTTCTCGCGGTCTGGTAATCTTCCTATGTTGGCGCATTGCACGCAGGGTAAGGATCGGACTGGGCTTATTATTGCTTTGATTTTGTTCTTGCTTCGTGTTCCTTCGGTGAGTAGTTCTTTCTTGTTTGTGACTGGGGTAGAAGCTGATGGGCGAAGGATGCGATCACGAATGATTATGTGCTTAGTGAATCGGAGTTATTGCCTGAGCGTGCGGAGAGAATGAAGGAGATTTCTAGTATTGGGTTGACGGAGGATTTTGCGGGGTGTCCCGGCGATTGGGTTGAGAAGATGGAGGGGCATTTGAAGGAGAAGTATGGTGGTGTCGAAGGGTACTGTAAGCGAATTGGAATGGAGGAGGAAGAGTGGGAGACGTTGAGGGGTGTTCTAGGTTACTAAGTGTATAGGAATCTGATGAAAATGGGAGATAGTAAATGATAGTTGAGAAACCCAATCTATTTTCCACACCGTGATTGATGCCAAAGTATAATCCTAGACAACAGATCTACAATCTTCTTATCTACCCATTCACATAATCCCACACCCGATGCCATACATCTGCCTCTCCACATCCCTCTTGATCAAATACCAATCTGCTCTCCTTTCCGCAAACTCATAAACCTCCTCCGCCCTGAAGATACCTCCAAACCTCTGCGTATCAGCAATAACCTCCGCTAGATCTTTTGCATGCTTTGGATCGATCAAGTATATCTGACTCAATTCTCTCAAAGCCTTGAAATACTCCAATAGATCCGAATTCCTCAATGTTCTGATATAAATGAAATACAGATTCATGTCGGAAATGAGCTTCATAGACCCATCTACAGAGATGCGTTGACGTTTGAGGTGTTTGCAAAGGGCGGTGAAGAGACGGAGTCCGACTTCTTGGTTGAATACATCGAGCATGTTCTTGTCAGTGCTACCCGTAAGCATCTTGGTATGGGATTCTACAAGATTGACAACTTGTTCAGCTGATTTGGTGGGGCCGACGTCAAAGTCCTGGGGTTTGCCTGGAGGAGGTGGGGTGGGATTGTAGTCTGTGGGTAGTTGAGTTGTAGCGCACAGGTATTCGACTTCATCCATCAGAACATCGATGCCTTTGTTGAGACCAGCAGCGACACGTTCGTCTAGCATTTGCTCGAATTTCTTCTTTGCTTTGACAGCTGGGTCGAGGAAGTCATTACGATCGGCAAGCTTGGTAGCTGCGAGTTGTTGTTCATAAAAGACATCGATCATCTGGGAAATTAGATCACCAACATTGACAAGCTCGAGGAAAGTCACGAGTGGTGCTACTCCTTGATGATGTTCGCTAACTTCTCGAGGGTTGTACTGCGAGAGGTGATCAACGGCTTTGTCGAATCCAACCTTGACGTGTCTATTGCCCAGAATCTGCAGTAGAACCACAAAAATGGCTTCGCATTGTTCACGAGCCTCCTCGCCAGTTTGGCCGCCAAGTCGAACGAACGATGCTGCTCTTTCAATACTTGCCTTTGCCGAATGAGTGAGATCCAACGCAACCTCGATACTGAATAAAGATTTGATGCCCTCAAGTCTCGATGCCATTAGTGCAGCCTTTGCGGCCAACTCATCTGCTGGAGCTTCGGCAGGTAATGGTATCGGTGTCGATGATCTATCACCTGCCATACCAAGGCCCGGAGTAGCGACTCTTGATGGACCAGGTGACAGGGACGGGCTCGGAGCTTGAAGACTGGCTCTATTGGGCGCTTGAAGAGCTGGAGTTGGTGCAGGTTTAGATGAACCGAATGGAGAAAGTCCAAACGGAGATGATATGGGTAGAGTTGGTAGGACATTTACTGGCATCATGACCACCTTTTTAAACGATGTCAAGAAATCCTTCTTGTCGGCTTGACGATTGAAATTCGCCATATAGAATGATTCTGCGGTAGCATCTTGAGCCGAGAGCTTGCTCTCCCATATGCCTACTTCAGCATCTGCTTGTTTCTTGAAGAAGTCCAGTTCTTCTTGAAGATAGAGATCGACGTGAGGTTCAAAAACTCGCGCAACCACAGTCTTGATCCTCTCCAGAAAGTTTGGGGGAGAATTCTTCGTCGACTTCAATGTCAAGCCGAACCGCATAGTCTGGTCAAATATCCCAGAGACAGCCTTCAGGTACGAGGCTATACTTCGTTCGTGGGCTTCGTCAAAAAGAGGAGTGACATATTCCATGAGAATGTCTTCGCCAATTTTATCCAAGAAGATCTGATAGACATCTTCCCCAGCTGGAAACACTCGGTCGATAACGTCTGCTTGTTCGTTGATCTTCTTTGAGAGGCCGTCGAGAAATTCTCGAGATGGTTCGAGAGCGATTCCTTCTGCAGATGCTTGGTTGATGCAATCCATGCTGTTTCCGAGAGTTTCTCGATCCGAAAATATAGGATGCTTTTGCACAAAAAGCTCTATACCGGCATGTCCGCCATTCAGAACCGCCAAGACATGGGCATATCGGCGCATTCTCCCGTCAATATCCCAAGCTTCGTAACCCTGCTCGAATTCTCGTAGCACAGCATTTTCGAATATTCCAACCATTGTAACCAACTTCTCTTCTCTTTGTCTCCATCCTTGCGCCCAATCGCCTTTAGAAAACAGTTGTAGATGTGCCAGCATTTGGGCTTGCTGTTCTGGATCTCGATAAACTCTGAATATCACTGGATCCATATGACTTCTAGATCTAGCCAAATCGAAATAGAATGGTGCTAGAGCAGCATATATCTTTCCGTACTCTTGTCTCGCAGATCCTCGTATAGACTTCACCACAGAAAAGACATTCAGTAAAGCCTCGGGATCAAGCATTGGAGCTCGTGAGATAGGAGTCGCAGTCGAGGAGAGCGTCATGGTCTCGAAGCCATCGACAGGAGGTTTCACTGCCTTGGCCATCTCCACAGACTTCCTTTGTCGCTCCTCCTCAACGCCCGCATCGAATAAGGTGGTGCTGGTCTTTCTTAACCCCGCATTGCCATTGACTCCAATGCCTGTCCTTTTTGCATCCTCCTCTGCCCTCATTCTCATAATTTCTCTTTTCCTCTTCATCGCATCTTCGAATCTCTTTCTCGCCTCGCCTTCGTTCCACACCCCCATGACTTGCAATCGTTGTACCCATCTCGAGTCCTCGTATACCATTTCCAGCATTCGTTTCGATGTGCGAGCGAAGCTCATGAGGTCCGGGATTGGAAGATAATCGAGGATCGTGCTGATTATCTCAGCTGGGAGGACGGGCTTGCTATCTATCATCTGAGTAGCCTTTAAGGAGGACAGGATGTTGGTTCTGGGGGCTCCCGGAGCTGGGATAGCCCTCTTGAAGTTCGACATTGCGGAGGGTAGCTTTTGGTGGAGCGGTATGGCTGTATTTCATTGCCGGTATCAACTTTACCGTATGTCCATCATGCGGAGGGTTGAGCTATGCTGAATTGCAGGCGGATGTGGTGAAGCCAAAGAGTGAATGAAAGAGTGTAGCCGCCTGATGGGGCCTCGGTAAAATGTCAGCCTTGTCGTAAACGGACCCACTTTTCCAACCTCCTTTACTCGAGATGCAACCAACGTCGAGCAATTCAAACCGCGTGCCAAAATATAAATTTGCACTGCATCTGGTACTCAGGCTAGTCGCTTGATCGAGACCGCTTGTTTTTTTGTGGGACAAGGAAGAGAAGATCCAAATGAAGATCCAAATTCTCAAAAGGACAAAGAGAATAATTGATGTCCTGTGTCATTTCCTTCACTTGCAAGGTCTGGTGAAACTTTTTGACCCTATTTTGTGAGAAGCCTTGTCTCAATGTCCGTACCAAAGAATGAATCTCTCGTTGCTCCAATATTCGTGGTGTACATATGTTGTGATTCACGCCAGTATGGATAGAATTATTCATACCTGTTAGTACTCTTGTGAATATTATGAGTCAAGTTCTCTTGAAATCTATTAAGTGTCTTTCGCAATTCTACCGGACCAGTCTCAAGAAGGTGCCAACCAGTCCTTACCTCCGACCATCATCATATCTGAAACCATCTCTAATCCTTGTGTCTTTCAATTTTTTCAATATGAGGATATCCGTGAGTCCTGAAGCAGTGTCAGACAATCTGTGCTAACTCAATCCAGATCACCATCGTTTTCGCCCTTCTCTTGTCCCTCACAGTGGCATTACCCCAGCTGTCCGAAATCAAGACTGGTGCCCGGATCGCTCAAAGATCTACCAGTAGCGCTTCCGACAATCCCAGCACATCCACAACGACAAGCTTGCTTTACCACACAAGACCACAAGTAAAGCAACCCTTCGATGACACGACCCCGGTCGTCACAGTTCGATTCACCAGAACAGTCACAGACACGATCCCTAGCGAGTATACCGTTCACGTCACCAAGACTTTTACGACTACTATCTGGGAAACTGCTGATTCCGTCTCTACTACTACAATTCAAATCCAATATGGTAGTTCACCTTCCTGGGGAGGTGTTATCTTTGGGAATAGCAGTTCTACTCGAATCCAATATGAAGGCTCTTCCTCATCTCTTGCGAGTCTTCTTTCCGAAGGCAGCAACACCACTCAGCAAGACGTTATCAGCAGTCCCGAAACAGTGACGAGCACGAGTAGTTGCCCGTCGATAACTAGCTCGGATTCTACATTACGGAGCACGACTAATGAAGTCATCATGAGCACTCAAAGCCCCGCTGTCGTGATGAGCTCGAGCACAAGCTCATCGATTAGTACCAGTTCTATCCCTGAGACCGCGAAAACTAGCCCCTCAATTGCCAGCCACGTCCAAAACAATATGGGTCAGACCTTGAGCGTCAATGTTGGCTATCCTCCAGTCGTCACTCCGTTTCTGCCTCCAGCTTGATTCGATAACATGATGGAATATGATATGTGATTCTCGGACATGCTTTCTGGTAGCAACACTTGGCAGGTATCCGATGTGCAGCATTGAGGAGGTCACATTTGCCCGGGAATGCTGGCATATTTACAGGGTACATCTCTAGGCATAGTAGTGCCCGTGTGGTGACAGAGAATGGCGTATCGTGATCAGGTTCATTCAATATTAAGTTTTGAAGTTACATAAGTCTGTACGTCCAGACGTTCAAGCATGTCTCTGTTCCCGACTTGAGTGGCAACCTGCCATATCAAGTAGCTTCGTGTCCGCTCATGTCTGAATTCACGTTATGCCAAAAGATTGTGGTTTTCATAATAGGCTCGAATATCACACCTTCAATAGAAGGATCATTAGGGTCGTCGTTCGGCAGTGATGATGGATAAAGTGACCTACTTCGCCGCCTGCCAACATTGTCATCGATCTGGGATATGACACGTACGGTGGTTCTGGGAGGCCAGAGCAAGGAGTTCCAAGTGGACTAAACTGCGACGTTGTTTCATGCCGGGAGTGCAACATAAGCCAATTATCCTGGAAGAAAGGTCAGAAGATCAGCCGGCGCTACGTACTTACCTGGATTATTCAATCACTCAGGACATTGGAATTCCTTGGAAACTCTAGCATGCGGTCCAAAGGCACAGAAATGGGGTGCATAAACTTCTATCTAGAGACTACAAAGACTCTTAGCTGTGTGATGTCATGTCTTTTGACTGAGCCTCTTGGACACTAAGCTGACCGTTTTTTTGGTGAACCAAAACCTGTAGAGGCCCGGCTACAGCGCTCTTGTGCCACAATCTCACGTCAGATTCGAGCGACGGCCACCTACACAGGGTTCAAGTGAAAGGTGTCGGCGATGTTGGGTATAGGGGAAGCTCGACAAGCATTGACCAAATCCCTGCTTCGTCTTTACGACAATTGTGATGGATGCATAGTTATGACTATTCACCTATGGAATATACGACAAGGAGACCGTCATTTGAGAATATTTTTTCCTCAACTCATGCTTGCATATCACCATTTCGCCTCGAGATCTCGAATGCTTTGTGCAGACTAGGGTAGAGATTCGTACCCCCTTTCATGTCTATTCGTCCCAGGGATCAATGTGTCAACTTCATCGAGGGCCTTAGAACCGTCCATGAAGTATTCATTGCAATGCTCGATGTGTTCCTCTTTGTCATTCCATGGTTCTATCAAGGTGGAGGTAAATTTAGATCTCCATTGCTTTCTCCAAACAAACGAGCAGTGAGCAATATGCCATTGCCGAGTGACAAAGTAATCCTTTCCATTCCTTGCATATATTTCAACTTCAGACTCGTTCATTCTTTGCAACCCTGCGTAATCAGAGAAGTAATCCCATGCTCCACCTGGTCCTGGTCCGGCCGTGACAAACTCGGCCGTGAGCGCGGCGTCAATGCAATTATTTGGGAGCCAGTCCACCGCAATATGGTCGTACTTGCATCCCATGGCAATGGCTTCTTGATCAGAGTTACCGCAATAGCATTGCCCTTTTCGCTTATGCGGGACTTTCCATGCTCTTGAATAGACATCGATACCACCCCACAAAGCAAGACATACCAGCGTGAATTGAAGAATTGTGATCAGAACCCGAGTCGTTAGAGCCGTCATGTTCGTTCTCAAATTCGAAAAATTGCGCCGGAGAGAATCCACAGAATCCCCATGATCGACATCAGCGGTCAATGCTTGTCTGACATCCAGTGATACTTCAAAGTTTCTGTCCAGAGGCTCGACGAGGTTGATATGGCCTGTACTGTTTCGACATTAGACTCGTGGCATCTTCAAATTTTGAAAACGCATCTCACCGTGCCATGATTAGAAGCAGATTTCAGAAACCCCAAAATGAAGCTGAGATGTCCCTTTGTTCTGGTACATTTCAATTGAAGTTTGTAAAAGGATCATTAGAAATGTATCAGATCGAGAAAAAGGATGTTTTGTGTTGGAAGACCGAAGATAAAGAGAAGAGGTGCTATAACAACAACGTATAGCCCTTGATAGGTTGAGTAAATCAGCACTTGATCGTAAGAAAACCTGTTTTTCATCATTATTACTCGCAACATAACTTTGCTTGTATCTTGTTCTCAGATGATCCTAGCCTAGTGTGACCAAAATAAGCTGAAGTTTAAGAATTCGAGTTGTTCCAAAGATCGGAGGAGAGTCTCCGTACGGCGCAAAGTCACCAACACTGTGCCTTCAAACATTATTACAGGATTTGCAACACACGCAATCAGTTTTACGTACAAAAAAAGAGCCAAGGAATACTGTCAAATGAAAATGCAAGGAAATAATGGGTGCGAGCTCTCTAGATCATTGATGGTACAGACAATTCAGAATCGGCGAAGCAAACTGCGCCTTCTGCGGGTTTCATTTCTCTCAAATATGCCTTTGCCTCCGCACGATCTCACTTTACTATTTACTTGTTCTTGCCTCAACGAGAGATCGAGCTCACATAGTTTCCCACTGGAGAAAATCTCTTTTAAAAATGATGACATTAAGCGCGGCCGCTCTGGCGGATATGTGCAATGCCACCCTCTACTTAGTTCTCATTTCCACGCATAATTCTCTTTCTCTTACCACTTCAAGAGAAGGACTGGTTTCAGATTTCCGGGTAAATGACAGAGATTATCACTCGAACAAGAGCATGATGATGTCTATTGGATCATCTCGTTCCGACATAGCGAATAATTGCCCGTTCTACTTTATGCAAACATGTAATAACCCCGCTTCTGGCATATCGAGAAAGCCTATCGAGTGACCGTGTGCAATGTCCTTCCACTTGCGTACACCGGTTTGACGAATTGGAAAGCTTCCAATGAATCGCAAACAAGGCACTCAGGGCGAACCATTGGAAATTAGCTTACTCTCGTAAGCTCTGAAGACAGAGCTAAAGGCTGGTAATGTCAAGGTATGACCTCTGCTCCATATCCAAGAACATTGAAGTGCGACGCCTGTGCCACTTGGTGTGGAAATCCCCAGAAACTCCTCGATCACAGAACATCTCAATCACAGAAGTGACTGGAGATCTGTTAGGGTGAATCCAAATATAGTATTCAGTTCGTACGAGCTTCCTCTTAGCCTTCCAATAATGGCAAGCTCAGACAATAAAACTCTTAGTCCCTATCAATGCACACACAAACCCAAACCATTCGCTCCCAAGGATCACTTTTGATTTGCTCAGTCGGAAGACACTACAAGAACCCGGAACTTCTGACAATTTCTTTGGGTGGGCTACTTAGCCAATGGTCAGAGAAGCCTCGTCGGTGATGCGAATGACTTAGTCTAACATTCACTTTCATATCTACAGTGGCGCAGCAATATCACTACTTATACTTCGAGTTCAAGCTGAAAAGATGTGTCCAGATCTCACTTTGAATCCATAATTTTTCAACAAGCCAAATCTTGCAGCAATTCAACAAAAAATTCCAAAAACTTGTCCATGATGCGGACCTCAATTATTGCCATCTGCGTTGCTGCACTAGCCCCTCTTGTCTTTGCAGTGCCACAAACGATTCCAGTCTATGTCTGCGGAGGTCCAAACTGTCAAATGCTTACGGATCATTTGTGTAGTGTAAGAGAATGCTAAGAATTTTCACAATATGAGGAACTGACTTCTTCTCAGTCCCAGGCTGATTGCACGCAATATCCCGACACCCTTCAGGTAAGTCATTCCATGACTAATAAAGTTATTGTGATATAGCTCACCTTACATCATATAGTGCTGCTACCTTAGCTGAGAGCTGGATGGGCCTTGAAATAACTACAATGTCTTGAGGAGGAATTGAAAGTCTCGGACTGCGGCATCATTGCCGAAGAACTCTCTTTGAGCATCATCTGACTTACTTGAAATTATTCTAAACAATACAATCATTGATTCTCTCGGACTCGACGAGTTTGACAACAAGAAAGTGAAGTGATCTTCCTTCCCGCCCACTTCTGTACCGTAATTCTCTTAGGGGTCTTTTATACCTGTAACCTCGTCCACATCGCAAAGGCACTACAACCTTGAACCAGGAAAATGAAGACTAGGAACCTTGCTTGCAACTAATCCTGTGAAACTTAGGCTATCCTTTATTGTCTTCTGGCACTTGCAATAAGGCAAGAGTGAACCAAGCTTATTTAACAGGCAATTGTAAAACGAAGATGACAGGGTACTTATTACAGCCTCAAGCTCGATCCGGCAACCCATTTCATGCCTGTCAGCAACTCGCATAAAATTGACGTCATGTATGGTCTGGAGATTGCTACAAAGACCCTCCAGCTTTTACATGGCTACAAACAATCACAGTAGCAATAATACAATGTCTGATCGCGATACAGCTGCTTCCACGAGTGACCATGTTCATCTCCTAACCGATTCTTCCTTTGAAGGATTCGTTAACTCTTCCACCTCGGCTCTCGTCATTTTTACCCATCCGCTGTCACCTAGTTGGAAGCGTTTCAAGCCCGTCTTCGCGCAGGTTGTGTCCCGTCCACTACTTCTTGGAGAATTCTAATGATGGACAGATTAGTCGAAACGTAAGCGATTCAGGAGTGAAGTTTGGTATGGTCAACTGTGTGGAAAGCTTTGCACTATGCAAAAAGTTTGACATCCCGTCTTATCCTAAGATTTTGTTCTTCCAAGGAGAGAATTGCAAAATCTATGCTGGAGCACTGGAAGAAAAAGGGTAAGGTCTGTAATATGTCAATCCAGAGCCAACGACTGAAACTTCTGCAGCATTGTCGCTTATCTAAAGAGACAAACCTTTCCAATCGTATCTACCATTTCAAACCAATCGGAGCTGAAAGATTTCCAGGAAGTAAGTGATGTTGCAATAGTCGGTCACTTTCTACCTGGGAGTGAAGCTTTCCAGAGCGCTTTTGAGGACCTGGCTACAAGCTTTCGAGATGACTATATTTTTGGCAAAACAGAAGGGGATGGATTCGAACATGAGAGCGGAAGTGCTACTTTCATCACCGTATACAAAAAGTTTGACGACCCCGAACTTGTGTGTAACCTCACGCTCAATCTTGAGGCTAACAAGGCTATTTTAAAATCCGCATGCAGGCAGCTAGTAGCAGAATTTCGGCCAGAACTTAAAGATGACTTTTGTCTCGTACGTTCGAATCTTTGTATTATGAATTCCAGGTTGTCTCCGAAGACTAACCCAGTGATAGCTTGGCCTCCCTCTTGGATATTTATTCGTGGACAAAAAAGACGACAACATTCATCTGATCGAAGAAGTTCGAACTCTAGCGAAGAAGCACAGAAACAAACTGCAGTTTGGTACTGCTGATTCGAGCATATTTGATGAGTTCGCAGACACTTTGCACTTGGCCAAGCGCTGGCCATCGTTCGCCATTTGGGACCCGCGCACAAATGGGAAATTCCCCTTGAACGAGAAGAATGTCCCACTTCATGTTGCTCTCGAACCTTTCGTGGACAACTTTGTTTCCGTCAAGCTCAAACCAACAGTAATATCCGCTCCGATTCCTGATACACAGACCAGCCCGGTCCTCGAAGTCGTCGCTTATAATTACGATGACCTTGTGCTTAACAACGAGAAAGATGTCTTTGTAGAATTCTACACTCCATGGTGCGGTCCATGCAAAGCTCTGCTACCAGCTTATGAAAAGCTTGCAAGGATGTACGCCGACGACGAAGGAGTCAGAAATCTGATTACGATTGCAAAGATAGATACCGAAGCCAATGATGTGCCCGAGAAGGACATCAGACATTTTCCAACTTTCAAGTTGTTCCTCGCAGGAGAAAAGGATAAACCGGTCACCTATAGCGGTAATTACACGGTGGAACAATGGTCAAAGTTCATTAGAGAAAATAGCATGCGTATTGCAGATTGAGTCCAGCCAACAAAATTCCAGAACAACAACACAAGAACGTCATATGTCAGTCATCGGCACCTTGTCGTCAACCCTAAGTGGATTTGTTCAACTAATTGAGGTCTGTGTATCATCTACCACCTCGAGGCAAGTTTCTGATAATATTTAGAGGGGTGAAATGATGGAAGAATAAGATACATTCTCGATGGCCGCTCTTGAGGAATCTGCTTCTCCCACTTATATTGTCTCAAAAACTTTCGATCAATATTGTCTTGTATTCTATTCTATTTTCCACGGTAACCTGGCATTAAAGAGCCAAGGGAAATTTCGTATTTGGTTGGATTATGTGCGAAAACGTAGCTTTGACCTTGGACTTATATCAAGAAAACAAGTATTGAGGCTACTTAGCCCACTTCTAGGTGTGTCCCATATCGACTTTAGCATACCTGCCTTATCAAAGTCTCATCAATCGATAAGTGTGGCGCTAGTGGACGCGCTCATCAGGTGAATCTCAAGATCGCGTCGAGATTATTGATGTTTTTTCTTCCGAAATTTCCAGTCAAATCGCAACATAAACAAACAACCACCATCTCAACAACAACAATCAAATCAGAAAAGATGGCGGGCGACCTCGAGTCGCGCTTGCGAGAACAGAAGGAGAGAGTGGCGAAAAAGAGAGAGGAAATGGAGATGAAGGAGTTGCAATTTCAGTTGGAGAAAGAAGAGAGAGAGTTGGAGAATATCGAGCGCGAGGCGCAACGCCAGCGCAGCAGCAGCACACGAAACGACGGCAATTCATCACGCCAGAATGCATACACAGAGAGAGGAAGAGATGGCGGTTCACGCCAAAATCAAGCGAATTCGACGCAACTTGACTGATCGCTGACTTTCTTCAAACCAGTCTCAAGAGCTTGACTGAATGTACCGGTATCATTTGCTGCTTCAACACCTTCGACGAGTTTCTCGACGATGGCCTTCAACGTCTCGGAAAGTTTCATTTGAGCTTCGAGGACCAGGATCCCTCTGGGAAATCCAATAATGTCGTGAGCATGAGCCGAGCGCTCTTGCCAAGGAACCAAATCTCCATAACGAGACCCGTACGTCACGAGGCCACTCCTATTGTATGGGGTTGACAGCGATCCAATCTTCCACTGCTTATCAAGCAGATAATTGTCAAAGCCCCACCATTGCTTGGGTGAGTATTTCACGCGATTGTAGATAATGTTCAGTAGCCTCGCCGGGTCGTTCTTCAAAGACTCTATATTGAGGTAAGGCAACAAGCAGATATTTCGATAAGGACGCCGCGCTCGCCCTTGAGTCAGATCTGGATCATTTTGATCCCATACTCCTGATTGAAGTGATCTTCTCTGCTCAGGAGTATTCACGAACTCTTCTGTGAATCGAATATCGCACTACTGGGCGAAAATTAAGCAAGACGTTCGTTTTGTATACTTTGGATGGGGGCAGGAGAATATTTTAAATTCAATAGAATGCTACACACCTGGTGTGGATACATGGTAGGGTCAGCTTCCAGTAACAAGGCTTTCCGCTTCTCGCCACTCTTCTTTTCCATCGTTTGATGATCGTAGATCCTTTGGAGTCGCACTCCTCTCGAAGGTACTGCAGACTGCTTCTAATCCTTCTGACTAGGTCTGCAGCAAGTTGACGAGCCTCATCATCTGACAAAACACTTTGGTAGTTGAACACCCATCGCTTTTGCCAAGACTGTACACGAAATTGCAGCGCACAGATAGGACACTCGCAAGGGCCTTTGATTAATATCCTGAAGCACCGTATTGTTCCCTCTCGACGTATCCCCGCGATCTGTACCTCTTTAATGTCATCCCTAGATAATGTCAGTCAGTAGCTCAATCATTAGAAACAGACATTGATATACTCATTGGGGAAGTTGCCCAACGCTATTAGGCACTGGTCATGAGAATCGAAGTCTTTGATCGGAATCATATTGAGGTTGCCTGAGAAGATGAATGAGGGAGCTGGTTGAGCGCAAGCGAAAAGTGTCGTTGGTTATGGCCAATAATCAAGCGAGAAGCTACTGACCGAGGACTGGCGTGGAACTTGCGAATGTCCGTGCACGCATTGGACAACTTTACCTTATACTGCAAGACATGGGATGTAAGATAACTTGTTCTATGGTTTATGGGACAATACAATGGGCTAAGTATCAGGTGTGTACCAATTCAGCCTAGGAGATCAAGTGGTATACACTTTATGCTTGACTGTCATGTGTGTTCGTCTCGCTATCATTATCATATAGTACCTAGGTACAGTATATTAGGCCTCCAGACCCTGAACAGCCATCCTTTCCTCCGCTGCCTCAGCTCTAAGATGTCTCCCAACCTCCACATCTAATCTCAACGAACTGCCATCAAGTGCACGATTCGCAGTCCTTTGGGCAACGCCACCAAATAAGCAGTCCCACAGATCCTCTTTGGCCACCATCTCGCCGCCTTTGCCACCCTCTCCTTTTGTAAGCAGACCCGTCAGACTAGCTTCCTGTAGCTCCAAAGAATTCGCCTCCTCCAGATTAGCATCAAGAAGCTCGGCTGGGACTACCTCTTTTGCTTTTCCCTTGGCTTTAGATAGTCTTTGGCCAATGTGCTGAAGTCTACGCTGAATTGAACGCTGATGGACGTTTTCCTCAACGGTTCCGTCAACGAGATAAAGCCAGACATTTGTCTCTTGGTGTTGTCCAATTCTGTCAACACGGGCAATAGCTTGTAGCTCGAGAGCAGTATTGAGGATTGGTTCGGCGATGAATACATGACTGGCATTCACCAGATTCAGACCTGAGCTGTGCGCGCGAGCATGTAGAAGAAAGCATTCGATAGAGGGGTCTTTCTGGAATCTCTCGATACCCTTCGGCCTGTCAATTGATGAGAACCCAATTCTGTACTTCTGAAAAGCGCAAGCGACAACTTCTAGGTAGTCGGAAAATTGAGAGAAGATGATAGATTTCGCGCCAGGATCGGTTTCTCTCAACCAGATAATATGTCTGGCAAGGGTATCGATCTTTGTGCCAAAAGAGCCCGTACCATCAAGCTCAATGTTCTTGATTTCAGCAAGCTTTGCTTTGCTGAACTCGGAGTATATGGCGGACTTTCTACTCTTCGAAGTGGGTGATGAGTGTTCATGAACGTCCTCGGTCTCGACGGACAATTCTTGGGGCTTATAGGATATTTCATGCAAGTCAGAAAGCGAAAGCTTCTTTTTACAGATGGGGCAATTGTGATGAGCGTTCCACCAGAGACGAATACATTCCTTGCAATATTGGTGACCTGAGCCGAGTCAATACACCTGGACTAGATAATTTCTAACGGACGAGACTTACCACAGACCGTCAAAGCACCAAGCTCAAACGATTCACGGCATATAACACATATCCTCTGTTCGCTTGGATTCGATGCTTCTGCTTTTAGATGCTCGAGGTATCTTTGCTTAGATTTAGCCACAGCCAACTTCTTTTGAAGCTTCTCTTCGTCGCTCAGCATCCTGGTATACACAGAATCGTTATTCGGGCCTTCGTATGGAGCGACGGAATCCGAAACAGCTTGAAGTGAGCGATAGTATTGCAATCTATACCACCATTAGTTATTTAGTTTCACACGTGGTGATGTTGAAGCCAAGCTCCTAAGAGATCGAGTCATAGCTCCTCTCCCCACAAAGAAAACTATGAGAAATTGTGAACATACCTTGTGTTCATAACTTCGGTAAACATTTCCACTTCTTTTTCGAGGGCTGTAGTGACCTTCATTTGTTCATTCAAGTGCTTCTGCGCATTTTTGAACTGCTCTTCGACAATGGTGAGCTCATTCTGTGCTCGTGTGCTGCCATTCTCGGCGTCGGGTCTTAGTGAGGTTGCTAAGGCTCGAAGTTCTGCAACAACTCCTCGCAATGATCCCATCTTAGATGTTGGTTTGATCTGGCGTCTGATCGAAAGCAACTCTATCATTTTCTCAGGCGCAGGACCCCTGACATCTTCCTCGGAGTCTGCTGTCACGAAGGTACCTGTTGCTATTCTCAACGCCTGCTTCATATCATAATCCACAAGCATATTGGTCAATCCCGTGAGAGCATCGTGTCGATCAGCAACAGCTGCACGTAAGACTTGTAGATAGACTTCGACTTCATCTTGAAGCTTCGTTGAATCCTCATACTCATCTCCTGTGGTGTCAATTCCATCATCTTCATCAACCAGGGGTCGCAGAAGATATTCGATGGTCTTCTCTCTCCACTCGTCGAGGGTATTCGCCTGAGCATCCATAGCGATGGCCCACTCATGAAATTGCTCCATGATGCGGCGGCTTTCTAGGCCACCTCTTGGAGGAGAAGAAGGCAGTTCGGGAATCTGGACGAAGGATTGAGTGGCTGCTTTCTCTGCAACGTTTCCCATAAGTGTGTTTGCTTGTTGGAATATCTTTCCTAAGTTAGCATTAGGTTCCGAAGAGCACAACCTGACAATCTACCTCTTGAAGGATCTCTCGCCGAATCTCCTTGGCAGCCTCGTACTCTTCCTTCTCTTGTTTTTCTAAAGCCTTAAATTCTTCCGATTCAGTGTCCACGGTCATCTCCTTGATCTGGAATATCGCATTTGCTCGGAAAAAAACCGCAACGTGGAGAACCTCTAAGGCTGATCTCAAACGAATTCGTGATACCGTAAGTCGGGAGGATGGATCACTGTGGTTAATGTTAGTGAGGATGATTCAGAGCAAAGGAAGACCCTTACTTCTTGTGATCATCGTCCATTCCGTCATCGACCTCTTTACCTTTTTTCGAAACTTGTTTCCCTTCTTCTGTGACATTGGCAGATTCAAGACGCAAATTCTCCCTACATTCTTCGACAAGTTGTGATGCTTCCTTCACTGCTTCTTCCCAGATTACCAGCGCTTCTTTAACTCTTGGAGAGTTTTCGAACAACTGTCCACGTTTGAGCTTCGACATTAGCAAAGCTCGTTGATCAGTCCGAATGGCAACATCGGTCGTCTCGATCATTACGTTCAGCACTTCTTCGACTGTGCGGAGAGGACCATCCTTTTGACCAAGTGCTCGACGATTTCGACCTCCTATCTCAGGATGTAGGGCTGTCTGGCGTAAACGGACAAGCCATCTTCTCATGAAATGCGAAGCAGCTTCGGGCTCCCAGTCTTCTGTCACAGGGTTTCCTTGAGCATCAAGGCCTACTTCCTCGCACATCTATTCCAATCAGCATGACTCGATGAGAAAAAAGAAAATATGGATAATTGGGGATCCAATGAAAGAGTTCATTTACCTGGCTGAAGAGTTCTTGATAATGTTGCTCTTCGATCGGCGAAAAAGGTAAAGTAATGACTGGATAATGAATTAGCACCGTAAAATACGAACGAGTGGGGAAGATCCCAGAAGTTGCGTCGAAAATTGCAAGTAGATCTATATTGACATCAAACATACCATATCTTCGTTGAGCAGGCAATTTCAGCTCCTCTCGGACGCTTTGTTTACTATGGCGAAGAGCCAAATTACCAAATACCTTGCCAAAATCCGATTTGTGGTCAGAAATCAATTTCGACCAAACATGCTTTATAGAAGCAAAAGGTTCGTAGCGTAGAAATACGCAAACCCCTCGAAGATCGTTCACGTCCTTTCGAACAGGAGTTCCACTCACGGCCCATCCGTTGACTCGAGGAATCATTCTCGCCACGACAGCAGCATTGCTCACCCCGCTTTCAATCATCTGGGCTTCATCGATACAGCATCTCCACCAAGACAACGTCATCAGTGGCGATTTTGGTCTCGGATATCTCGATTCCTTCCGCAAGGTCTTCTCGGGATTCAAAGGAGTATGATAAATTTCCGCTGCAAGAATCGAGTAAGTCGTAATGACAACATCTGCCAACAGCAAGTCTTCCAGAAGCTTTTCTTGTTTGCTATATGTCTTGATACCTTTGTAATGGAAGACCTTAAGATGCGGAGCGTGTCGGTTTATTTCGGATATCCATTGCTGCAAAATGGAAGGAGGTGCTATGATCAGTGTCGCTTTGGCTGGACGGACATTTTGACCAGAGTAGACATCATAAACCTCTGATTGCTCCTTTGGGCGCTTGTGAAGAGAGATCAAAGCGATAACTTCGACAGTCTTGCCTAGACCCATTTCCTCGGCTAGCAAGCCACCCTTCAGTTGTCGCTCGAAATCGATGAAAGGCTTCAAGTTGGAAGTAACACAAGAATACAAGTGACTGGCATAACAAGGTTGCCCTAGACCATCCTGTGTCTTTATGAAAGATACCGGCAGCTCCTCATGGTCAGTTGGGACATATTGTCTTACTCGGCCATCACGGGACCATTCGACTCCTTCCCGACGCAAAAGCCACTGAACAGCTCTCTTCTGGAAAGGGTACAATTCCGTCTCTAGGCCCTCGACCTTCATTGTGATGGAAGCGTCATCATTCTTCTCAGGCATGTGTACACTTTGGTAAAAGTCTTGAGGAGACCATTGCTCGCCCTTCGTGACTGCAGGATCTGGAAAGTACTTTTCCAAGACGCTCGAAAGGCTTGGTATCCGGGCACTAGCCTGTTGTATGTTATAAGGCGACGAAGTTGTATTCCATCGAATTGTGAAACCAATTCTCAGAAAGTACTGTTCCTTTTCGTGATCCAAGGTAACATCGAATTCTGTCCAGATACGGCCCTGGGTTTTTGCCCATTTCTTTGAGTCTCGGTGAACGAGAAGGGCCAGGTGGACATCCTCTAAGTCTTCCTTTGGTGGCAAAGGAGCATGGAATACAATGGCTTTAGTTTCGTCCTCGATTTCGATGTACTCAGCAACTCCACGACTCCCAGTCCAATGAACATAGACCGGGATATTCGTCCTTGTAATTGGTGTTTTGAGCTCAGTCAATCTAATACCTGAAAGTTTTAACTCCCAGGATGGCTGCTTCACGATTATGTGCTCGAGTTCTGGTTCTTTGTCTCTCGAAACACTGGACTTGGCTGTAGTCTTTTGCCGCTTACGAGGAGGTTGTGATGGCCGATTTTGACAGATAAAGTCAATCAACGCATCTGAAACATCACGAGAAGGTGAGGGCGTCGAAGGAGTTCCAGTCTCGGAGTCTGAAATAGCATCCCGGTGATCTGGGGTCGAGATATTCGAAGATGCCATGGAAGCAGCTGCATTTCGACGGCGACCCACGGCTCCAGTCCGTCGGTCGATGACTTTTCGACCCATGTTGAATATTGTAGTTGCAAACTATCAATATAAAGAGGATCCAGCTTGAAGTTTTGATGAAATAACACTTTCGGACATCTTCACGATGGATATGTCGGAATGGAAAAAGTGCTCGAGAGTTGAAAAGAAAGAGGAAGCGGAAGGCTGAAGCACAAGGCGGAAGGAAGTGTTATCGCTTATCTGAGCGCGCTTTACCGAAAGAGTACTAGAGTTTGTTTTAGCCTAAGGCAAGAAATGTAAACGACCAAAGAATTATTTCGACGACCACCTTCACCAGCATGATCTTCTGCATTTGTAAGTTGAGCTGCAGCCCTTCGTGCCAATGCGCTAATTATAGTTCTAGAGACTGTTCATAATGATCGTCAAGTCTACACATATACGGCCAATTCCCTCTTTCCTTCTGCCTTTCACTCAGTCGACCAGGACACAAGCAAGATGTCTTCATCAAAATGTTAAGGCTAAACCTATACCCCGTCCAACTCCATTCGTCCCCGATACGCAGACTGTAACTATATACTGTTATTCGAATCACAATGCATGGCGCTAATTCATTGCAGTTCCTTTCTCTAATTGGCCGTAATTTGAGCCAACACGCTTCGAAAATACCTTCATGGAAAGCTCTGTTCTCTTTGACCTCTACACAACTCAAGGAATTGGGTGTCGACCCTCCACGAAGTCGACGGTACTTATTACGGTGGCGAGAAAAGTTTCGAAACAAACAATTCGGGGTGGGAGGGGATTTCAAGTTTGTCAAGGACGGCGTTGCAGAGCTGCGCGTGGCAGAGATCCCAGTGTCAGGACATCAAGCTGCAACGGCAACATCATCCTCAGGAAAGCGCAAGATTGTGGTAAATGTGGCTGCAGGAGGCAGTGCAACGCAGTTGGTGAAGTCTGTACCAGTTAAGGGCGTACATATTCAGGGCGCTCACACCATCGTGGGACCACATGTTCAACCAGTAAAGGGGGGAAAGGGTGCCAGGATTGTGATAAAAGAAGGGCTATGGGAGGATCGCAGAGGACATAAGATCGACGGCGGCGAAAGACGCCAAGCCGAAGTGCGTGCAAAGAGGAGAGGAGAGGAAAAGCGTGCTGGGAGATAGACGTACTGGGCTGGTGGGACAAGAAACCGTTTGATGTAATGTAAGATATTTGGGGCTATGCAGCTTTGCTTGTTGGATCTTGGAGCGGAAGTGGCTCTGTTGTGACCGGTTACATGGGCATTTCAACCGCTTCCTCTAGGGCTTCCATCAAGCTTCGAGAAGATCTTAAAAACTATAGGCTGCACGCCATGTACGACCAAACCAATAGAATGTGTCAAGAGAGCGGCTTTTACGCCCATCTACATTGCACATGGCTATTGGCCAATGAATCAAGACCCGTATGCTTCCGTGCCAGAAGGCTGTGTATCGAGTTTGGGGGTCAGATGCCATGAAATGATGCTCTTTAGTGCGAGAGCCGGAGGCGCGAAAGGGTGCGGTCGAGTCACAATCTCCCGGTCCGTTCCTGTCGCAGCCGAATTCCCTCAGTCACAATCATCACTATCACAATCCGTCTTCCGCATCTCACCTGGATGAACCTGGTGGACCCAGAAATCTAACCTCCCCTTGTCCTCTGCGGGAACGGAACATTCTCCTGGAGACAGGGCCCACAGTTTCCCCGGGACAGCCTCCTTCGTATCTGTGAATCATCCATCACTCTGTCCTTGAGATGGACAGGCCAAAGCACTGCTGCACTGCACCTGGGGACTCGAAGGTTCTCCTTGAGCCAACCTCGGGGGAATCGCGTCCGTTTCTTACACCTAGCTCAGCCCGTCCAGGGCAGCTTCATCAGGCAGAGATCAGGTCTTCTTGCAATCGCAAGCACGACACGACAACTTTAAGCTCAAGGCACGGATCTCGATTAGTAACCTTCTCGATTGATGCGGTGATGGGGTGGGCGTGGGAAAGGTCCTCGGTGCCAAATGCATATCCGTGGTCGAACTCCGTCCATTAGAGCATTAGAGTATGCGACTTTACGTGAGCATGGGATGATGGGATGGAGTAGCGGCGCTCTTGGCCTCGACTCGACAGCCATCGTCCAAGTATGCGTCATTGCCGAAGACTCATCTCTGCATCTGCGGCATCAACTGCACAGTGCGGTATTCTCGATGCGCGCGGGTTGTTGGCCGAAAGAGCGCTGCCTAAGAACGGTGCCTCTTTGGGGACTGGCCATCCCGGTCAATAATATGGTTCCTGCAGCTCGAGAGCATCCATCTGCCTGGTTGCAATCCCACCACCCACCACCCACCACCACCAACCCACTTCCCACTCGACTGCATTTTTCTTGATCTGCTCCTCAAACGTCAAAGAGACTCGTGCCGGCTGCATGGATTCTCGGACTGGACCGTATTCTACAAAAATGAAGCACTCGTGGTCACATTCACCTCGCTGCCAATCAGACGCCTACACTCGTTTGATCCCCATGAGGCTGCCTAAGGTAGTCAGGGTTCGGAATAAATTCTACTTACTCAAGGAGATGCAACTCGTCACGTTCTTCGCGGCTGTCCCATACTCTAAACTCTTTTCGAGGCAGTGCCTGGGCTGCAATTAGACCCCTTTGCTACTCCTACCCCGTTCCCTCTCATTTGCCAATGGCTTATATACCAATCCATTTCTCTTCCACTTGCACTTGTTGTCAGACGCACGTCACCTATCCACACATGCACAAAGAAGGCTGTGTCCTATGTTATATAGAGTCCAGTCCCATTGATTATATCCAAATTGATTTTACGTCCATATCCGTGGAGTTATTTCCGTCAACTGCTCTGCTGAGTCAAGTAATAGTTACTTATACATTTTGGTTTGTCTGTTCGAATGCTCTTCACACACTCTCTGCAACTGCAGCCGCATCAAGCCCACGTTCCTTCCTTGAAGTAGATGTTGGTATTCTGTATCTTCATTGCTAGAAATTGGACTGATCCTTGGCGAAGGGACACTCAGATCGATGAGAACAAGTCCATTGATCGACCCGCCGAAGAACAACCAGCACGCGACATCCCCAAGATCACAATTGACGATACTGATCAAAATCGGACTATCAAGTACGAATCTTCCTCTTCCACAGAAACAGAGATGTCCTCCTCCCATCGTTCTTCCCATCATTCGTCCTCAAAAGGGAAGCACTCTTCCTCTTCCTCTTCTTCGAGATCCAAACCCAAGAAGGACGACTGGTCAGATATCACGGACCCTGAGGAGAGAAGACGCGTTCAGAATCGAATTGCACAGAGAAAATTCAGTATGTCCTGCCGGTTTCTCTCTTTAAAGTGCTTTCTAACTAGTATGGACAGGAGACAAGGCGAAAGAAGCCAAGGAACGTCAAGAACGAGACGCCAATGACCGAGCCCATGCTGGACACTCTTATCACACACCCGATCCGAGTGAAATGGAACCAGATGAGGAACTCTCTGGACTTCCATGGGGTGGCATGTCCATGAAACATGTAGTTTCCAGGGGCAAGGCAAGAGAAGAACAGTCCAGACGAAGTTCGAGGACACATGAAGGAAGCTACGATGCTCAGACACCTGTCTACGACGATCGCGACGCATGCTATGAGGGGGATGCTACCTATTACGAAGACACGGACCCGGCTTACTATGACTATGGGAGTGGAAGTCATGGAGGTGATTCTCGCTGATTGTATTTCTGCCGGTCATTTTAGACTGTGAGCAATGCAGAAGAAACCTTTGAGATCATCGCTAACTCTGAGCTAGTATATCCTAGAGGGTTATTGCTCGCCTAATACTTACGATTTGATGATACCACGAATGTTCTGCATTCTCTGCTCTTTTCTGGGCCTGCTTTTGGATCTGGTAGATTTCATGCTTCTTGGTTGGACGCAACATAGCAGGAGTTGAGCAGACTCTTCAGCGGGCTTTATTATTCTCTGTTAAGAAGAACATCGGGTATCAAGTTTACTTTCTTTCTCTTCATTATGGGGGTTTTCAGCGTAGGACTGGAGCGTATCATGTTACTGTTTTCTGGGCTCGTATACGAACCAATCGTTCAGCTCTTTATGTATTATTAAGATTTCCAAACTCTATCAAGGTCTAGAACTTACTAATACCACACCCTTTAATAGATACTTGCTATAGCTCCTTGACCGGTCCCTAGACAGATGGGCTCTCCAATGTCGTGTGCAGGGCGTGATCTTACCCTGCTTCCCACATTCAAAAACAGACGTGGAATGAATCTCTCTTCAAAGATGCATTCGTTAGCCATGGCAGCCTCGGCGAAATGCTACTCGGTAAGGCTGGAGGGAATCAGGAGTAAGCCACACCCATACTTCTGTAGCCTCTCATGACCCTCCAAGAATTGTGGCTTGCATTGCTCTCATGTAAATGGCCAGATGAATAATAAGAACGGTACAACTTTCACGATGAGCTACAGAAATAGAAATAGACTTTTCTGGATCTCTTCCATGCAGATTTACATGCATAACATTGGGATCAATAGATGAGTCGCGGAGGATCTTCGTGGTCAGCAGATGTGAGGTTGTTTGCTTGGCGAGGAAACTCAGGACGGAGAGACGACACGGAACGGAAATACTACAAATGACGCTAGTGAAACCTTAAAATATACCAAGCTTCTGGGGGACAAGGAGCCACGAACGTCAATTTCTCGCAATAGAACTCAGCTCCACGACATCGCATTGAAATCCTTCCAGCAGAGTCGCACAAGAGTAAACAAATCTGATTGACTCTTTCAGCGGCCCGCATCTGCCTCGGAGTAGGAATCCATCAAATGACGGATCTCGATAGAGCTTCTCCAGGCTCGACGATCGCGAACTCCGAGCTCGATACGCACCCGTCATCACCCACAAGACCAGACCCCAGAACATCCTTACAACACGTACTCGGTCCCGTATCTCGAAAGAGCACTCCATCAGCAAGTCGGCGTAATAAGCGTGAAGTAATGGAAGACGACGAGATTAGAACACCGGGTGGTGTTGCTCCAGACCCCCCAACCAAGCCCAGCACATCGCGCAAACGAAAGGAACCTCCTGCCGGCGCAAACAACCCTATGTATGCGAACAAGGTCAAGCATCTCAAGAAGGATGATGGCGAGCCTCTTTGGAGACGAGATATTCAGTATGACTTCCTCAAGGCTGTATTCGACGACGACAAGAAGGTGTTCACAAACAGCTACGAAGCTGATAAGCCATATCAAAGCTTCGCAGACTTGTACATCGATACTATGGCCAGGAGCAGCAAAACAAGCAAGATATTGAGGGACAAGTTGTTGACAGAGCATGAGCCTGCCAAGAACATGGCCATGGTCTGTCTACTGGTTAATCTGGGTCGCATGAACACAACATTGAACTGTGAGCAGATACCATTGCGTACAGCCACCAAGCTAATATATCATAGTCTTCCCAGAAATGCGTGCGCAGCTACGAACATACCATGCGATTCCCTCTCTACAAGCTCATCAAGACCCCAACTCCTACAAACAACTTCAAGATGCTCCACGACTCAAATCCATATTGAAAGGAGCTTCGGAAGACCGGCCAGAGCCAAGCACATTAGAGAAGATCAAGGGAATAGAGGTCCCACGAACAAATCCTGTCAACCTTATTTTTGTCCTTGCCCAATACGCACCGAAGGCCACCGAGCTACATTTCCCGCGTGGTAATGACTTTTACGACTTGATCATGGGCGAGAATCTATCAAGTGCATCTAGAGCCAGAGCATTCTTATGGTTAATGTGGTTTTACTTGGAGTCCGACTTTACCGAGGAAGGCGCAGATGAGAATCCTTTCGGGGCTGGAATCGACTACAATACTGATGTGAGAAACCAAGGAGTGCCTAGGTTTGATATCCTTTCCGAAGAAGAGCAAGCTGCAGAGAATGTCGACACTCAAGAAGAGCAAGATTATGGTTACGCGAAGATGAGAGAGAGGAAGAGAATTATCGAAGCAGATCAGATCGCATTCCAGGCTGAACATGGCCCACCAAAGAGAGGACCGAAGCCCAAGCTTCATCTACCTCCGGACGATGGTGGTCCAACACATGCTGCTCTTCTTGGCCGAATCAGACCAAAATACGACGAGGGAGGCATCCCTGCCACCACTTTAAATCGTATCCGGCCGAAGTACGAATCAGACCTGGAGAGTAATCGATCTACGCCTCCACCTCGAGCCCTTGGTGGCATGCGAATTCATGCTGTCCTCAATACTGGACCAAAAGGTCGAGGTGTATTGAAACAAGTCGTCGAGGGATCTTCTCCAGTAGGTCCTGTTGGTGAACATATCATACGACGCTCTCGACCTCTGACGGCACATCAACTGGCCGTCGAGCGTAACCGAAATCAACGAGTGGATTACATCCTGAGTCGTGGACTACGAAAGAAGCATCACCAAGCCAAGAAGCAACGAAAGCAAGACGGTGCATTCTGGCGTGCTTACCAGAGAACCAAAGAAGTTTCAAACCCATTCCTTGATAGCGAGGATGAGGATTCTATGCACAGAGATCCAGGTCTCTTCAGAGAACCCGGCTTTGGTGGCCTTGTACAGCTCGAGACCGAAGATGATGACTTTGGCGAGGAAATATCGGCTTATGCCGCAGCATTCAGACGTATGAGCAGAAGACTCGATCGTTGGGATCTTCAGAAGGACCTCAAGTTGGGTGTTATGGGCACGAACCGAGTAGCGCAGACCAAATCCGACATGGCCAACGGTCACGAGGTTAGTAAAGACGCCGATGAGACAGAGGATGAGCAAGCACCGCCACGAGAGCAGAATCGTAGTACGAATGGGGCAGCTCAGAGAGAAGATGAAGAAGACCTCGACGATATGGAAAAGGAAATCTTGGGCCTCGGGAGCGACGAAGAGGGAGATGCCGACGAAGACCTGGATGATGTTGATAAGGCATTACTTGGACTCCAAGGTGATGAGACAGAGGACGACAACAGTGATGGCATGGACGTTGACTGATGTGCTTATTATCAATTTAGATTGGGCAGGTTAGCGTGGCGTTTCTAGGGTTCAACGGTGCGATATGGCCCAGCGGCCTTGTAGAGTACGAAAATCTGGCGTCCTGAGCAAGCAAGTATAATGAAGCTATTGCGGCCTTTTATCAAAATCACTCGAGTCCTCTCTGTGCTGAGATGCTCCCATCTAGGAAGGCGCGCAATGTGCTAAGTGCCAAGGAAAGCTCATCCTACTGTCCCCGTCATCACAACATCAAAATCTGAGTTCTTCTTCCATCCCTAAAGTTTAGAGCATCACATTACTTTATGATAATTGCAGCTAGTGTTTGACATCATCCTTCGTATGGCAAGGAGTGGTTCCCTATCATTCCTTCTTGTAGTCGATAACAATGATTAGCAGCAATAAAATTCATTCTCGAATGCTTTTTTAGTGAGCCATCCGTGACAATATCTCCCGCTTTTGCTGAGATCCAAGAGATTTCTATTTATCGTAGTGATAACCTTATAATGTAGGAATCGTGATGTCGGTCTCAACATTGGAAAGGGGGAAAATACGCGAAGCGAGTTTAAGCGAGGCGCTAGCTTTTCGTCTTTGCATCTTTTGCTAGCAGTAATCCCGGTAGAGCTTGGTGCTGCCATGATGTTACCGCGGAGAAACGCACAGGTCTTGGAAGAGGTAACGCATTGGAGACGCAGAATGGGGGATTTGTCTCCTCCATAAGAGTCAATGCTTGAGATATGTTAAGTACCTAGCTAGGCATCTTGAGTCTTGAGTTGGGAATATTTTTCACGTCGGCAGGCAAGATGCATTCATATAGCACTATGACATTGTTCGTCACTTAGAAATGTTTCCTCAGATTCCAACCTGCGCATATGCTAGCGTGGTCGCATGTTCATAAAGTGTTGAGATCAACATTTAACTGCAAAAGTCTAGCAATTGCGAACAAAGATACGGCATCATCAAGACACAAAGAAGCAAAGAGGCATCAAATAAATTGACACGTACACCTGGCACCAATATTTTTCGCCTGGCTCAGCAAGGATCAACCCAAGCACTCAAATCAGTAGTCTTCAAAACAGTCGAGAACCCGCTCGCCGCAGAAACATCACAGCTTGCTTTCTTCACCTCAGGGCTAACATTCGGCGCCGAATCTGGATACTCGATATGTAAGACCGGCTTCCCCGCATCAATGAAAGGCTTCGAAAGCCCGCATTCATTGTATTCCTCACACTGCTCATTGACGGCCCACTGCATAACAGGTAGCACTGCATCGACGAGGCCGAGGGCATTCTTGAGGCCAATAGCCATCTCGTGTGAATGAGACTCGTTAGCGAGAAAGTTGAGGAAGTCGACAGCGTTAGATTCTGTAATGCCGATACCATTATCGTTGGCATAGCCGTCGACGTTGTCTGGATCGATACCATCACAGCCTTTACTGGCTGCCAGCTCAATACGTTTAGTCATAATAGACCGCACGTTTGCAGAATTGATATTAAGCCACCATTCACCTTGCCAACCCTGCATAGCACTCCCTTTGTCGGACGATTGGAATGAACTTTGGTCGGGACGCCAATCTTCGTAACTCCCAGCTGAGAAGTAGCAGATGACTTTCTTGCCGGTGGTATGAAGTGTTGAGATAGTAGATGCCGGAGTGTCGAACAGATCCACGTCGAATACGTCAGCTGCGACACTGGTGTCGACTGTCCCACTGATTTGTATTTGCCACGTTACACCTGCAACGGGCTTCCAGTAATCTGCACTTGATGAGGGAGAAGGTTGGCTGCTGGTAGCTGTCGATGGTAAGATTATAGTGGATGTGGTAATTGATGGCATGAGGCTGGCTGCAGTCATTGTCTGTACCGTATTCGGAGCTTGCGTGGGTGTGGGTCCTGCAGTAATCACACCACGAGATGTCGAGGCGGTGATGGTACCATCATCGTCATCAGAACTCGGAGATGCAGTTGGAGCTTCTGTTGGAAATGAGAACAGCGTGAATGTGTCGTCGTCTTCGTCTGATGTTGTGGTGGATACAGGACAAGCTGAGATCCTCGTTGTAGGAGTAGCTAGACCAAACGTGCTTGTTGAAGGTGATGTTGGTACGCCATGGGTGTGATGAACTGTTGGCCAAGATGCCCAGGGCCACCAAGGGCTGTAAGGAGGGTGCCAGCCATTCCGCTTGATGACTGCAGAAGACGAGAAATGCACAAGAAATACAGAAATGGTAAGGACGGTTTTGAGAAGCGAAAGCATAATGAATGTGTGTAAGAAGAATTCAATTGTTCACAGCCGCTAGGACATTTTGAGACCGCACAACTTGTGCTGGGCAGAGCCCTTATAGCTATTTGGCAAGAATGGAACGCAAAACTTTTTCTGTTCTAATTCAGGGAAGCGAGCATTCAGTAAAGACCCCAAATTTGATCATGTCCGAAAGGCTCGATGAAGATGTTTCAGGAACTAACCCGGCAAATTTTCGAATGGCAGAGCGCGAATCCTTCAAATTTATTTCGTCCAATCTTTTCAGATGTCGTCTAATCTGACGTGCATCCATATTGCATAGAGAAGATCCGTGTTGTGCAACACGTTGTCTGTAATCAGCCTGAACATCTAGAATTGATCAGATCTACTTTGGGGGTAATCGGCAGTGGCCTTGACCAACCGACAGCCTGGTTGAACCGCCTTTCTTTCTCCCAACAACCAGATCACGATTCCCATGGGTACAGGCGCCCGATGGTAGGGAAACAACGCCGGCATGTGGACATTCCACCTCCTGCGTCCTCTTCAATCAATTTGAGACCTCAAATCGCTCAAATCGACAAATATATATTCGTGGATTAGTCGAGGAACTAGGAGAAGTCGGGAATGGTATGCTGACCGGAGGAGAAAGTTCTTGCTGAGACACGTTTTGACTTTCCACCTTTTTGAGATCATGTGATCACGAACAAACTTGGAACGGAAATTGAATTTCAGCTACGTAGAGTGTGGGACGTCTTACAATATATATGAATAGAGTAAGAAGATCCGAGGAGAGAGTCTTCTTTCGATATCCAGCTGAGTCAGTGGGAATAACGTGTCTCAATATACTCTCATTACCTGTAGTCCTTACCTAGGTGTCCAGCAAAGTCCTACTTTATTGAAGCTGATGACTAGAAGCAATTAACCAAAGTTCAAAGTGATCCTCAAGTGAAATCCTTCTAGCAATGTATTAAATTTCTTAAACTTCAATGCTCCACGGAGCCTCGCTTAACAATGTAAACAAAGTTCGCAAAATTTGAATATTAAAAAGTATTTCGCTGACATACTAAAAGGAAGGGATGTAGAACTATGAAGCAAAAACTCGGACCTCACCGCCAAAGTGAGGAGGTCTTAGAAAACTTGCTCGGTTTCTGGTACAGTTTTTGAAGTCGCGTTGTGGTGGGCATCTCGTTATGGCGTGCCCAAGCCACTGATATAAAAATATAAAAACATAAATGAAAAGCGGCATGCGACCTCACATTTACTTTAGCGAGCTAAGAATTTGTTGTCTACAAAAAGCAAAACTCAGAGCCATCGATCGAAATCGATGGTTCTTCCAAACGAGCAGCCAGTGCTAGTTTTAGAGGGGCTATAAGTCCATCTGGTTGCTGTCAACTGAGCTAACAATATATTAGCAACCTTTGGTGTTCCGGACTTATTGACAAGAAAATGCTTATTTAAGTTTATCAAGTAGAGCTTAGATTAGCGAATCAGGTCTGAGGAGCGAGTGGCTGACGTCGGTCTAGCGCGATGTTGTCTGGAAGCGAGCTCCCTGCTTCGACTTATCTCGCTCAAGGCCAGCTTCTGGAAGCTTGCAAGATGCATTGTACCATCTGTGATACTCTACAACACTTCGTCGGGAGGTTAGCTGTCAAAGGCGCTATGCCAGATGAAACGGCGGGAAAGTTGGCTTGTCAAAGAACAATCTGACTACTGTAAACAAGCATCAACATATGGACTACTTCGACTACAATCTGAACTATATCCTACAAGCTCTTGACTAACAACAACAATTTGGACGTGCCAGCCTATATGCCATCCGTTGAAACATTCAGTGAACCTGCCCAAACTCCATCCTTTTCCCCACGATATGCACGCAAGCGTTTTGTATCCTGTACCAAAGTCGCGTCCATCAATACCTCGTATGTCTGTCTCTTCGATCCTTATACCGATGCCTTCGATCATCCCAATCCCACTCCCTACTCTTATCACCCCTCCTCTGCCACCCTTCACTCCGACTCCTCATCCGCGGTTCCAACGATGGCCGTGTCTCAACACTCTCGCTCCTCCTATGTCCATGAAGCTCATCCTCAACATCGTCCTTGAATTCATCCCACTTCTTCCTCCCTTTCCGTCCTTCCTCTTTCAATTTATCTTTCCCTTTCTCTCCAAGTAATTCTGCCTCGGCCTTGATCCTAGGATAACACGCTATTCCTGCTAACAAGGCGAGGATACCGGCTTTCATCGCTAGGTCTTTGGTGTTGAAATGTGGGTTGTGTTTCTCGATCTCCTTTCTTGCGGCTCGATGTTCGGGGTGAGAAGGTGATAGGAGGGCGAGGGGCGAGGGTGGAAGTTCTTTGAGCATGTTTGGAATATTGAGGTAGTATGACAACACTATTTGTAATGTCCTTGGCGAAACTAGCAAGTGGTGAGCATCAATATGAGTCGCAGACTCTCCAAGTCGATGATATAGCACGATAAGTACTTGAGTCAAAACAACAATATGAATAGGAAGACAGATATGATCAGAGAAAGCAGTGAAAGACAAGACCATGAAGATATAACAGCCCACTTATCATGATATCAGCCTCACCCAACTTTCTACACATTCTCCACACCACTCTGGTTCTCCTCATCTTTATCCACTCTTTAATCCACACGAACCCAGCGATTTCCAGTGTCCAGCAGTTCGTAGCCACTCGACCGGCAGAACACCATGTGGACAAGAACGATAGCATAGCAGATAAGAAAAATATCTGGAACCACCCCGCCATTTCAGGGTCTTGATCGACAAAAGGAAGCGAAAAAGACCCTTGTTAAAATGCAGGTTGATGTCACTGAGGCGAAGAATCCTTCGAGCGCCGTGAATGTGAGATCTGGATGCGGGACATTTGAGTGGGGCCGAAACCTGTTTTCTCGGCTTTGGAAGTCGGGGTTCTGATGCCGGATATCGAGGGGAATGTCGATGTAGAAATGGCCTCGTGAATATACTCCGAAGAAGATGAAAATAATGGAATGTAAAACCAGGACAACAAATTCATACTCCGTCGCTCAATGCTCAGATAACCATTCCCTTACTTTTCCCTTGCCTGCACTCCCTCATTTCAACGACGTCCTCCTCCAATCCCAATAATTCTTCCTAATCCTGTCATACTTATCCCCCAATAAAGTCAACGCCTTATCCGCTTTCTCATTCTCTCCCTTCTGCGCCCATACATCAGCTAGAAAGTCCAACGCATGACTACTCTTAATATCCTCCTCTCCCACTTCAGGAATCTTCACAAATTCCCCAGCAAAGCATTCCAAACTACTCAACTTCCTTCCACCCTTCTTCAAGACACCCCTAAGATAATTCCACGGACTCTGGTTCTGTGGTGCTTCAAAAGTCGCCGCTTTGGCGAACTCAATCTCTCGATCCAGAATCTCGCCCGGGATCTTAGGATCGTATTCCGTGGCTTTCGAACCTGGGGTACAGTATTTTGGATTTGAAAATACGACGAAGAAACGATGTGACCAGGCGCTGTTATTCCTTACATCTTGTCTTAACAGGGTTTCGATACATTCGATTTCCCCTTTGTCGAATAGGTCTAACTTGCGCACTACCCACTGACGGTAGCTCCAGACATGATAATTCTTCGAGTCTTCGTTGAACATTTCCGTCATGAATGCTACTTCTGACTCAGCTAGTGATTTCAACGCGGCTGGATCTGAAGACATCGAATCGTAGAGATGATCGATGAGAATTTGACGATGATGCCAAATTTGGTAATTCTTCTGGTTGTCGAGAGCCACGTTGTTGACCCATTCAAGCTCAACAGGGATGGAAGAGTTGAGTGCTAGGAGGGTAGAGGCACGGTATAGCCACACCGTATAGTGTGCTGCGTTCATGGAGATGATATGTTCTGTGAGATCCAGTACTCTCGGAGAGTATTCTTTTGCAGCCATTACCGCACGGAGATATCCCATTGCTTCATCCATCAGCAAAACTCGTCAACGAGAAAGAGACATACCTTCAGCATATTCATCCGTATAAGCAATAGCAGCTAAAGCCCCCTCTCCATCATCTTGTGGTATAGGCACAACGTCATCCCACACCGGATCACCCTCATACTTCCCCATCCTCTTGCCCCTCAAATTGCCTAATAGCTTCCTCCTATTCCTCTCCTCGTCAACCTCTCCAGTCTCAAGATTCTTCCCTAACGCCCTTCGTTCAGAAAACCTCGCACTCTTCGTCCTCAACCCCTCAATCTCCCTCTCCCGCCGTTGATAAAGTTTATACTCCGCCGGCGTATAACTCCCGATCTCAATCCCCCTAGGATCCTTCCCCAAATCTCTCGGTTTGGGCAAAGGTGTAGGTATTTTCTGCTGCTCGACAGCTTTCCAAAATTCTGTCTGTTGCGCAGATGACCACGATCTCCAAGCTCCCGTTTCTAAGAACACGGCGTTTGCGTATGCAGCTTTCTCGTTTGGAGTGAGGTTCGACAGCCCCTTAGATTCCTTGAGACTTTGGTAGGGTCGTGAAGCTTGGTATTCTGCTTCGAGCTTCGCTGCGATGGTGGGGTCTGTTGATGCGTTGTTAGCTTGGGATCTGCTAGGAAAAGTTAGCCTTAATACGACTCAGACATACATTCTTTCGGGGGGTCAGGCGGTTTTGATTGGGATTTGGCCCCTTTGGAAGCTTTGGGTGCCATTATGCAAGGTTGGTGGGGTTGAGGGGAGAAAGGCTCAGCTCAGGAATGTTAGCCGCAGCCTCGCGTACAGTGAACAATATTAAGGACAAATTCCCAAGATTTCCAGAGCAAATGTGCTGAAATCTACTTGAACATTTGAATTCCTGTAATTGAATGTCTGTTCCGCTGGATTCACATTTGGGGGCAAATATGCAGCATCGTCATATGCAATGTCCCGATATTGATGCCGAAAATGAGGGATCCAAAATAGGAATTCATTCATAGTATTCCGTAGCAACATTAGATTAGGATGACTATTAGCTAATATTTGTACAATAAACCACATCCAATTACCCATACCTGCTGGTTGCAGCTCAGCTGTTGCCAGCAAATGTCTAGTCCTCAACTCTCCAAAATTTCCAAGCTTCTCTGTCACCGTTATCTCCATGAACCCCGACAAGCTCTTCAACGCCTTCAATACCCTCTGCATTCAAAAACTTGTCCTGGTCGATTTCTTCGCCGCCCAAGTCATCCTCAATCCCATTTTTGAGTACAGCGGGCCAGAGTACTCCAATACCATCACAACCCAAAGTTGTCTCGAATTTTCCATAACCCTCTTCATCTAGCCTTCTCTCAAGACGCTTCATCTGATCTTGTGGTACGTCTGGTTTGAGAAGTGTGATTGCACAACCTCCACCACCAGCACCTGTAAGCTTCGTCCAGCCAATACCTTCATGGTCGACTAATTCTCGTATCCGTTCCAGTCTCGGATGCGACACTCCCAGTGAGACTAACAATCCATGATTTATGGTCATTAGCTCCCCCAAATCCTTGATGCATTCTGGATCTTCGGGATCAAATCTATCACTTCCCATAAGTTGTGTTGCACCTTCTGATACTTTGTCAATCGCATTCAAGATTGACTCTGTGATCATAGGGTGTTTCTTCTTCAATGCTCCCACCTTCGCTACCTCGGCTGCTGTCGATCTCGATTGCTTTGTATTGACAAGGAGAAGTGGAAGCTCAGGGAAATTCCACAATGGCTGGACCTTGGGAGGTTTTGCGTAGTCGGTCCTTTGGAATATGACACCCTTTCCTTGTGAAGCGACTGTATTATCGACGCCCGACGGATTGCCATGTATACACATCTCACCCACAAAAGCCCATCGGTTAATTCGCTCGATTTGAAGTCGTGATTCTTCCGCAGGTTGATCAGGGTGAGGTCCAGAAAGAGTTCGGATCTGTAATAGAAGTGCGCCAGCAAGACAGACCGCGATAGACGCGCTGCTACCTAACCCGCCTCCAATTGGTATTGTTGAGCGTAGAGTGTACAAAGAACCTGGGAACGATGGCGAACCAAGAGATAATAGAAGGTATAGGAAACAACGAGCAGAATTCTGGTGGATTTTGCGGATATCATCCGGCAGGTCTGGAGACACGTCTTCCAGATGAGGTTCCATTGCTGCGACGAGTTCTGGATCGAGAGAAGTAACGAGATCGTAGTAGTACTTCTTCTTCCCTGGGGTAGAGAAGGCGCCCCACGGTAAGTCGTCGATGTTCCATGTATGTGAAAGATTGATGTCGGGAAATCGAAGAGAAATCGTTCGTCTCGACTTGGAGAGTGCAGTGACTAAAAGGTAGGATCGAAGAGAGATGGATGCAGCGATTGCAGCCTATACTGTCAATTGTGGTTCTACAACAAACATTTAATCCCTCACCTTGCCATGAACCACTGCATGTTCTCCAAACACAATGACTTTGCCAGGCGCAGAAACCATAAAGGTTGGCATCATCGGACTTGATTGTTTCCTATCGAGGCCCAAACCCTTTCGTGTCTTCCTCTTACCATTGCCATTGATTTCAGTATGTGCCATGGTCTCGGTGACTGCTTCCACTGCATGCGAACCATTCGTCACTGATAGCATTTCGGAGGAAGGAGAGGGGGAGGGACTGGTGTCGGAGGGAGTCTCGATGGCGAAAGATGTGGTACTTGAACTCGATCGCGAATGTGTCTTTGTCTTGAGGGGTTTTCCGCCAAAGGACCTCCTACTCTGGTGGCTGGTCATCGCACAATGAGCATTGTCTGTCTGTCGAAGAAGCAATGTCGGGATCCAGGAACGAGAAGGAGTGACCAAGCAAGCAGCCTTTATTGCGCTCAATCAACATGGTAATCTCCTTGAATTCAAACCCCAGGTGCTTACCCGATTGGGTTGGGTACAGTATTGCAGCCAGGGACCCTTGGACAGGCACCGCCCACTAACGCCTTCAAATGCAGGTGGCCGATCTTGCCAACGACCAATAAATATATTCGACTTTCCAAGCTCCCTCGTGTGACACCGCAATTACTTTTGCAAAAATTGTTGACCCAACAAAGCTCTGCATTGTCTGTGGGCAATAATGAATCTGGGTAGCCTGTTTCTCCGCGTTCGCTATCGATTCCTCACGTCAGAAGCATCGTGGGTCTTGCCGCACCCCGACAGGAATGAAATGTTGCACGACTGGCTGATACCAGTTCGGCCAAGAGGGGTTGCCCACACCATGTGGAAGTACGGCGTGTTATCTGCTATCAATCAATAGCAAGGTAAGCATTCGCTTCTCCGTATAAGTACGGTGTCTTATCCTCCATCAATCACATCCAGGTAGGTACGAAATGCGGGTCTCAAGAAAGCATTAGCTGCATCCTTACGAAGTTCTGGTATTGAACGTTGTACAAGAAGCACAGGGAATATGCACAAAATGGTTCGAAATAGGCTAATACATTCTCAGCATTGGAATAACTGCAGAGTTCAGCCATCTACTGCTCTAGAGCAGCGTGTTTTCCCCTGGACTTGTACTGAGGAAGGTGTTTCTTTCGTTGTCCGTGCAGATCTCTAAGATAGTTCAAGAGTCTTGCGGAACTTGCCTTTTGATTCAGTCATCACTCTATGCACATTGGCGTTGTATGAATCACTGCTCTAGCAAAATGTCATCCACAGCCTCAAGTTGAGGCCAGAGGCTCGGGCCGCCCGAGACACGGCCTATGCAAGTGGAAAAGCTCTGGAAATCAGCTGGATGTATATGGCTTTGCTGAATCTGTCTTGCTATGAGTTGCATGCGTACCACTGGAAACACGACTATATAACACCCACCCATCAATTGCTGTTCCTGAAACCTTGCCACTTCAAAGCCCCTCGATAGCCTTCAGATGTCTGACCTCGAACCCCTCCACAAAACCCACAATCTCCCTATACTCCGCAAACCCCTCAGTCTTTGCGAATCCCATATGATGTTCCACACTTTCAAATCCCGAGAACAAGACCCATTCCTCCTTCTCCTCACTCTCTTTCTCGACCCTCCAGCCTCCAATCACCTTATACGGTTTGGTATACTCCTCCAGCAAGTATTTTACCTGATTGAACTGCTTCTCAAACCCCTCTCTCCTCTGTTTGGGTACAAAATGGCGATTACAGCTAATCACGGGCGCTTCGAAAACCCACTTCTCCAATTTCCCTACTTCGAAAGCATCCACATCGAGATGCCACATTGACATCTTCTTGTCTGGGTCGACTCCACTAGCAATATCATCCTTAAGCAGCCCAAGCAGCCGTTGGTTCTCTGGGGAGGGAAGAAATGTTCCGTGAGCAGCTGGTGAGTCCCATTTTCCAATAATATAAATAATAGACGGGTCCTCGATTTGCTGAAAATAATGGAATGAATTCTTGGATGCAGTTTCCAGGACTTCCTTTGCTGTTTTGAGTTTCTCGATGACCGAGGATGGAAGGGTTGGATTCTCTTTGGTGAGTGGATGAGTGAGGGGCAGGATTGCAAATTCGGTGACTGGCATTTTGAAGACAGACTCGATCAACTTCTGAGAACTTTGAGAAACAAGCTGAAGTTTCAACACGGCGATCATGTCCCTGATATAGAACCTACACTTGTAGCTCACGTGAACCAAGGCATCTGCAATTACGTGAGAGCATGCAGAATCGGCCAAACCCGGGAGATCTTCCAACTAAGTATAGGTTCCTAGAACGACACCGCATCGACAAATATGAACCCTCACATATCCACGTTTTGAATCAAATCATGCTGGGAAAGGCAATGGTTCGGACGGCTCATCAATTTTGCTTTGCTATGTCGTTAACAGCTTTGCATTTCCCCAACGTGCCATTCCATGCCATGGTATGCCAGACGCCCTTTGCAAATGAAGTTGATGTATAACCTGTCCTCATAATCCCCAACTAGACATCATCTCCAGCTTCAAATCCTTCCATTTATTGTGCAATTCGCTTGCCCTTCGCATTCTTCTTTGGTGTATCGGCGATGACGAGGCCTGTGGTGAAACGGTTTGTTAGATTCGTATTCGAACAGTGGATTGGAATCCCAATCGGTCTGTGATTCTCTTTGTAGAGCAATTGGGACATTCTCTTCGTAGGTGAATGTGCTGGGAGAAACTCCTCGAAAATACGTACTTGGTGGCAGCGATTGCTTCAACTTATCGGCCTTCTCGGAATCCTTCAGGACGAGCGTATAGAGGTGTCTTTGGCATCGGACCTTGAACTTGATCTGCGATGACTTCTTGTTGCGCTTTATGCGTGCAGCTATATTCCCATCAGTCTCTGATCTCGAGAATCCCATCTCCCTAATTCCTTCCCGATCTTCCAGCCTTCCTAGACCCAAGCGTATCGAAGAGTTGAGGTTTTGAAGAGTTAGATGAACGTACAGGAAGCATCCTTGCGTCTGCAAATCTCAATGAACTGTGCAAATCGTTAGTATTCTGTCTCCCACTGCTTCCCGCGCTTTTGTTAGAAGACATTGAATGGGTAGTACTCACGTTCTTGATGTCGGAGATCTCGCGAGGCATTTTGGCGGTAATTTTGGCTTCGAATTGAGAAATTGAAGTTGGAATTTGCTCTGCGACCGAAAAGAAGCTGAAGAATTGCTTTGTGGGTGGCTTAGTCAGAAAGGTTCGGCTGTCGATAAGAAGGCAGCTAGAAGATAAGGTTTGAGGCGCAGGTCTTTGTGGCTAGTGACGCGCGTCTGGGGAAACAAGTCTAGGTGGTCTTTCTTTGAGTACTTGAACTGTAGTATTTCCTGCGAAAGGTGAATTAAAGTTATTTCTTGATCATATAAGCTTGTCTTTATTCAATTTAATCAATTGAAAGGCTGAGTCCCTAGAGTCGAAGCTCAACCTTCTACCCCGCTCAACGCCGCCTCCTATTACCTCGTCTAAGATGCCTACTCCTCTTGATAGAGCTTTGAATTCGAAAGTAAGTGAAGTTGCTGTTGTGTGGGAAAGATTCTGACTGAAGATTACAGAATACTTTCCTTGGTATATAAATCCTAAGCCCAACTGCCGGGAAAGTCGTTACTGACGTACTACGATTAAGCATTCACTGGAATTGTTACGGCGGTAGCAGCATGGTCTATATGGGGCCAGGATATGTTTCCAAAGGAAGCAGATCCATCTGGAGGTAATGTCATTGAGTATAATGTGTGCGACTTGGGGCTGATTGTCAAATCATAGATCCAGAAAGTTGGACACATGAAGAATTGCGCAGGTGGCTAGCTGCAGTAAGTCGCCACATTTATCTTACAAATCCTACCTTTGAAGTTTCAGAAGAAGTTTTATCTGTCGTACCATTACCTCTGAAAGGCTGGACACTTCATTGAGAATTATCAAAAATTCTCATTTGACTTCTGGTCGGAGTGGTTGCTAACACGCCAAAAATTGCCCTTCTGTAGCTTTGGTAATAATTTGTGCTAACTAGTTCTTGTAGAGGGATCTCCATCCAAATCCGAAAGATACCAAGGAGGAGTTATTGGAACGGGTCAAAGCGAACCTTAGGGCACCAAGAACATGATTTATGAATTGCTAGCAGAGGGTTCGGGAATGTGTCGATTTGAGAAGGAGTTCTGAGTGAAAAGATTCATGCATACATGCTTATGGCATGTTTTTAAGGGGCGTGCTACCTGGATCAGCAACATTAAAGAGAAGATGTCTAATACTGATGCTTTTTTATTCAGTCAACTCAGGGAAACTGTTTTGAGAATTTTATTGCATTGATGTTCTACTTCAATTGATGTATGATCACTGTCTTATGTTGTTTCTGTGTGCGTTGATTTCGTTAGTCTGCAGTAAATCCAAAAGCATGCAAGAAGCAACACTTCCCGTGTCCTCATGTCGACCAGAGATTGAACACTCGCTATCTGGATAGCAAGCAGTAGATTCTCACGACACAGAAGAGAACAGGTAGTGTTGGAAAAAGGCCATAACCACCAGCTTCTGAGCATAAAAGCCTGCAAGCACTGTGGATAGTCTTAGTCCCTGCCCCTGCATGATATCTGCTGACGTTTTTTCGTTTTTTGACAAAGGAAATTCGGAACTACTCGAAGCAATTACTGCCCAAGCTCCGCCTCGAGAGCTGCCTGGCGAGCCTGTAAATAATTAGCATTGTACACCTTTCTTCTGGACAATACAACTCACCTTCTCAGCATCAATGCTCTCCTTTACACCTCGACTGTGCTCTCGCAACTCCCTAATATTCTCAAGCGTAGCATTGTAAACTCTGAGGTCCTTAAGTTCCTTCTCCAAGCGCTCACTCTCCTCTTCTTGTCGACGAAGAGCGTCTCCAATCGATCGATTGGCAGGAGAAATCGAGGACTTGCGAGGACGGCCTAACTCGGCGACAATGCCACTGCCTGTAGTCTCATCCGCCTTACGCTTTCCGATCAAGCTTTCTGGTTGAGGAGGGAGGGAGGGGTGTCCATCAGGATTGGGGTAGGCAATGAATGGGTTTCCAATAGCCTTAGGACCTGCTAGCAATTCGGCACGAGCGACTTCCAAAGATCTCTTATCGCTAACTCGTCTAACTGGAGTTGCGGATTCAGCCTGGGTCTCCTTGAATGAATCAGCGATCTCCTGTCGAATTTGAGTTGGAGGCGACTCTCGTGGACTCAGCTCTCGGTCTTGCGAGCGCTGGAGTTGCATGGCAGGAATATCAGCCTCCTCATCCTCGGATTGGGCGGCGAAGAAGGATACAGAACCAAGAATTGGGCTTGCGATGGTATGGTTTCGGGGTTCAGGGCTCATGCTGCTAAATCGAGAGAAGCGATTGTGTTTAGCATCAGGCTCGACTGAAGTCTTGGTCGAGGTGCTCATATCCAACTTCTGGCTGCATTTCACACCAGCTTCAACCTCATCAGGGTCAGCAATCTCTGTCGGATCATTCGAAATCTCAGACTGAGCTCGCTCGCTCACGATAGAAAGTCGACGAGCAGCAGCACTGCGCATGGAGACGTCTCTGCTGCGAAGTCCTTCATCAAAAGAGACTCTTGCAGGTCGTCCAAGCTGAACATGGGCCATGTTGAAATTGGTAGGCTCTGAGAGTAGCCGGTGCATTCCCCGACCGCTTGACAGATTTGGGAGCGATACCCGACGGTCGAGACGTTCAGGAGCAGGAGCACCGAAGATCGACTGACTCTTCCGAGTGGATGGAGGTGGAGTCATGAGCAGCGAAGCAGACACCTCTTCTGACTTGGCAGGTTGCTCCTCATGTTGTTGGGACATCAAAGGTTCATCAGGAGCCTCAGTAGTAGGCAGAGGTTGGTCAGCATCTCGATCGGTTGAGAGCGCATCGTCACTTTCGACCAACGATCTATCTCTGGCAGTCTTGCTCGCAGGCGCAGATTGGAGTCCAGGGAGAGAGATCTTTCGTGGGGTGATGTTCGCGAGTTGGAAAGTCTCCCTTTCTCCTTCGACGTTTGTTGTGGCTGCTTCTCCATTCTTTTCTAGTAACTCCTTGGACTCCTCAGCTTGGAAATTCGTAACTGGTTCGGTGGAATTTTCAGCAACTTCTTTGGAGTGAATGATAGGGACCAATCGTGTTGAGGACTCGAGAGTGGCGTGAGGAGATGTAACAAACTCTGTGTCTACCGAAGCTTGGGATGCAGCGGCCAAGTGGGTGAGAAGTCCGGAAACAGTCTGCTGTGGGACGATAGCAGGCTTTGAAACTCTGCTCTTCTTCTTGATAGAGGTCTGGGCATCCGACTCTTCATCAAGCTTATCCTCTGGCTTCTCGATAGCCTTTGCCTTAGGCTTCTCCTTTGGTTTCTCAGCTATGGTCATCTTTGGCTTTTCGACTTTCTTGTCCTTGACATTCTCACTTGCTGTCTCCTTCTCGGCAGTCTTCTCCTTCTCGGCCGTCTTTGCCTTCTCAACTGTCTTACCCTTCGGTGACTCTTCTTCCTCTGGATTCTTTGAATCGTCCTCTGATTCTGGGTCAGCCTCCTGGTCCTCATCATCAGTAGCCTCTTCAGCGGACTCCACAGCAGGATCTTCAACGGGTTCTTCAGTGGGATCTTCAGCAAGAGCTTGAGCGAAGAGATCTGACGATGGGTTCCTGATTGGCACATCCGTCTGACCGAGTTTATGTAACTCTGTAGCTGATCGAAGGTAGTAAACAAACTTGTAGACCAACTTCCACTCTGAAGTCTTTCTGGTAATGGCAGCATCAACTTTAAGACGAGGTCCAGAATTAGCAACACTACCAGTTTTGGCATGCATGAAACTGTAGATGATTAGCATGTTACACAATCCATATCGAAGCAATGTAACTCACCCAACTTCAAATGGTGGCAGATGACCTGAAGCTGGATTTACGAAACGATTGAGATCGTACCACTCATTATGGTCGTTATACGCGGGAAACTTAAGGACCTCGTCATCCTTCATTTCAGCCGCCTCCTATTGACGGATTAGTAGGAAGTCCACAACGAGTATCTCAGTGATGTTGACGTACCGTATCCGACAACTTGCGCCAACCTTCAACGATGATCGAGCCAACCTTGGACACTTCCTGAGTGCCTTCAGCGACTAGAAAAGAGTTTAGTACGTCCAAATGTCACAAGGATACCGTAGAAAAAACTTACATCTCGTCTCCTTCTCATTACGCATTTGAACTACCATATCAGATCGAAATGAAGCTCCTACTGCCGATCCCTTGCGCTTTGGCCGATGCATAGCCTTTTCGAGAACCAACGTAGTGCCACGTCGAGTATCACAGGCACGGACAATTCCGTCGACAATCAAGACGAACTCATCAACGATACCTGGCTTTGCCTGACAGTGGATGGTTAAGATATCATCAAGAGCAACGCGGACGTAGCTCTCAGAGCCTTCGACACCATCAATAGCCTTGCTGAGATATTCTGGAAGCAATTCATTGCCAACTTGAATCCAGACCTTGCAGTCAGGCTTGGTGGACCTACTCGATCTCTTGGTCTTTTGAGACATCTTGTGTTTGCTCGATAAAACGAGTTGGTTGCTCTAACCCCGTTTTGTAGGATTTGATAAGCAGACGAAGGTGATGTTGTTGTATCAATGGTGAAGATCTGTGGAGAGACTCGGTGAGGGAGTCTTGGAAGAAGCTTGCAGAACAAGCAAGGGGAATTAGCTGAGTACTTGCAGATAGACTGCAAGTTCAAGTGAGATAATTGCAGAATAACACGCTCTTGGTATGTGGTTGTGTTGAGAAGTAAAGAGTAAGGCAAGGTGAGGAATAAGGTGTTGTAAGCTTTAGATCGAAAGTCGAAGGTGGAAAGGAGATCTAGTCCTGTAAAGTGTAGCAAGGCTACGACTGATTAAGGTTAGCTTTCAACAAACGTGAGATGAAAAGGGAAAGAGGTTCATACTGTGTGATGAAGGTGGACAGATCATGCAATCGATTCAAGTCGAAGGTCAATAGGTATGGTGACTCGATTTAAGATCGATGCCTGCCTTATGCTAGATTCCGATTCAAGCTTCACCTCAGCACATCACCCTCCTTGCATGTTTCATTGCTCTCCAAAAAAGCTTCATTAAGCTCAGCTATCAAAAATGCTAAAACCACCACTCTAGCTCCTCATCGCCAGACGCCAAAATCGAGACGAACCAGAATCAAGAGCTAAGTTGTGTTGAAGACATTCGGACTCAAAAGACTAATCTAAAAGTCTGAGCTTGTACCAACCATCTCTTCAATCCTTTGGGTGCTTTCGGACTATGGGAATCCCAGTTCGGTACCAAGACAACATTGTCTGTAAAACCACGAACATCTCCTGCTTCCCCATATCTGATTACTGGTGTCAGTCATTGCTCGCTTTGAGAATGATTTGAGACTTATGACATACGAACGCACAAATCACATGCATGCGAAGGAAAACAGAAAGATAAACGTATCCTATAAAATACTTACTTGACACTGCCACTGACCATAACCACAACGCTAATCTTCTTTCCGTCCATGTCTGGTGCTAAAGCAGCTTCGCTGGCTCCGACATTGAAATTTGAGTTGACAGTTTGAAAATCGAAGGCTTGTACTTCGTAGTGTGCAGCCGCGACATCGGTTTCGAAGAGCTTTTGCACTTCTTTGGGATCCGAGTAAGCAGTGCCGTTCAGAACGATATCTGCTTTGAGAGGTGATCCTGGAATTGGTTTGACATAGAAGTCTGCAATGCTTGACCGGGCTTTGGGATTGTTCAAAGCCGGGTAATAGGCATCAATGAAATCCTGGGCAGCTAATATTTATCAGAGAAGTACAGAAGAATATCAAAAGTATCTTACCAACTCCTCCTGCTTTGACTTCTGTAAGCGAGTCTATGGTTGGTTCAGACATTTCGTTGGTGTACAAAGAAATGCGTTGTTAGGGTATGAAGCGGATGGTGAACCAGAACTCTATAAACAACCATCTAAGCGATGGAGCTGCTAGCATCGAATATCTGCCTGATTCACGCATGTCGTGGAATGAGGTCAGGAAATTTGAAGCTTCCTGCGGACTGTGCGGCCGCCCAAGCCGCTCCTTCCCAATTTATTCTGCAGAGCTCCAATAAACACGGGTCAACGCGATCGGTCTGTAGCTATGAATCTACGATACATGGTACCGATTACTCGAACTCCACTGAGATTGAGTCCCGAGAGACAATGGAGGAGCGATTGGGTCTGCAAATCCTGCAGGAGTAAAGCTCCTCGGACACAATTCAGTACTTCGCAGCGGCTTCGAGAAAAGCCATACTATATTACAACTCCTATTTTCTACGTCAATGCCGGTATGGTTTGATCTCTGTTGCTTTCTAATTGTTACTAAATCTCCTCAGCTCCTCATGTCGGTCACTTTTATACTATGGTCCTCACGGACATTGTCAAACGATGGCAAGTCTTGAAAGGGAAAAAAGCATTTCTTTGCACAGGGACCGATGAGCATGGCATGAAAATACAACAAGCAGCCGCGAAAGCCAGTACTCCTCCGAAAGAGTTCTGCGACTTGACTGCCGAAACATTCAAGTCACTTGCGAAACGAGCAGACCTATCGAACGATTATTTTGTTAGGACGACGGACAAAGATCACAAGGAAGCGGTAGAATTCTTCTGGCAGATGCTGAAAGAACGAGAATACATCTACGAGTCAAAACATCAAGGATGGTATTGTGTCAGCGATGAGACTTTCTATCCCGAATCTGCCATTGAGAAGCGATTGGATCCATATACCGGCAGGACATTCATGGCTTCATCGGAAACTGGCAAAGAGGTGGAATGGACATCTGAGAAAAACTACCACTTCAGGTTGTCTGCTTTCAAGGACGAATTACTTGAGTTCTATAAGAAGAATCCAGACTTCGTCGTCCCCGCTGCTCGGATGAGCGACGTGATCAAATGGGTATCAGAAGGTTTAGAAGATTTATCCATCTCGAGGCCCGTTGAAAGGTTGTCCTGGGGTATACGTGTACCAGACGATGATAGCCAGACCATCTATGTCTGGTTGGATGCTCTCATTAACTATATCACTAAAGCGGGTTATCCATGGGCACCCGGGAAAGAGCAAGATCTAGGCTGGCCAGCAGATGTGCAAGTGATTGGAAAGGATATAGTCCGATTTCATTGCATATATTGGCCAGCTTTCCTACTAGCCCTAGGAATACAACCCCCAAAGCAGGTCCTAACGCATGCCCACTGGACTCTCAACCACCAGAAGATGGCAAAATCGACTGGAAATGTGGTTAATCCATTCTTCGCTATGGATCGATTTGGAGTTGATGTCATGAGGTATTACCTTGCTCATGATGGTGGAATTCTCAATGATGCAGATTACGGGAACCACTTCATCGTCCAAAGGTATAATAAAGGTCTACAAGGTGGCCTTGGAAATCTGGTGAGTAGAATTACGCGGCCAAAAATCTGGAGTGTTTCGAAAGCTGTGAGTGCCGCACATGAAGGGACCCTTGGCGAGCCAGACGAAGTCATACAAGCTCAGATCAAGATGCTGGAAGAATTGCCAGCAAAAGTGGACTCAAAGATGGCAGAATTGAACGCCGGTGCTGCTTTACAGACCATTATGGAAGCTGTATACGAGGTAGACATGCATCAACAATTGCTTGAAACATCAGCTAATATCCCAACAGACGAACAGATTCCTTAGTGTCATTGCTCCTTGGTTGCTTAAAAAACAGGCAAATGCTGAGGCGGATCAACTCGTCAAGGAGGAACTAGAAAGGCGGATCAATACAACAGTGTATCATTGTGCTGAAGCGATTCGCATGATTGGGATTCTTCTCCAGCCATACATGCCGACCAAATCTGCACAACTTCTTGATATGTTAGGTGTTAAGTCCAACAAAAGGACTTTTAACGATGCTAGACTTGGTGCTGATCCTGACTATGGATTGGCACAAGTACCACTTGGGAAGTGCGCACAGGATGGTCTGTTTCCGCCTTTGGCGGTTGAGACTTGATGTACAAAATAATTATATCAGGGATGTAAAGCAGTCATTGCTCTAGTGGAATGTATAGTTAGTAAGAGAAGATACCCATACATAGCAATCGACTGTGAAAGGCGATGCCAAATGACTATATACCCTTGTGGCCTATCTAATTCCATGATTTTAGTTCTAAAAGTGTCTAAAGGCTGTAGGAATATTTTCACAAACGTATTCACAGTTTGAAAAATGTCAGTCAGTTTTCTGGACGAGCTGAAATCTGCGGCACGGTAGTTTCACAACGGCGCCGTAGCCTGGCGAGCATTGCCGAACAGCCTTGTGAGGCGATCTGTCTCAAGGGATTCGCCAAAGCTCATCACCAAAACAAGGCTTTGTCTTTTCAATCCCTCCATCTTTCATTTCCATTCACCATCGACAAGATGGACATTCTTCAGGTAAACATTCTAAGTGCAGTCAAAGTCCTCCCCTCTAACACTCAGCAGCGGCTTGCCCAGTTTCTTGATAGGCCTCTTTTCCCCTGGAAGAAGCTCATCGTTGGCTTTTCAGTTGCACAATACCTCTTCGAAGGTTTCCTTTCCTTGCGACAATACCAAGTTCTCAAGCAGACTCGACCACCGAAGGTTCTACAGAGTGAAGTGTCCCAAGAAGTGTTCGATAAAAGTCAAGTACGAAGCCGCGCACACAATGTCATCATTCAATCATTAACAGAGAATAGGCTTATGGTCGAGCCAAAGCGAAATACAGTCTCTTCAGCGGTCTCTACGGGCAAATCCAAAACACTGCCTTCATCTACTACGATATTCTGCCAAAGCTTTGGGCTTTGACTGGTTCATGGCTCCTCAGATATGCTCCGGAACGGTTCTCGGGCGAAATCTCACACTCAATCGTCTTTATCCTTACCTTCATTGTCATTCAACAGCTCATGTCACTTCCGACATCGATATACCATACGTTTGTGTTGGAGGAAAAGTTTGGGTTCAACAAACAGACTCCTAAGCTATTTGTCATGGATATGTTGAAGTCGCAGATGCTAGCATTCATCCTCGCACCTCCTATCCTCGCTGGTTTCTTGGCCATCGTTCAGAAGACTGGGAACAAGTTCTTTTATTACCTCTGGTTGTTTGGAGCTGGTCTACAGGTTTTCATGATCACCATCTACCCGATTACGATTCTGCCACTTTTCAATAAACTTTCTCCTCTTCAACCCGGAGACTTGAAGGACGGTGTCGAATCACTTGCTAAACGCCTCAAGTTTCCACTTCACGAATTATACGTTATTGATGGTAGCAAGAGAAGCGCTCACAGCAACGCCTATTTCTTCGGCATGCCATGGAAAAAGCACATTGTCATCTATGATACCCTGATTGAGAAGAGCGAAACTCAAGAAGTTGTAGCTGTTCTGGCACATGAACTTGGTCACTGGAGTCTTGATCACACCACTAGACTTTTTGGAATTTCTCAGGTATGTATTGAAGGCCCATGTGAAGTATATTGCTAACGACACTAGGCCCACTTCTTTTATATCTTTGCACTCTTCTCTGTATTCATCAACAACAGATCCTTGTACGAGTCCTTCGGCTTCCACAAAGAATTCCCAATCATAATTGGATTCATTCTCTTCTCCGATGCTCTTGCACCTATGGATACAGTAATTAAATTGTTGATGAATATCCTCAGTCGAAGATACGAATTCCAAGCCGACGAATTCGCGTTGAACTTGGGATACAAGACAGAATTGGCTCGCTCTCTGATCAAGCTTCAGATTCAGAATCTGAGCACAATGGAGGCCGATTGGATGTATGCAAGCTACCACTTCTCACATCCTATCTTGTCTGAGAGACTTGGTGCCTTGGGCTGGTATGGTGATTCGAAGCCAGTCTCGGACGGGAAGGATGAGAAGGTCGCGCAAGCTAGCGGTAGAGAATTGTAGATAATAGACAATACAATAGCAATGCGCTCATACCCGGTCGTGTTGTCTGGAGGTGATTTGTGCTGCTCAAGTCGCTGCCTTCTGCTTGCTCTGTGCCCGTAATTTCTGTTCCTCCTTCAATCTCTGTTTCTTCGCCTTGTTTCTCGCAGCTTTGTCGAGTGGTTTCTCGGGCTTCGCAACACCATTTGTCTTCTTATTTTTCTTCTTCTTTGGAGTCTTTACCACAGGGGCATCCTCCTCATCTTCTCCTTCAACCTCATTTACTACTGCACGATCGACCTCGAGATCCGAATCCTCTCCATTCCTAACCACCACATGAGGCCCGTCCTCAATATCCCCACCGTCGATACTCTGTTCCCTCTGATAATCATCCAAGTCCATCCAGCCTTCTTCTTCTTCCTGTGCACCTTGACCCTGATTAACACCGTCATCCATGCCCTCTGCCACAGGCACACTTTCCTCCAAATCCAGCGTAGGCGCAAGCCATTCTCCTCGTAAACCAGCTTCGACTCTTTGTAGATTATGTATTGTGACGCTAGAGCTGCTTGAGCCGGCTGTCGGACCTGAAGGATCGAGTTTTGCGTTTGGGAGGAGGTGGGGTGAAGTTTTTGCAGCTTCGAGGTACTTGCTGAGAAACTTGAGAGCGATTTCTTGATTGATTGGCACAGATGCACCGAGTCGGTGAGGGGGAAAGGCAGACATTTTGAAGAGGAATTCCCAGGTCAACTGGCAGACGCACGCTTAGAATTCTTGCGGACCAATCGTGTTTATGAGTTGAGTTCATGGCAAAAAGAAGCTCAAGATATTTTTCTGGGCGAAGCGGACAAATGTCCGCTAGCGTCATCTGGCAACGACAAGCATTGAACAACTTCAACCTTCTTCGAACTGCAGCATCCAAGCTCAAATCACCAAGATGTTGTGTCTCCGATGTTCTCATGGCTTCAATGCTGCATTGAAGCCTTCCACATTCTCCCAGCCAGCAGTGAGGTCCTTCTTCAAGGCATTTTCAAGGAGGTACGATCACAATAATTCTTATGTATGGACAGACAACTAACATTAAGCAGAACCTTCACATCTTTCCGCGGACCATCTCGACCAACTGTATTCCCTTCATCCTTCACATTCCCAGCGTCTCTTTCCGCCTCACCCTTGCCCATCTCTGCGGAGACCCTCGACCTCCTCCCCAAGATCTCGACCCATCCTGCATTAGGAGCAACACAGATTCGATGCGGTCCGAGAAATACGTTTAGTCCAAGTCATTTCGTTAGAAAGAGGCGGCATGGATTCTTGAGTCGGATTAGGACGAGGAAAGGCAGGATGACTTTGGCACGAAGGAGGGCGAAGAAGAGGAGTACTTTGAGTCATTGAGGCGTTGGAATGGGAGGATTCTTTGCATGTCATGGAACCGAATTGTAGCAAATCCTCGCATGTGAAGGAATGGTTCTGTATATCAGTGGAAATGCCAGCCTGGCTTGTACGAATATGATGGAACAGCAGCAGAACAACTCAATGCATAGCTTGGTCAACCTAACCCCTGGACCTGGGAATTCTGCTTTGAATATGAGTCCATAAATTTCCCAGTTATCAAATGTTGGCATTTTGGTTGCTTCTTGGGATTTGTTTGGCCTTATTGCTAAGTCCTGTGCATTGTTGATTGTATGTTTTCTTTTGGAAATATTGCTTTCATCCCAGAATAAGACCGCAATGAGAAGGACAAGGGGTCAAGAAAGACAAGCAGAAGCATTACGGCATATCCTCTTTCTGTCCTCGTTGCAAAATGTTACCTCGAAGAAATATCGATGGGTTTGATTCTGCGTAGAGGCGATGCGGACAAGTGTTTAGCAGTTTCATTTATCAAAAACAAAAGTATACTTGCCCAAGCGGTATCTTATTCTTCATAGAAAGTACCGCGAAAGTCCACAGTTATCTAGATAATGAGGCATTGTCGAAGTTTAGCGAGTCTAGTATTCGCTTCAATATGATACAAAAAAACTAATGAAGCTCGCAGCCTCGTTATCATTCAAGAACCTCAGAGCCTCACATTTATACTAGGCGAGGTATCATAACCCAAGTCAAAAAAAAAGTATCAAAAATTGAAAAGAAAAGCAAAAACTCAGACCTAACCACCGAAGTGGGTAGGTCGTAGAAAATTTGCTCGATGTCGGTTGCAGTTTTTAAAGTCGCGATCGATCGTATGCGGGCCAGGCGATTTTATCCCTCTCCTCCTCTTAACCCACACTTGACCTGAACCACTGACCTAAGTGGAATGCTGTAGTGGGATGGGAGGAAATCTGCTTGTTTAAAACTATAAAGCATTGAGTTGCGGGCGCTTTTGGTAGCCGATTTCGGTTAGCGCGAGGACTACCACAATGTTTATTTTGGAGGAAAGGCTTGACGTATGCTATGAAAGTTACAATTTTCTGCATGGTATGCGATTGGACGATATCTGTACACAGATTGTTTTCATGCCGGCTTTTCTCTTCTTTTAATTATCTCGTCGTTGCTGAGGCCTGTCAAAATAGCTGAGCAAAATATATTCCGATACGCTCACGTCAGGATATACAGTACTTAGCAGGTCTTGCCATCTTGATAAGAACCTGAGCTTTAGTTTTGAAATCGTTGCTGTCCAACGCTCCGCAGCAATGGTTCAACAAAACCAGAGCACCTCGCTATCATAAATCATCTCTATACATTATCATCATCCAACTCAGCTTGACATATCTTTCCATGCAAGGCAGAAGCATAAGCCGAAGTCCACAAGAGGTTGAAACGCTCGAAGGAACAATCCTACCTGTACATTCACCAGCCTCTGCCTCTAAAGCACCAGTCTGCTCACCGATGGCAGCACTGTTGCTCATATCTTCACCGTCGATATTGTCTACGGGGCCTTCTTCTTGAAGGGCAGCCACCGCTACGTCAACAACACCGATACCGGCACCACTTCGTTCTCTTGCTTTATCCAGTTGTTGTCTGGTACCTGCTCCTGAGAACAATGGTACCGTAGCCAGGTCAGCTTCCTTGGCAGCCATACCAGAGTCGGTGTCAACACTCGACAAAATGACATTCGCCAAAAGCAGCACCTTGTCATTTGGCTCTTGCGAGAAACAGCATGATGCCCAGCTTCCTTGACGGCGAGATTGGATCCAATATTATCAGATCCCCCTTCACTTGAGGTCAAAAACCTTCATCGTGGCTTTGTGCTGATCATTCCAGAATTCTCCTTTCATGATGCCATGAACATACGCTTCTCCGATGAGTCGATAGCCACCCTCACATGGTCTCAATATGACTGGAACCGTACATCCTTCAAGAAGACAAATCGAATCTCCAACGCATGCTTGCTTGTGTACTCGACCTATGTATCCCATTTCTGTTACCAGGATACGTCGGTATAATTTGAAAAGTGCTATTCCGTTGATGAAACTTGCCAAGATATCATTGACAGTAGCAGGTGCTCCATGGTAGAGGATGTTCTTCTGGGGCAACTTGATCTTTGGTTGAGGAATTTTCGGATCATGGTACTGCGCCCATTCGGAAAGAGGACGGCCGTAAATGAGGTATTGCCCAATAGCACAGACTCGGGATTTTGTCCCCATGGATCTCTTCGTTAAGATGGATTTCCCTTTCTTGGACCAAAGCTTTTCAAGAGCCCAGCTAGCGGGTACTGCCTCCATGGTATCTGACCAGGGTTTATGGGGGCTTTGATCCAGAATGCTACCCCATATAGCATCGTATAGCTCTGCTTCTGTTCCGTACACATTGTGGGGTATATCGAACTTCGTATTTCCATATCTCGCCAGCAGGAAATCAGTGCTGTGATCATGTGATTCCTCGCATTGGATGTCTGACATGCTGTGAATTGTGTCGAAGAGATAGCCACTGACTGAGAGAGTCAAGCGATCGGGAGACAGCCTGGGTTTCGATACAGAAGCACCACAAGCTCTGTACTTGTAGTACAATAATCGACGTGCTCCTTGGCTCTGCCAGGTACTTGTCCAATCTGTGACCCAAGATGGCAAATCAGGTCTTCTAGGGAGACTGGGGTTATCCACACATATGCAGTCCATTCTTCCTTTCAAATGCTTATAATGCAGAAGATTTGAGACTGCAAGATCGTGAAGAAGGTCATCCAGATTTTGCTGATAATGTGGTTTTGGTACAAGGTCTGCACCATCTCGGCAGAGAGCAAGAAGACCAAACACCTTATCCAAAGGCTCAGATGTCATAGAAAGACTTGACAAGCATAGAGCTTTGTGCAGCGACAGACTCGACTGCTTGTTTCCTCCCTTTCGTACCTCTTCTGTCAGGTCTCTGATTCTCAAGATACAATTTATCTCTCCGAAGCCATCCAGTACCCTGAAGACAGAGTATTCCTTACACAGCCTCTTTGACGTGCAAGCTAACACTTCAATTGGGATGGAGTGCCTTCCCCACCATATGAGAACGGTGGGCGACAGGGCTAATTCCTGTATAATCCAAGTCCTCTTCCAATAAGGAATGGCAAAGAATGGAGCAAGAGCGGACCGCCAGCTATGATGACGACTTTTCATAGATTCTCGAAGATGTTTGAACCGTGCCTTTTGGCTTTCCTCGGAGCATTGGGAGATCTTGACCAGGCATTCACAAGCAGACTTAGCATACCCCTCTTTATCCGAACCAAGCCAAGCAATTGTCTTCTGGCTTTGCTTATATATGTCTCCCATACGGAGAATTTGGCGGCCTTTCTCGCAATTATCTTCTTGATTGATGCATAAAGCATCTACCCAAATAAGATCATAACCCTGCCTTCGGAATTCATGGAGTGCGGCCCAAAGATTGTCTGTGACAGAAACATTATGATTGCCAACCAGAATAGACTTCAGATTGTCTGTACTGCCCCAGCAGTATGAAAGAGAGACATATTTGGGCAATTGTTGGTGGAGACAGGGGGCATGCACTAAGCTGCATCGAATCTCTTCGTGGTCAGGCCCAGGCAAGACGTTGAGAAGTCGGATCTCTTGAGTAGCTTCATCGAGAGGCTGGTATGAATATCCCATGTCTGCGCATCTCCAATTGAGTATTCATAAGCCGCAAGACTAGAAAATGATGTTGTCCAACAGAAGGATCGAGGTCCTGCAGCTGAAGTCGTGCCGTGTTGGTCTCCACTTTCCCAAACGAACCCCTGAATTTGCGGTTAAACATCGGCCACTCGCTTACAAGCTCATCTTCTTGAGAGGTTGACGACACAACATCCGACATCTTCCTCCAATCCTGCTTGTATGTTGAAGAAGGAGTCATAGAGCGAAGCAGTCTCGACCCCATGGTTTCCGAACTCTTGATCCAACACCGCATCCTTTGCTACCCCTCACTTAGCTGGCTCTTCGGCTGCAATTGCCGAATCCAGTAAAGCTGCTATGAAGCTTTTGCTATTTTGGGAATAGAGATACTTCCCGAATGGGCGACGGGATCGGAGTGATTATCTCTTTGTCTTTGTCAGTGAAGGGCGTACACATTCTGCATCGACATCATCAGGCAGACTCAGAACGGTGGTGATGATCTCTAACTGGTTTCTGATTGACACATTTCTGTTTGATTTGCCACATTCTGCGGGGTTGAGTTGCTATGCTGCGTGATCTATACTATATATTTGCAAGTTCCAGCTAGCAGCAATCCTTTCAATATCCCAACTCTTTGTTTTCTCATCCAGTTACATTACCGAGCATTCAACAATCATTCATAATGTCAGCGCTAAACCAATCAGCCCAAGTTCTGAAATCTCTCCATCAACGACCACACAAGCCACTTGTTCTGGCCAACGTATATGACATTCTTACCGCCAGAGCGGTTGCTGAACTTCCTTCTTCCGAAACACTTGCTACAGCGAGCTATTCCGTCGCACAAGCTGCTGGCACCACAGACAATGATTTGACTCTTGACGAGAACCTTACTGCTGTAAAAGGCATTGCGGCTGTGGCCAAAGAATTCAACAAGCCACTTACAGTGGACTTCCAAGATGCGTACGGTTCCAAGCTCGAAGAAGGAATCAACAAACTCCTGGATCTCGGCGTTGCTGGAATCAATCTCGAGGACTACGATAATACCACCCAACAGCTGATGGACGCGCAAACCGCGGTTGATCGCATTCGACGCACTCTGGACGTGGCAAAAGAGCGCAATGTTCCTGATTTTGTTGTTAATGCGAGATGTGATGTTCTGGTTCTGGGCGGTAAGATGGAAGAGGTCGTCAAGAGGGGAAAGAGTTATCTGGACGCTGGGGCTACGACCGTGTTTGTTTGGGGCGGCAAGAGAGATGTTTCGAAAGCGGAGGTAGAACATATGGTAAAGGAATTCGGAGGAAGACTCAATGTTTCATTGAAAAGAAGCGCGGACGGGCTGACCATCAAGGAGCTTGCTGATTTGGGAGTTGCCAGAATCAGTATGGGCCCAGCGCTGCAGATCCTAGCCATGAAAGCGTTCCAGGATGAGGCAGCAAAACTCTTCTCACAATTGTAGATACTGAAATGTATTGACATTGATTTTTTTGCATCAACATTGATAGTTTAATCAAAGTTTCTATTAGCGTTGGGTACAAAGGACGCATCTTCCCAAAATGTTTTGACTTGTGAACTGAATGCTTTTTCTGACCAGATAAATTGTTTCAAGACTTCGTGCACCGCTGGCCATGACTGGTACCTGTTCGCAAACCTGGTAGCATACTTGAAGCGAAGTAGCTCGATATATCCCGATTTAGTACCTACTGGGGCAAAACTTCCGCCAATGAAAATGAGCCAGAGTAGACATGAAGTTTGACCATCCCAGTGATCCCATATACTATCCCCATGGACTTGTTCTAGCTTCTGGAGCAGTTTAGCCGAAATCTGAGACTATCATATCGAAGGTTAACAAGTTGAAAAGGCAGTGCGAATAGGTGACCTACTGGGATAACCGAGTGACGATAAACCTTACAACAGAGCATACAGGCACATAAATATGCAGCAAAGTGAACACACTCTGAAAACAACGAAGAATTTGGCAATCCTGCAAGTCTGGATTCGATAGATGCGTGGTGATTATCAAGATTTACCATCATTAATGTGTCCTCCGCGATAAAGTCCGAAGAGTCTCGAATACATTGCAGTGCATGAATGTCTTTTAGAACTTCGACAAACTCCTCAGTGAACAAGTGAGTTTGGTCTTGGAATCCTGGGGGTAGAATAAAATAATTTAACGAAAACGGATCTCTTCTCCATTGAAGCTCGGGGAAAGTCGTGTGATCAACTACTCGTTTCGATCCAGTAATGACGGAGGTGTTCAAGTCTTGCCTAAATTTCAAGATTAAAACAAAGAGCCTTCGAGAAATACAACGAGCTTACCAGAAAATAGCACGTTTGATGCCATCCGTCAAATAAACGTCACTTGCTCTGCATAAATCTAGCAATTGGCTGATCGCTGTCATGTGCAGTTGAACTTGGAGGGGCATCCCCAAGCGAGCCTATATAGATACAGAGTCAACAATCTAGATTCACATCTCAGCAAGATATGTAGTTGCACACACCTCAACGCCGGCAAGAAGCAGAATAGCCCCCAGCGTGGCTACCGAAACAGGCCTGTCCGGGGAGCTGATCCTTTCACGAATAGTCGACATTGCCATATTTTGATAACCAAGACATTCTTGATTCATAATGCCACCAGTAACCGCGAGTGCAAATGTGAGCAGAATAGCATTGAGAAGTGCTGGGTCATCTCGACCTGTCCGGAAAACCAATGGGAACGTCTGAAAGGCGACATCGTTGGCAACACTGAACACTGGCTCAGCGGCCTCTTTAGCCGCATCTACGGAGAACCTATGGTAAGTCTCTCAACAGTGGATCTGAAGATCTTGGTGCAACTTACGATGACTTATCAAGACTTCCAGCCTAGGGGAAGTATAGGCAGAAGCGAGAGGCGAGTAGAGCTTGCCGAGCGACTGAGAAGTTTGTGTCCCTTTCTCTACTACTGAAATTCTCGCAGCACTAATTGATGCAGGACGGAAATTGGCACTTAATTCTCGTTCAAGCTTTCTCTTGTCTTGAAGAGCGTGCTTTACCGCATGCGAACGGACTTGGCGCCTGACTGCAGGATCCCTCGCAGACTCTGGATTCTGGGTCGTGATGAATCGGAAAGAATTATCTAAGTAGTCATTAATATATTAAACAATAGCGAAAGTCTTTGAAGGATGCTCGGCTTGCCTGTATTGGGTGCTTGAGAGAGATTGGCTGAGTCCATCGTTTCTGGTTCCTGACATTTATGCTGGCAGTCGCATTCGGACGCCTCTTGCTTTAAGTAGAAGGAACTGAGAATTTTCCTAAAAGGGTATTCTCCACATCTTTACCAATTCCTCATCAATGGCGTTGTTCATGAGCACATTCCTTGAAGGTGGGGCACGCATTTACTGATGAGTGATCAGCGTGCAGTGTGTTTCAATGGGGCCACGCTGCCAATGGAATCGCGCGTACTTTGACAGGCCTTCAAATACCTTATAAATCAACTGGAAAGGGGCTCCGATTATCTCAATTGGAGGTACCTGTGCTCTGTTTTTGGGATGCTGCTCCGAACTTGCGTCAACATTATCACCACAGGTACAAAGCGCGAGTTCATCAGAGAGTTGACGACGTCAAGTCAGTCATCAGGCATGACAAAGAACCGATCTAAACCACTTCACAGATCCGCAAAGATGCTATTCTGCTAGCTCAGAATTTGTCATCTCTTCTGTCCCCTTGTGAGTTCGAGAGGGAAACAACAATTACCGCTATGAGTGTAGACTTCAGGACATGGAAGTATTTAAAGACATGTTGTCGCCTTCTGGATGCCAGAGTAGCAATTGCTTTGAATACACAGAATACCATCTCGATCATTCTCTTCGAGTCTTAAATTCTTTTACTTGACACTTGCCTAGACGACAACATAGCATCTGCGATCATGGATACCTCACGTCTTTTCCAGCCTATGAAACTGGGCAAAGTGGAAGTGGCTCATCGTATTGGTTTAGCCCCGATGAGTCGTTTCCGAGCAGACGACGATCACATACCCACGCCCTTGATGAAAGAGTACTTTAGCCAAAGAACCGCTGTACCTGGTACCCTTCTCTTCACCGACGTCAATCTCGTGTCTCCCGCTGCCGGAGCTGTCCCTAATGCACCTGGAATCTGGAACAAAGAGCAGATTGCTGCATGGAAGGAAATAATTGACGAGGTCCACCGGAAAGGCTGCTTCATCTTCGGCCAAATTGGAGCTTTTGGTCGTTTAGGAAATCCAGAGAGTTTGGAGAAAGCCGGACACAAGCTCACTGCACCAAGCCCTATCGCCAGAGAGGGAGCTCTAGTGCCACAGAGCATGACGATCGAAGAGATCAAACAAATGGTGCAAGACTTCGTCAAGGCTGCTCAAAACGCAATCGAAGCTGGATTTGATGGCGTGGAGTTTGATGGAGACAATGGCCTTTTGATAGATCAATTCACTCAGGACATCAGCAATCAACGGAACGATGAGTACGGCGGCAGTATTGAGAATCGAAGCCGCTTCACTTATGAGATTGCAAAGGCCGTCGCCGACGCAATTGGCCCTGAGCGTGTGGGCCACCGCATCAGCCCTTGGAGCAGATTCAACAGTATGAGGATGAAAGACCCGATTCCGCAATTCACGGATGTGATCAATAAGTTGAGCAGCATTGGTATCGCCTACATCCATCTGATTGAGCCTCGCATTTGGGGAGATGTGTTGGTTGATACCAGCATTGAATCCCTTGATTTCGCTTTCGAAGCTTGGAAAGGACCGATTCTCATTGCGGGAGGATACACACCTGAGTTGGCAAGGAAGGTTGTTGAGGATCATGGAGACAGAGACGTGTTGGTTACATTTGGGAGACCTTTCATTGCCAATCCAGACCTCATTTACAGGGTGAAGAAAGGCTTGGAATTCAATCACTACGATCGACCCACCTTCTACACTGCCCAAGAACCCAGAGGCTACATAGACTATCCGTTCAGCTCTGAATATTCAGCGTCAATAGAAAGTTCATAGAACCCCGGAAGTAATATTATAGAATGAAAACAGTTAGACTACAACTTCTTTCCCATTTTACGAACGAATTCGTTCTCGACCTCCAATCCTTGATAGCAATGAAAATAAACCACTTGCATATACAATCTCACCTCTTCTCTCTGCCCGCTGAGGCGCTCGATCCGTATGAAAAGAAGATCGACAGCATTGATTTTTCGTAATATCTCAATCCTCCGCAAAAGCGACCTTCAAATCATCAATGCAGAAATTCCAATCCTTCCTATCATTCGTCTGAGCCCAGAATTCCAACGCATTAATCCTTTCAGGCCACCACCCATATTTCGTAAGATCGAGACGGATAACCTGCTGATACCCTGGTCTCACATACATAAGTGACAGCTGATACGCCCTGACAATTGCCCCGTCCGTAATCTCATATCCATTCATCCTGACAACCAGGCCTCTTGGGGTGTAGCCCATAGCTTTGATGGAGAAGCCTAGCATGTGGAAATAGGATGAGTTGCCATCAGTAGAGGGATTCCAGATGAGGCGAGGCCATGGCCCTTTGGGGGCACGGGAACCGAGGAGAGCATTTGGGAGGGATGTTGAACAGTCTGAGTCCTCGCGCGGGAAGAGACCATCGCCGACTGATTGGATGGGGTCGAAGATTTGGAAGCCGCTGAGGTTGAAATTGGAGTAGTGAGAAATGTTGCTCACGGCTTGATGAAGCTGGATATCATCGAACTGTGAGGTGTTAGACAATGTCTGGGTCGAAGAAGATTGAAGCAAGAATCACATGTCAAATACTATCCCTGGGCTTAGAAGAGTCTTGGGAGGACTCGTTGAGTCTCGAGACTTCGAGACCGCATTCCAAAATGTCAAAATAATCGTCCGGACGGGATGAGACTTAAGATAGGAAATGGACATACCGCAAACGTCGTATTCCTTCGGCTTGGATATTGAAATGACTGTGCAGGGCTATTGTGAGATGGTAGGATAGATATCTCTACGTTGTTTTCAGTGAAAACGATCTGGTCTTGATGCACAGAAAGGCATGTTGTCGCCAGCGCAGCGAACAGAATCGCGAAAGACGATTGAAACATTTTCCCCATGATCCCAAGTTACAAACATTGAACGAAGGATAACACATATAAAATGAGGGGGAAATTGATAGTTTGTTGACGCCTAGGCTGCCGATCACGAACAGCGCCGCATACCCGCTTCACCTTGACATCACCCAACGTAAATGCGCCTCAAGCTCCGGGTAAATTATCAATATTTATAACACTGACCCAAATGTTCTCTTTATTCTCCGAGTAAGCAGTCACAAGTGTGTTACCGACCTGCACTGCAACAGGATAGGAGAATCCTTGGTTTTTGTAATCTTTCCTCGTTTCAGCTTGTGTACGTCAAATTCAGATTCAAAACTCACCTCTTGTATCAGGCACGATCTTATCAGATGCATTTGTTCTCAGAACTCCGACGTGCTTGTATGATAGATCGCTACCACGAGACATTGCTAGGGTTAATGGCTGGCGGATGAGCTCTGTGTTGTTCCTCGGATTTGATATGAAGTATCGATCTTGACCATTAGCCAACACGCCAAGGAATTGCTTACGAACATGGGGACAAAAGTCCGTGCGTTCAGGCTGTAGAACCTCGAAATTAAAACTCTTCACATTAGGACTAAACTATCAACAACTCCACCATTATGGATCCTTTTACCACTCCACCTATGTCTCCA